CTAGGTTGCAGATCTTACATTCTTTGTACAAGAAATAATATTAATTTTGTATTATGAACTCTTCCTTGGTAGTATAGTGGTGAGTATCTCCGCCTGTCACGCGGAAGACCGGGGTTCGATTCCCCGCCAAGGAGGTCATGATTTTGTTTTTTGTTACTAAAAAACCCCTTTAAATCTAGCTTTCCTTTTATGCGAAGAGCAGACGATAGAATCCTAATCAAATTGAATTATTTACGCAGCGAGGGAGGAATAGTCTTCAATTGATAAGGTAAAAGACAAGATCTGCTATTCTAAAGAAATTACGAAATTTACGTTAAAGTGTCCCTTCCATTTACCTTTCTTTGATTTTTTTAACGAACATTTTCAAGATGAAAAATACTACTACGCTAGGTTGCAGATCTTAAATTTTTTTTTCAAGCAAAAATAATAGTTCTGTATCATTATCAACTCTTCCTTGGTAGTATAGTGGTGAGTATCTCCGCCTGTCACGCGGAAGACCGGGGTTCGATTCCCCGCCAAGGAGGTCATGTTTTTTTTTTTGCCTTAAACAACTTTGATAACCTGGCTCGATATCCTTATTCAAATTCATCTATTTACGTAGCGAGGTAGGGAGTTTCCTCAATTAACTAAGAAAATACAAGATCTGCTATTATAAAGAAATTACGAACATTTCGTAATTGTGTCTCCCATTAATATATCTTCGATTTCTTAACGAACATTTTCCAAAAGGAAAATACTACTACGCTAAGTTGCAGATCTTTCATTCTTTGTTCAAGAAATTATATCAACTTTGTATTACCAACTCTTCCTTGGTAGTATAGTGGTGAGTATCTCCGCCTGTCACGCGGAAGACCGGGGTTCGATTCCCCGCCAAGGAGGTCATGATTTTGTTTTTTGTTACTAAGAAACCCCTTTAAATCTAGCTTTCCTTTTATGCGAAAGGCAGACGATAGAATCCATATTCCCACAATTCGTAAAGCGAGGTAGGAAATGTCTTCAGATAATAAGGAAAAGACAAGATCTGTAATTCACGAGAAATTGCGATAATTACGTAATCGTGCTTCCCATTAACTTTTCTTAGATTTTTTAACGAACATTTTCCAAAAGGAAAATACTACAACGCTAGGTTGCAGATCTTACAATCTTTGTCAAGAAATAATAATAATTCTGTATTGTCAACTCTTCCTTGTTAGTATAGTGGTGAGTTTCTCCGCCTGTCACGCGGAAGACCGGGGTTTGATTCCCCGCCAAGGACTTCATGATTTTTTTTGTTTGCCTTAAACAACTTTGATAACATGGCTCTATTATTATCAGAAAAGCAGACGATGAAATCCACAATCAAATTGAATTATTTACGTAGCGAGGTAGGAACAGTCCTCAATTGATAAGGTAAAAGACAAGATCTGCTATTCTAAAGAAAATAAAAACAAAATCGTAGTCGTGCCTCCCATTAACTTTTCTTCGATTTTTTAACGAAAATTTTCCAAAAGGAAAATACTACTACGCTAGGTTGCAGATCTTACATTCTTTGTACAAGAAATAATATTAATTTTGTATTATGAACTCTTCCTTGGTAGTATAGTGGTGAGTATCTCCGCCTGTCACGCGGAAGACCGGGGTTCGATTCCCCGCCAAGGAGGTCATGATTTTGTTTTTTGTTACTAAAAAACCCCTTTAAATCTAGCTTTCCTTTTATGCGAAGAGCAGACGATAGAATCCTAATCAAATTGAATTATTTACGCAGCGAGGGAGGAATAGTCTTCAATTGATAAGGTAAAAGACAAGATCTGCTATTCTAAAGAAATTACGAAATTTACGTTAAAGTGTCCCTTCCATTTACCTTTCTTTGATTTTTTTAACGAACATTTTCAAGATGAAAAATACTACTACGCTAGGTTGCAGATCTTAAATTTTTTTTTCAAGCAAAAATAATAGTTCTGTATCATTATCAACTCTTCCTTGGTAGTATAGTGGTGAGTATCTCCGCCTGTCACGCGGAAGACCGGGGTTCGATTCCCCGCCAAGGAGGTCATGTTTTTTTTTTTGCCTTAAACAACTTTGATAACCTGGCTCGATATCCTTATTCAAATTCATCTATTTACGTAGCGAGGTAGGGAGTTTCCTCAATTAACTAAGAAAATACAAGATCTGCTATTATAAAGAAATTACGAACATTTCGTAATTGTGTCTCCCATTAATATATCTTCGATTTCTTAACGAACATTTTCCAAAAGGAAAATACTACTACGCTAAGTTGCAGATCTTTCATTCTTTGTTCAAGAAATTATATCAACTTTGTATTACCAACTCTTCCTTGGTAGTATAGTGGTGAGTATCTCCGCCTGTCACGCGGAAGACCGGGGTTCGATTCCCCGCCAAGGAGGTCATGATTTTGTTTTTTGTTACTAAGAAACCCCTTTAAATCTAGCTTTCCTTTTATGCGAAAGGCAGACGATAGAATCCATATTCCCACAATTCGTAAAGCGAGGTAGGAAATGTCTTCAGATAATAAGGAAAAGACAAGATCTGTAATTCACGAGAAATTGCGATAATTACGTAATCGTGCTTCCCATTAACTTTTCTTAGATTTTTTAACGAACATTTTCCAAAAGGAAAATACTACAACGCTAGGTTGCAGATCTTACAATCTTTGTCAAGAAATAATAATAATTCTGTATTGTCAACTCTTCCTTGTTAGTATAGTGGTGAGTTTCTCCGCCTGTCACGCGGAAGACCGGGGTTTGATTCCCCGCCAAGGACTTCATGATTTTTTTTGTTTGCCTTAAACAACTTTGATAACATGGCTCTATTATTATCAGAAAAGCAGACGATGAAATCCACAATCAAATTGAATTATTTACGTAGCGAGGTAGGAACAGTCCTCAATTGATAAGGTAAAAGACAAGATCTGCTATTCTAAATAAAATAAAAACAAAATCGTAGTCGTGCCTCCCATTAACTTTTCTTCGATTTTTTAACGAACATTTTCGAAAAGGAAAATACTACTACGCTAGGTTGCAGATCTTACATTCTTTGTTCAACAAATAATATTAATTTTGTATTATGAACTCTTCCTTGGTAGTATAGTGGTGAGTATCTCCGCCTGTCACGCGGAAGACCGGGGTTCGATTCCCCGCCAAGGAGGTCATGATTTTGTTTTTTGTTACTAAGAAACCCCTTTAAATCTAGCTTTCCTTTATTCGAAAGGCAGACGATAGAATCCATATTCCCACAATTCGTAAAGCGAGGTAGGAAATGTCTTCAGATAATAAGGACAAGACAAGATCTGTAATTTACGAGAAATTGCGATAATTACGTAATCGTGCTTCCCATTAACTTTTCTTAGATTTTTCAACGATCACTTTTCAAAAGGAAACAAAATGACCTGCTCGCTTCCAAATTTGATATCCCTTGTTGATGGGATCATAATTTTGATCCTGAATCATCAACTCTTCCTTGGTAGTATAGTGGTGAGTATCTCCGCCTGTCACGCGGAAGACCGGGGTTCGATTCCCCGCCAAGGAGGTCATGATTTTGTTTTTTGTTACTAAAAAAAACCTTTAAACCTTGCTCTGCTCTTATGCAAAAAGGACACGATTGTATTCATAAGTCCTACTGAATTATTAACCTAGCGAGGAAGTCTCCAAATGATAATGTAAAGACAAGATCTGTAATTAACAATGTATTATGATAGCTACGTAATCATGTTTCACCGTTATTCTCATGATTGATATTTCAACGATCACTTTCCAAAAGGAAAATAATGTCTTGCTCGCTTTTGAATTTGATATCACCTTTTCATGCGATGATAATAATTCTGTATTATCAACTCTTCCTTGGTAGTATAGTGGTGAGTATCTCCGCCTGTCACGCGGAAGACCGGGGTTCGATTCCCCGCCAAGGAGGTCATGATTTTGTTTTTTGCCTTAAAAAACTTTGATAATAATTTTTATGGCTTAATTCTTATCCGAAATGCAGGCGATGATATCCATATTCGAATTGAAATATTTACGTAGCGAGGTAAAAAAATAGACTTCAATTGATAAGATAAAAGACAAGATCTGCTATTCTAAACAAATTACGAAATTTACGTTAAAGTGTCCCTTCCATTTACCTTTCTTTGATTTGTTAACGAACATTTTCAAGATGAAAAATACTACTACGCTAGGTTGCAAATCTTAAATCCTTTGTTCAAGCAATAATAATAGTTCTGTTTCATTATCAACTCTTCCTTGGTAGTATAGCGGTGAGTATCTCCGCCTGTCACGCGGAAGACCGGGGTTCCATTCCCCGCCAAGGAGATCATGTTTTTGTTTTTTGTTACAAAAAAAACACCTTTAAACCTCGCTCTGCTCTTATGCAAAAAGGTCACGATTGTATTCATATTCCTACGAGGAAGTCTCCAAATGATAAGGTAAAGACAAGATCTGTAATTAACAATGTATTATGATAGCTACGTAATCATGTTTCACCGTAATCATGTTTCACCGTAATCATGTTTCACCGTAATCATGTTTCACCGTAATCATGTTTCACCGTTATTCTTATGATTGATATTTCAACGATCACTTTCCAAAGGATTCCCCGCCAAGGAGATCATGATTTTGTTTTTTGTTACTGAAAAACATTTGATAACCTAGCTCTGCTCTTATGCGAAAAGCAGACGATAATATCCATATTTCAATATGTAGCGAGGTAGGATTAGTTTTCTGATTATATAGACAAGATAGGCCTATGTAATTATGAAGAAATTTCTAAACTTACATAATCATGCTCTCCATTATCTTTTGATTGATTTTTTAACGATAGCTTTTCAGAAGGAAAATAATGCTCTGCTAGGTTGCAGATCTTATAACCTTTGTTAAAAAAAAAAAATCATAAATGAATGAATAGACCAATGAGAAATAAATGAACAAACAAAGGCATCATAAATCAATACACCAACAAATGCACAAAAATAAAATACACGATTAAATTTGAATTATTTACAATCAACTTACAGTATGCAGAATACTCTTCTTCTTGCAAACATCGAGTAGTCTTTTAACAATCTTCTTATGTCCTCCCTGGCATGCTGCGTGTAAAGGCGTTGAGAAGGTCGAATCTTGAGACTGGACCTCTGCTCCGACCCCAACCAACATCGCAGCAATGTCATCGTTGCCATGGAGACAGGCTACATGGAGGGGCGTCATGTCGTTTTTATCCTTCTCCTGAGAGTGGTATGTAAGAGAGACGGAAAGATAGAAATAGAAATAATAATTATTTTAATAACAAAGAGAACAATAATGATTATGATAATAAAGATAATGATGATAACAATACAGAAAATGATAATTATAATGATAGTATTAATAATAATGATAGTATTAATAATAATGATAGTATTAATAATAATGATATAATGATATTAACAACAAAAAACACAATATGAATAATAATTATTTAAAAATATTATACATTAATAATAACAGGAATGATAAGGGGAGAACAAAGAAAGATAAATACAGAAAGAGAGAGAGAGAGAGACAAACAGGGAGGGGTTAAACAATGGCGAAGTAAAGAAGGATCGTATTCATTCAGTTTCAATTCAAACTAATCTTTCAGAAAGATACATATTGTGTTTCCATCTTTTATGGTTGACTCATAATTTTTGTACTTTCTCTTCAAAGAATCACAAGCCTCCAGAAACAGCACGAATTCGGGTTTGTTGTTTAAAAAAGAACACGACCAAATATTGTCTCCATCGTTTCTAATTGTTTACAATAATATATCTCATGGAAATGTATGATCATGATACCAATAAGAGAACAATGTCAGTAGTATTCTTTAATTTTAACCCCTTTCTCCTAAAATGAATTACTGACATCAAGCAAACAATATTTCTGATGTCATAATATATTCAGTCGTTGTCACGACAACACTTTCTCATTCATGTCTAGTAAAGGCCTTTACCCTAATGATTCCTAATTGCTCGATGAAGGAAATCATGAAAATCTGACGGAAATCCAAATAATTACATTTATATTGATATCATCAGCCGAGAGAAGGTTGAAGACCGCTGGTTTGTTGCCCCTCATAGCGGCGATGTGGAGGGGAGTCAGGCCGAAAGTGTCCCGGGCGTTCACGTCGACTTCCTGTGAGAGTAGGTACAGTATCACACTTGATTCCTGTAAAAAAATATATATTACCGTTACGTTTAATGATATAATGTGTATATTATGATTGTGAAAACTTAGTTCGAAAAAGAATATATGAATTGATTAGGAAATAAACTAGATTTAACTGATTCAGAGAGTCCACATGGATCATTGAAATAATTACAAATGATAGCTCTTTCCATAAAGAAAAAAATGGTATAAATCGTCCTTGTTTTCACGAAGTGACGGTGGGGAGGAAAATCGTAACGCAAAGTGAATGCAATTTTTTTTCACTACCGTCACTTCGTGAAAACAGTGACGAATTATGAATATGCTCCGATTGCCGCTCAATAAAATGAGAAAGAGAGAGTGAGAGAGAAAGAGAGAGAGAGAGAGAGTGAAAATGAGAGAGAGAGAGAAAGAAAGAAAGAGAGAGATAGAGAAAGAAAGAAAGAGAGAAAGAGAGAGAGAGAGAGAGAGGGAGAGAGAAAGAGAGAAAGAGAGAGCGAGAGATATTACATTAATGAGCAGAATGACTAATCATTTTGCTAGAAATACCGCTATTTTTAAACACTATGCATTATCATGATTAAAAAAGGTCTGGAAAATTATGAAAAAACATGGCTGACTTTTTTTCAAACAAAACAGTAATTACAAGTTTCCATCATCTTCTGGACTATGTTACTACTTTACTTAATAATACTTTCCATTCACTGCAATTTGATAAAAGTAATGAAAAGACGTTTAAAGTGAATGGTTGTATTATATGTAAGATGCTATTTTCATGTGATTTACGTTATTTATAAAATGATATAACTATTCATGTTCGATTGATGTCAACAAGAAAATAAACCGACCTCTATTTTGCTAGCTTTTCCTGGTTTGGTCATGGCCGCAAAGTGTATGGCCAGACGTTTATTATCGCCCTCAGCGTTGATATCTGAAGAGAATGGAAGACAAACAATTAGAAAAATGATGAACTTACATAAGTTAAGACTTCGTAAGCTGAAAAGTCCATAATAATATCCTTATGGTAAGCTTAGAATCAAGAAGCTGGACAGCCAAAATTTGATCACATTACGGTACACATCATCAAAAATACCTGACTATCTTAACTTTGGTGTCAGGAAACTGCTAGACAGTCACACGATAGCCTTTAATTATTATTATTATCATATCATTATTACCATATCATTATATATATATCAGTGTTCCATTTTTTATCAAAGGATTTACCACGTTGAGGTTTGTTCGATCTACCAAAATCTCCAACACTACTACTTATACCATCACTATTACTACCACTACCACTACTATTACTACTATTACTACTACTACTACTACTACTACTACTACTACTACTACTACTACTCCTACTACTACTACTACTACTACTACTATTATTATTACTACTACTACTATACTGTTTCTAATGTTATTACTAGTAGTAGTGTCTATACATTATTATTATCATGCTTAGTATTAATATTATTATCGTTATCATGATTATTATTATCATTTGTATTATCATTATTATTATCTCATTATAGTTATCAGCATCATCGTCATTACTACCATTTATATCACCATCATACCTGCGCCATTTTCGATCAAATATTTAACGACATTGACATGTCCCGCTTGAGAGGCGTGATGGAGGGGTGTGCGGTCTTTCTTATCAGGTTCGTTCAGTCTATCTTTACCACCGTCTTCTTCGTCTTTCAAGAGCCGACCAATTTCAGACAAGTTTCCAGACTTTGCTGCCTGCAAAATAAACATATTAATTAACATTAATTAATCAATTAAATAGATACATTTGCACAAATCATAAAGCTATGAATAAATGAATAAATATAAGGAGAGAATGAAAGAGAAGAACGTATTAAAGATAGAAAGCAAGATACAAAACAAAAAGAAAGAAAGACGTACAGACAAACGGACAGAATGGAATAATGAAAGCGTTGTGAAATTTACCCACCAAATAGATGATTTGGAAACGTCTAATCTACAGTACATGCTCTCAGCACTCTTCATGAGCTCAAGCTGATAATTTGAAATAAATATTAATCTTTCTATTAACTTCAATTCATCTATTAATATCAGTTTGCAGAAAAATAATTCTGGCTGTGTTTTGCATGCACGGCCATATGCACAGGCACGCGTTATTTCCTTCGAATTAGCAGCCTTCCACTCACCAAGCAAGTATGGTAACAAGACTACTGAGCTAGTGTTACCATGGAAATCAATCTCTTCTGCCATTTCATTGAAATCCTCGTGACTGCTACGTATTTCGTACACATTGGTAATCTTTATGCAAATCACCACACCAATACCGTACACGTAAAAAACCCAACATCACTATACAAATTCCTAGATCATCGGCAGTAAATAACATGGCCTTCGTTATTTTCCCTTTGAAACAGGTCATTTAGGAACCAGAATCTCCTTGTAAACGTACTGTATAGCAATCAATAATAACGAAAATAGCTTTCGGATGACGAGCGGATATCCGACTTGAAGTGATCATGGCTATTTTCAACGCGATTTTTTTCGAATTCTCACATGGGCCAAATGATAATCATAGAAACACGAACAAGACTATAATATGAGAATGGTTAACTAGTTTAAAGTAAACCCAGATATGGATCCATCCAAGGGGATACCTGAAGTATGCGTGCCCCTCCCCCTAAATAGATATGTGATACTCTTAAACCCCACTAAATCTGAAAGCCCTTTTCACCAAACAAAGTCAAAGCATCTGTTAAAAGTAACAATGCTGATGACCAGACCTCAAAGATGTAGCTAAATAAACATATTATATAGACAAATAAAGTGACTTGCACTATTTTAAAAACCGTTGTCTATACTACCTTAAAGGGATTGGGTATCTTTGCCTCAGATTCTAAACAAAATCCTGGATTAAGCTCAGGCTGCTGCAATCATAAGTACAAACCGTTAGGTCAGTCAGGAATCCCATGACTTTTACAAGCCGATCGCATGTTTGATTATCAAGATATCTATGATTGGAATTCAAAATGTCTACACTACAGTCTATTGGGGAAAATGAATATGGTAAAACCGGTCACTCCAAGATTTTTTTACTTTTTTGAAGCACTTCATGATCATTTTGAAGCGCAATTTGTTTAGGGCTTCAATATTACACCATATTACAGCCACTGATAACACGTAGGGCCATGCATCTGGTCAAACTGGTAACATCGTTAAACAATATGCCTTAAAAAAGTAAAGCATAATATATTATATCTAAGAAGTTTTCCTGTCTTGATGATTTAAAACCTATAGGGTCGATATTTTACAGGAAAGACAAACATAGAACTGCTTCTAGAAGAGTTTTGATGAATACCTTCCATTGCATACATTTGTATATGCACCAATCAATAGGACAATACATGCGATGGTGGACTGTATTTTACGAGAAGAAGAAGAAGAAGAAGAAGAAGAAGAAGAAGAAGAAGAAGAAGAAGAAGAAGAAGAAGAAGAAGACTCCAATGAGAAGAAGAAGAAACAAATCGGTCACCTGTCCAACATGTTAACTGCCACTGCTGGGTAGTTGCTATACGTATGCTACTTAACTTTACTATTTATTAAGTTAGCATGGTTAGGGCATTTCAGAAACTTCAATACCACACGCAGAGGTACGTAGAGAAAAAAAATGTGCAAATTTGTTACGCATATATACCTTATAGAGATCCATTGGAGCGTTCTTGGTCGTATTATTCTATCCTTTGTCCGATGTGACCATTCAATATTGTCCGTTGTGGCTATTCACTGGTCACTCATTTGCTTTCAAGTCCCCTACACATGTAGCTCTTTCAGTGGTGTCATTATCCGTACGGACAAATAATAGGCCTGGCTATGGCGTCTCCAAAGCACAAGTTATGCGAGTTTAGATAGTTTGAATCAGCACGGGTATTTCACAATTATTACGTAACGAATCAATCTCAAAACATTGTTGCTGATTTTCAAGCAAATATTGTCAAGATTGGTTCAAGATTTCGCGTCCTTTTGCAATCATAAATGGTACGAAACTCGCAATAGGCAAGAGCTCAAGCATTCCGGAGGGTCGACGACGGTAGCTGTGAGGTCATACCCTAATCAATATGACCTAATAAACGACAAGCTTGTTAGGGGAATCTCCATGTAATGAAGAGACAGTGGAATATATTTTAGAGGACTGAGTGAAACATCATTTCAATTGTTACAGAATCACTAGGAAAGAACGCACTCCAAATGTAATATTTCCTCCAAAACTGAATTGTGTTTATTTAAGTAGGTATATTTATGTATATTTTTTTTTCTTCAGTTGTCTTTGTCCAAGCGCATTTGGAAAACAAAGAAAGAAGAGGGGATTATAATACCGGTCAGTGATGCTCCTTTTACTTAAAACTATTGTCAATCAGAATTAGGATAGATTTCTCTGAAAGCCTGTACTCGAATATAGATTTTTCTTTTTAAATGCATATACCACGCTGCAAAATTACCTCGGTGGCAATTATTAGAATGATACTCTATTGAAATTCCATCAAGGTTTGGGTGTGCAAAGCAGCGCGTAGGAGAAAAATAAGAGTCTTTCTTGAAAATACTCGTCTCGGGCACCATGGCAACCAAGCGAGAGAATTGTGCGTTTCCAAGACTACACATCAAGGGTGATAATACTGAAGAATAATTTAGACAGCCGCTAAGAGCTTAACTTGGATATTGAGGAAAAAACGGGGCATTCATGGAAATGACTATTTTCCAGTCTACGTAGAAAATGTATTGATTATGACCTATGCAAAATGACTACATGAGATGTTAATACATAGCGTTTCAGAGCACAACACAATAGAGCCTATGGATTGCAGCCATGACATTATGATGTATCACCAGGGTGTCCGGAAGGGGGGGGGGGGAGAGAGAGAGAGAGAGAGAGAGAGGCAGGAGGGAGGGGAAGGTGGAGGGGTGGGAAGAAGGGAGGGGGATCGAGGGGTTTAACAGTTTTATTCTTTTGCCAAGGGGAGGGGAGGCATTGCTTCTTTAACATGCCCCTCCTATTCAATGTTTGCATTTAGGTCAACAATGTTCCGTTATCATTTTCAATTCTCCAATATTTCTTTTCTTGCTTATCATCTTCATAGTGAAACGGTAATAAATAAATCAAATAAATAAATTCCATCAAAGCAAATATATTCGTTAAAACGTACATAAACAGGAAGATTATGCTCTCAATTATATTTCTTCACTTTTTCCAGAACTCAGCATTCTCTTTAACGGGCGTACCTCCAAATGAATGATAATTGTACTTATACGCTCAGTGTAGAAACAACCCGCTTGTTTACGAGCGTGATATTTCAGACGTTCAAAATAAAATGCTGGTATGATGACGTATTGATTTGAAAATGTTTTCCGCCAACAGGATGAAAGTTCCAATGTATTTAGGATTTGTAATGATAATGCATCAAATATTTGGGTATTCCCCTCTTGTTTTGTTTTATTGTTCCAAATTCCACCTAATAAGTTGGTCTCATACATAACAAATTATCAAGAGAATGTATAATAATAGTACAATGATAGACTTGTAACATAAAGAAATAATGATGTGAAATATATGGGGACATATTGAGAAGCAGGCTTGTATATTATAGGTTCCCGAATAAAATACAAACATATTGTATCTGAATTCGATAGCAATGAAGAAAGACGTTAGAAAAGAGTGATGACATGTACATTGTCGACCATAATGATAACATTATTGATCAATAAATCCCGGGAAAGATGTAAACTTTATTAATCAAGAATAAATCATATTGTTACAATCATTAATTCATTATTTCATGACAAAAATGATAAGAAGATTCTGTTCCAGATCTATGGATAACAGTGTCTTTGCACAAGAAGCGTAGAAAACTGAAGAGCTAATAAACTATGGTGCATTTGACATTTGAAGTGATATAAGTATCGTGAGCGAAGGGTTCTTCAAACTATAACGGGAAACAGGCATGCAGCCATTTCCTCGCAGCTAAGCTCAAACGTTGATTTAGACGTGTTTTGTTGTTTGTATGTGAATGACAATTAAGGAAGATAGCCATCATCATTAGTCACAAAGCAAACAACGTGGAACCTTACTCCAACAGACAACAACATGGATAAGGGATAAGGAATAAGGAATAAGGAAGGGATCGTGGACATTCGGACATTATCAGGGTGTTAGCATATTAAGGAGAGGGTGGGGGGGGGGGGGGGCACAACCTACCCATCCCCCTCCCGGAGAAACACAATAGAACCTGCATTTAGTACAACATTAATATTACATACTATTGTTTTATTGTGATTTTTTTTCAAATTCAATCCAAAAGGCACCTGGAAATTCTGCCAACTTATATTTGAATGTATTTTATTAAAAATGCATACATTTCAGTAAGATTATGTGAGTGGGTATGTATTATAAAAGGATAATAGAGGATTTTTACCCTTCTAATAATAGAATGCATTAAGTATTAATTCATGAAAAATTATAGTTCAATTAAACGTTCTAAATACTTCTAAGAATGATCATATCACTAAAGTCTACATCCACTTTATAATCCTTAATCTATCTAATGAAGAATGGTAAAGTTAATCATAGACAAGGGCATCTTTTTTAATGATCAGTTATGGCATCGTGTTCTTAAAAACATGCATGGTGTGTCCATTACTTCTTTGGTAATGCGTGCCCCTATGGTATCTACCATGGTATCTTATCCAGGCATCGGCTTTTTTCTGCCGTCGAAGTGGACTCTTGCAGTGCTATTCCACTGTTCTTCTCACATTTTTTTATCGTCTCCCCTCTTAATTGCCCCTGCAGATTAAATTGTATATATTTTACAAACTTCCCGTTGTATTGCTGTAATCTCCTCATTTTGACTAGTATGTTCCTTTATGTACATTATATACCGGCTATTTTGTTTTGTAATTATATCTTGTATGTTATATATATATATATATATATATATATATATATATATATTCACTGGATTGCCGAGGTATTTGCTCTCTTGTTTATGGTTAGATCTCGCACAAGCTATATGCATGGTAAAACCAGGATGATGTAAGAGTTCCTGGTAAAACCATGAACTTACCGTATTCAAACAACATCATGCGACCATGGGGATTCCCCCATTTCCTGGAAATAAGTTTAAATTGGATACCAGTTAAATCATTCTTCGTTGCGGTCTCAAATTTATATATTATTTTGACAGCCTGTTTATTGACTAATGTTGATCTCTTATGGTGAAATAATCACGGTGATTATCGCAATGTGTTTGCCCACGCATCACTATAAATAGAATAAAGATTAGAGATATTAATCAAGGAGACGTGACGTGTAAGTTATGTTTGATTAAAGGGATGGTTCAACATTTTCATATCGCCTTGTATAGTTGATTTTTTTTTCTAAATTTCGCGTGGATAAGATGTAAGAGGTATCGTGGTATAGTAAAACCAATCACACCAGTAACGCCTTTCGGTAAGACAATAATATCCGTTTGCTACTCCCCACCCAGGTGTAAATGGGTACCCGATATAGAGCGCTACATTTTGTCCGCTAGACTATGCCCGGGGTAAAAAAAAAAGAAGAAAACAAGAAGCCTAATGACGAAGCGCCAGGGCGTCACGTTGTGACGGACATGATGAGCTTTAATTTGTTTTAAATGAGAATAACCTTATAATCATGGACCTAGAGGACCCTAAATTCAAAAGGAATATCCCATAACTCAATGCCCTTATAACCTTTGTATTTCGTGGGCTTCTAAAATATCCCACAAATGTATAAATGTGCAGTCTATTGTTATGTTCAATACTTATTGGTTATATAGTTATGATAAATGAACATATTAAGTTTGCATTTATAAACTGTTTTATGACATTTCTGGCTGGTGTACTTGAATAAATCATTCAAATAACTTTCAATTTCAGTAAACGAATTTTGTTATGGGATCATTAAATATTATTGATGGATTTATTCGTAAAAACACTATGGCAAATTGTCACTGTTAACTTATCTTAATTATGATGAATATCCCCGGTTGATATTGTGCATGATAATGTAACAATTATAATCTACCTTTCAGTTTAGCTATCGTGGGAGGTTAAAATGAAACAGTGTAAATAAGTTAACTCATAGCAGTTCAGAATTGTCTCATTTTCACTTTCCACTTCTTCATAGTCTGTTAAACAAAATTAATAATTCACGAAAATGAAATAAAATTGCCAAATAATATTTAACCAAAAAATGACACGTGATTTTATATTTCATGCCGCGTGGCCGATTTAAAGACCATAATGATTAGTTACAATTAAAACGCTCTTATTTGGGAATGGCACAAAGTACCATCAGTAATGGAAATAGACTAAATATTTTCTGTAATTTTTGCTGTTTTTGCTCATGTATGTAATGCGTAATTCCTAGTACTCTGGCCTGTCAAAAGATAATGCGAAAAAGTCACTAAAAGGCGACGCTGTACTGCTATGGGTTACCTTAGTAACACGGGTGGCCAACCTGCGGCCCGCGGGCCACATGCGGCCCGCGAGCTCTTCTTGTGCGGCCCGCGGAGCATTGAAAAAGTAATTATAAAAATGGTTAATGAATGAAATGCGGCCCGCATAACAGCGATAAAATAGAGTAAAACATTTACACACAGCTATCTCTATTTCCATAATTTGTTTTCATCATTCACAACATATTGATTCGTTACGTGGCTTATACAAAACTCCTCAAATTCCCTCTCATTACATTACATTAACGACATTAACATCACTCGCCGTGTTAATTTCAGTTTGTTATTTCCACATGCAGTAACCTTTGTAAATATACAAATAATAACAATAATAATAATCTTTTAAAATCCACTCCAAATTTTATTAAGTTAAACCGAAAATGGAAATTCTTTTTGCCCAATCGATCGTGAATCAAGAAATATGTTTGAAATGCCATACTTGTCTTAAAACTTACAACCCTTTTCTCCCGCCGTTTAATTTTTTCATTAATCTTAATCGTGGATAGTCCCCTTATATTCTTTCTGCTGTGTCATTGATTTTGTTTGAAATAACAACCAACATGGTATCGATTTCGAGACGTGCGAAGAAAAGGAAAGTTTCTGATGAAGACAGAAACTTTAAATCGGATTGATCTCTGAAGTATTTCTTCATAGAAGAGAAAGGTAAACAACTTTGCCTCATATTTTGTCAGCCAGAAATCACTCTAAAAAAACGAGCCTGATTTTGTTCGACTGATTTTGTTGTTTGCAACATTGCAGGTGTGTACATGAGTGTGTGTGTGTGTGGGGGGGGGGGGATTTCAGATTTGGTTTTGACGGGGTGTGTCGCTGAAGCCTCGTATAAACCTCAACCCATTTTTAAGGGTTGCCTTGTTTTGGCAGATTTTTGTTGAAAGTAAAGCCCATTTTATAAAAATTTCGGGTGTTTGCATGGCTAAAACCCTGAATTTTTTTAAAATAAATTTTTTGAAAACACGGACCCATATTAAGGATATTTCTGTTAAAAATGGGACCCAAGTTTAGGGATTCTTCTTGTAAAAAAGGTTACCCATTAGAGCGGTACACCCCGTATGTCTCAATATGTGATTACCCCCCCCCCCCCCCCCCGCCTGGCCTACGGCCCGCCAAGTTATGACAATCGTTAGATGTGGCCCGCGAGCTTTAAAAGGTTGGCCACCCGTGCCTTAGTATATAGTATCGGCATCTTATTATACATTTGAATAGCCTATATGCCCTATATGGAGAAACTAAACACATCGCACTCACGCCACTCACTCTATATGTGTATGATGTATTATCAATTTGTAATTTATGGATTCGTTTATTTGAATGATGACCGTGCAGCGATTATTACTTTGCTATTCATTTCCTACACTTAGCGAATTCATATATTCTACCTTTGGACATAATACTAACCCTAAACCCAATCTACAACCCAATTGCAACCATAATCTTAACCATGAATCTTTGACGAATTTTATGCCGTTGCGTAAACTTATATTACTGTTACCATGGTGTGTTTTGTGCTATTGAGTCAGTGTTATAATATACTAATGTACCTCCTAATGAAGGTGATAAGGTCATAACCTAAATCATTTCCTTTATTGCAGCACATCCGAGTTGACACCATTATTTTCCTGCAGTGATGTAATGCAGTTAAGAGGTATAGGACGTAATTGTCCCGCACACTCTTTTAAAACTCATTTAGCATACCTTTAAGTATACACAACACTTAGCTTGCCTTTAAAAATACACAACTTTCAGGATACCTTTAAGTAATACACAGCAAAAGTATGTAGGCTATACTCCCATTTCCCCATTTCAAAATTTCGGCCCAAAAATGTGATAAACTTTCAGCTTTCTTGTCAGGTATTCCGCAACCATGCCCCCTCTTTTTTTACACAAAAACCTGCATCCTTTCCCGGTTGTATGTTTTTTTTTACCCGACTCACATAATCACGTCACGCTATGCTTTAGTCTGGACACGGCGCAGTAATGATAAAGCAAAAAGAGCATCACGTCTTAATTGGTGTTTGAAACCAAGCTGATTTTTATCAGATGATAAAGATAGTTTGTGTAATCATCACGCCTGTCTGGTCACAGTGGCGTTGCTACAGGAAATGGGGTCATACGATGAGGGTGTTTGCATCATGGACAGACTATTTCTGTGAACATGCACTGTTGAAGAGATGAACAATGGCAAAAGCACTGTGATTGAAATATGTTGCTATTTTTTTTTAAATACAAGGTTTGAATAATGTATGGCCCAAGGTTATAAAGGTCTGGATTTAGATAGGTTAAATGAACACATTTTTTTTTTTTAGAGAGAGAGAGAGAAGAGAATGAACAGAAAGGGAGAGAGAGAGAGAGAGAGAGAGAGAGAGAAGAAAGAGAGAGAGAGAGAGAGAGAGAGAGAAAACAGACAGGAAGAGAGACAGAGAGCGACTGTCATTGTGAATGATGAACCTTGGCACTGTCCTATTAAAACAATATATCTGATTACTTCCTCATCCTGACAGAAAAAGAAAGGTAGAAAACATGGCCCCCTTTTCTACAATCCGTTGTGAAATTTATATGTTTCGCTTCAGATATACAGGTTATATTGCACTCCTGACACGATCACATAGACTTTCAAGAAATCATCTTTAGGACCATTACAATACCTCATTGTATATTGCCTTTAGAAATAATTTTCGGATTAAGTAATACTTATGTCATTGTTATTGTCGCACATTGCCATTGAACTTGTCATATCCTAGTCTCACCACAGAGACCAACACCAGACCGACAATAGACCCAACAAAATGCCACATCATCCACAATGGCGCAATATCTGTTGGTTTAGGTTAAAGGGGAATATTTTTCAGATATTTTTTTTTAATGGGCTACAAACTGAAATTAACATGTAGTTTGAAGTTAATTCTCTTTTAAGTCTAGACGATGTGACGAAGGACTTATTTTGGTTTATGAATGTCTTTGCGTTTTTGTTTTTAAAGGAAAGTGAATGAAATCACGAAATTTAAACTTAGAATACCTGATGGAGACGGTTGTCCAGGTCTGACCGACCGCTTGAAAGGCTTCCGCTGCTCAAACTTCCGATGGAATGCAAAGCAAAGTCTTGTCGTCTTGAATCCATCATGGACTCGCCCCCGATCAAACAGCCACCACTGGTTTGTAGAAGCGCTCACCCGAACGTGCAGACAACGCCTTCTTCTTAAAGATACTTCTCAACGTCTCATCAAGAACCTGACAACCAATAATATTACTGAAGCAGTTTGGTCACTCAACGTCCAAAACTCTTCTAATAACACCGGGAAAATCAATGTTGGCCTACATTCCGAGTGTCAGCGCTTGACATTCCGCAACAAGTTTAATATATCAATTTATTGGTGAAGCTGAACAGTTATTTAAGCGTTTACTCGAGTATGCAGACGACGACAAACACGCAATCACTGCATCGGTCGGTCAGTCATTTAACTTGGAAGTATTTGCTAAAAAAACACACAAAGTACCTGCCTCGAATGTACATCGATCTCCGGTACCAGCACTTCAAAGGCCACATTAAGTTATAAACACCAACATGTTTTGATTTGTTATCGAACTGCAATGACAAAAGGCTCTGATTCGACTCAACACGGAGGTATAATAATTATCATGTACCCCCTATACGGATGAAACATTTGCTCATGATCTTGAAAGAACATTATTTGGCTTGATCCGGAAGTAGTGACGATTCGCACAGATTTTTTACGCCGACAGTAAGCTGACAGAATTATGACACCAATGCATAGATTAATCAAATCGTGATTACTTTACTGAGTGGTTTATGGCCTGGGTGTATGTATTAACTCGTGATGTTTCCTCTCTCGGTTTGAACCAAACGAAAGCAGACGATTCTCACCGAACGACAAAAATACAACGTAGATGGCGGTCATTAGAATACTTATTGAACACCATGCATCGGTAGATTTATATTTATTATTAGTTTTTTTAAAGCCACTTTGGAGATAGCACTTGTACAAAATAATGACTCCCAAATATCCCAGACCTTTTACACACGGAGACGCCCTAAATTATTATTGCCAAAGTGATGGTGGTGCTTCATAAATACATTTAGTTTCCCCCTTGTGTGTATACCGCCGATGCATACTATCATGAACAATCGTCCCGATCGATGGGTTTTCCAGTTTTGTACAACTGGCTTTTTAAAATAAAATTGGTAACTGATTCAAAGAGACAAAGTGGTTTCAAATCTTTGTTATTATGATCTGGGTCGTAAGGGTGAGTTCGGACGCGGGTCAAGTGCATGGGACAGGCTCTAGAAAAGGAAGCTGTTCGACCAGTATTAATCTTGCAATTAATCCAAACATTTGTGATTGGTTATCAAATGACTGTCTTTGTTCGTAACTGCATGAGCCAGGTCTTCAGTAATTATGCTGATATGCAAGAAATTTTGTTTCTTTCTCAAGCCAATGCTTTATTTTTCTTTCTTTTCCATTTCTTCTTCCTTCATTTTTTCGTCCTCTTTCCCCCGTCTTTTTCCCCTTTGCCACTCCCCGGAGGGGGGGGGGGGGTACCCCTGTACCATAACTGAATGAAAACATACACAAACGGAAGACTCCGCATTTCTTTTTGTTCTTCATTATCTTTTTGTCCTCCATTATAATTTCAATACCATTCAAGTCTCTTTCATATTTCCAGTCTCTCCCTGTTTCTTTTCATCTCACATTCTGTCTTTTCCTCCTTTTCCCCTTCCATTTCGCTTTTCTTTTATTCTATTCCCCTTTCTCTCTCTCTCTCTTTATCTCTCATTCTAGGTTTATCTTTTCCACTCTTTCTTAATTCCATTTCTCTTCTTTTTCTCCATCTCCGTTCCCCTCTCCCTTCTATGCCGCCGAGAAGGGGGGGGGGGGGTAACTTTCTGGACCACCGACGTTCTCTATCACTGCTTGATCAGAGTAAAATTTGGAAATAAATATACTTTTTTGTTTAAGTGTTTGAAAAATAATTCACCACACTGCGTTCACAATGTGGGAAAGTATAATCTCTCCGGCAAGTAATATCATAAAGTAATGAGACTCGGTGAAGCAGTGTGAAATCTGATTCGATAAACTTTATTTCATTCAACAAAACATAATCTCAAATGAACAAGTTAACAATCTTTCTGGAATTGAATCACAAATCAGAGTTCAGAATAAACATCAAATAAGTCTGTCTCCAACCAATAATCTACCAACAATGATTCTCATCTTCGTCGAGAAAGATAGCATACAACGATAATAGATGCTATACTTATTCAAATCACACTTTGGGATTCCTAACCCATAAATATGTTTTCCATCGAATTCTCTGCAGAAATTGTACAAGCGATGAAAGAATGAGTTGACTAAAATCGTGTTCTTCTAAACAATTCCAACGAGGGATAACATGTCACAAACGATCAGTGTATACGGGAGGACGAATAAACAAGGTAGTAATGACTTATATTTAATTCAATATGAAAGGAGTAACATTAGAGCAATAACCAATACTCTGCTAATATAGTCCTAAGAAATAACACGGAATGTACAATAATAATGAGCCAGGAAATGTGATACTGACTGATTGATCCTTACCTCTAAATAAGTCACATTATTATTTACGTTTCAATCTTTGTTTCATTATTGATATGACATTAACCCATATTATGATTTGTCAAAATCTGTTTAGTGCTCAAACAGGTAAAGCGTTTACATATCTGCTATGATATGCGGTCTTTTGATGAATTCAAATTAATTTACAAAAATGCATATTTGCATACTTATCAGTTCCTCAAATTCGTTATAATACTCGCAAAACAAAATATTTATGTACCACGTAAAGGAAGTCTCCCAATAATTGGCGGCTCCTCAATATCATTAAAAACAAATATAAGTACGCCAAAAATATAATGAGAATGTAGTGTTTTTGTAGTATAAGTGTTCAGTACGAAATAGGTACGATAAATTCAAAGGACACTAAAAGCAACAACAAAAAGTGTTGTGATAAATGCAATTAAATAACATAATACTATTGGATTTTTATATAGCGCACATATCCACTCAAGGCGCTCCAATATCACATCGGCTGTGCTATATAGGTGACCGAATTCGGTGCTCACAACATTCAAGGAACTCCTTCCTACCGGTACACCTTATAGAGAGATTAATGTTTTGCCAAAGGACTTTTGTGCCGCCGCGGTTTTCGATCCGCAAACAATGTGATCCACAGTCCAAATACGTATCCACTAGCCCACGACACCTCCACTACGATTATTACTTATTCAAATCGTATTCAAGTCGTATGATAAACATGATATATCTATACAAGATATTCTTTCAGTAGAACTGACACGAACTACTAGTCAACTTATATTTTCATTTTTGACGTATGTAGAAAAACATGGATAGCAGTTTGTTCAACCATATCAATAGCATAATAACACTCTTTAGTATATTTAGAAAAGTACATTTCTATTATGTGGGTATGAAATCAAGATTATTCTGTTATTTTTTCAAAATAACGATTTTTAGACGAAGGACATTAATACAAGTGCGAACAATAACCTACATATTGCCATAACAGAATAATGATAAGCATTGGAAAGCAAACAAATAACATCATCTACAGTTAACTCAATTATTTAATAATAATAATAATAGCTCGTTCTTATATAGCGCTTTTCGTAACTCAAGAATGATAGGTGGACTGGTTGAATTACTTTCTTTGTTGAATACTTTTAGATGTAAGCTTTTATGTTCCATTCTCAAGACACGTAAATCGGGACAAATCAATTTTTAAAATTACAAAACTTAGTATGTAAGAAATACAATGACAATAATTATAAACGTGTATGTAATGCCATTAGTTACAGATCGCTCTTGCAAAATCTAGGTTGGTTAAATACCTATGATACTTCTCTCCATGAATCATAATTGTCAAAAGAATGAAATTAATGATGATCGACAGGTCTTTATTTTTATACAATATGAGAAAATTTACCTGATTTTTTTAAAAAAAAGCATTCATTTTTTAACATCAATCTAGTCAGAGTTCATAGGGCACTCACCCGTTTTTTTTAACTGGAAAATGTGAAGAAGCGCATTTAAGAAATTGTACAACTTTTATTATCATCTTTGCGCTCATTTCTACTTAGTCTACGTTGTCCCTCTTCAAAAGGGTTCTGTCTCTGTCTCTCTATTACTCTCTCTTCTCTCACGCGCCTCTCTCTTTGTATCCTCGCCCAATCTTCCACTACCAATCTTTGAGTTTCTTGTCTTGCATTTTCTTCTCTTTCCTGATTCGCAAGTCTTTCTCTTTCTCGTCTCGCTTTTTCCAGCGTCTCTCTTTGTATCCTCACCCTCTCCTCCCTTGCGAATCTTTGTATTTCTTGCCTTGCATTTTCTTCTCTTTCCTGATTTGCAAGTCGTTCTCTTTCTCGTCTCTTTCTTACCATCATCTCTCTTTCTATCCTCACCCTCTCCTCCCTTGCCAATCTTTGTGTTTCTTGTCTTGCTCTTTCTTTTCTTTCCTGATTCACAAGTCGTTCTCGTTCTTGTCTCTCTCTTTCCTGATTCACAAGTCGTTCTCGTTCTTGTCTCTCTCTTTCCTGATTCACAAGTCGTTCTCGTTCTTGTCTCTCTCTTTCCTGATTCACAAGTCGTTCTCGTTCTTGTCTCTCTCTTTCCTGATTCACAAGTCGTTCTCGTTCTTGTCTCTCTCTTTCCTGATTCACAAGTCGTTCTCGTTCTTGTCTCTCTCTTTCCTGATTCACAAGTCGTTCTCGTTCTTGTCTCTCTCTTTCCTGACTCACAAGTCGTTCTCGTTCTTGTCTCTCTCTTTCCACCTTCTCTCTTCGCTTCCTCTCCAACCATTCCAAATGTCTTGCCTCTCCTACTCTTTCCTGATTCACAAGTCGTTCTCGTTCTTGTCTCTCTCTTTCCTGATTCACAAGTCGTTCTCGTTCTTGTCTCTCTCTTTCCTGATTCACAAGTCGTTCTCGTTCTTGTCTCTCTCTTTCCTGATTCACAAGTCGTTCTCGTTCTTGTCTCTCTCTTTCCTGATTCACAAGTCGTTCTCGTTCTTGTCTCTCTCTTTCCTGATTCACAAGTCGTTCTCGTTCTTGTCTCTCTCTTTCCTGATTCACAAGTCGTTCTCGTTCTTGTCTCTCTCTTTCCTGATTCACAAGTCGTTCTCGTTCTTGTCTCTCTCTTTCCTCATTCGCAAGTCGTTCCCTTTCCTGTCGTTCTCTTTCCTCTCTCACCTGATCTTCCCTGATCTGCCTTTCAATTTCAAACTGTTCTTCAATATCTTCCTGATCAAACTCAAGTTCCTGTTCTTCTTCTTCCTCCTCCTCATATTCATCATAGCCGAAGGCACCGGTCGGCCATGCAGCTTGAGTAGCACCATCCATCTCGTTAGCCACTCGGTTACCACCGGTCAAGCGATGGCTTCCTCCACCAATTTTTGCTCCACACTCGGGGCACTTGGTCTCTTCCATAGCACCCCCACATTCGCCGATTGCATACACGTGACCTTTTGGACATTTGTACCAATGCCCTTGACTGAGACCGATGGCTTTGACAATTTGAACGCGCTCTTGATCGGTGATACCAAGAACCACATGGCCCATCTCCTGCTTAAGTTGTCGAAGAAGCTTAGTTGCCTGAACTTCATTCTCACCGGTAAATGGTGTTTCCTTGTCAACGACACTATCGAAAGCTTTTAGATATCGACTTTGCATGTTTTGATTCAACATGGTCATGTTGCGCGTAAGAACCGTCATGGCCTGAGACCGAAGATTAGCCCGAGAAATTTCTCTTTGTAGGTCATTCATCTGCTGATCGGTGAACTTATCCATCTCTCCCCCGACAACCTCGTTCTTCAGTTCTCGAAGTCGCATTTCCAAGGCATGCATTTGCGTTTTCAACATAAAGGTGACATTTGTTCCAGTTGACACCTTGGCTCTGACATCGGCAATAGCTCGCAAGAACGCGCATCTGTTGAGGCGAGCGAGTATCTTCTCTAGATGTTTCATTTGCGTCAAGTCCGCGACCAGTTTCCGCATGTCTCTCTCGGCAAGAAATCTATCTCTAAAAGCCGTGTGGCTTCTGAGTAGAGACAATTTAGCTTTGAGCTCGTTCATCTTGCTTTCGATCTCTGCTTCGCTTCCTCTCATTTTAGTCTTCACATTCTCCACGTCTCCTAGGGTCTGCTTGATGATATTACCATAGCGGAGATTCCTTCGAATAGGCGTCTTGCATTTGGGACATCCTTTCAGCTGAAATTTAAAACCAAATCACAAATTTATTATAGCAAAACAATTAATAAACCATAACTAGGCCTATAGGTGCCAAATTTTAGTTTCTCATCTGAAAAAATGTCGTTATTCCCTTAAAGCAACACCAAATAAATATATGATTTAAAACATTGTGGGACTTACATGTAAGGCTATTTATATGCTTTCAACATTATTTTGTTAAACCGAGAAGTAAGCCATGTCTGTACATTCATTGGAATAACGATTCATCATAGGGAATGATTAACATGAAGAAAATCGACTAAAGTAAATGCCTATTTTATAATAGCCATCTTCTTAATAAACTGGCTTTAGAGCTTTAGAATTCGACTATTATGTTCGGCTTCCATATAGCTGCATGTAGACTTCCATGCATGTCATAATCTCATCGTTTTGGTTCATATGGCGGCTATTACATTCCCCCCCCCCCCTCCCCCGCCCGAACTATGGCCATTTCATTCATGACACATGAATAACACGCCGGCGCTTTTTTAATCTTCTAACACATATGTAAGGACAAGGGTAAATGTAATTATGAATATTTAAAGTAATTTGAGTGAAGACCCATTTGGCATAATACCGTAAGGACAAAATACTAACCTGAATAGTTACGTCATCGCTGGTATCTTGGGTCATGCTCATGTAGTGATCCAAGGCCTCGACCTCGATCACGTGACCACAGTCCTCCAGCTGAACAAACCTGTAGAATGAAAAAAAAAAAAAGCAATGATATAAATTTATTTCTGCATCAAAATCAGCTAAATATCACGTCTCAAACAAAGCGAGGATTGCATGAATGTATGAATACATATGAACATCAAAATGAGTTCGGGCTAATGTTGCTGTTCAGTTCGAATCTAGGTTACCGCTCTCAAATATTTTTCTGTCTTGAAAACTACTGAAACGTCTTAGTAATTTATCATTGAAAAAGAGAAATGTATATCATAACTTGAAATTGAGGCATTTAGACGTATGTCTAGTGACGACATATCAGGTTGTTTTGCCAAGTATTGCGGTACGCGATCTATTTTACTAAGACAACACTAGAATAATGTCTCCTGTAGAAATTAAACCTGACTGTACAATTTTGTCTTGTTAAATTTAAGTATTGATCTCAGGTTCCTACCTTGTGTCTTCCTCGTCCTCACTACCGAAGAGAATCTCTGTCACCTCCTCTCTGTTGCACACACGGCACTTGGTAGGGCATCTTTCTCCACACATTCCAATGCAGGGATGACCGCAAGGCAGATTTTTCTTACAGGGTTCATCACATGGCTTCCGGTTGCAAGGTTCTCCACACAACTTCGCACACGAGACGTGAGGACATCGCCAGAGACAGGATTCCTTACATGGTATACAAGCTTCTCCGCAGAACTTCCTGCACTCACTGTGCTGACATCTATTTTGACATTGCTTCGTGCAAGGAGGGCACTGGGCCGCACAATTACTCTCACAAGAGTGGCCACAGACAAGTGTCCGACCACAGGGCTGTTGACACACCACATGGAGTCTTCCACGCCGACATTTTCCGCAAGTTCCGGAGCACGGGTGCCCACATGCTAAGGCAAAGTTACATGGATCTGGACACGATTCTGGGCCATCGCAGCAACGCACCTCCACAGTATGTTTGCAAGGCCAGTTGGATTTTGTTGTCTTCTCAACACAGATTTCCTTCTTGCATGGGTCTCCGCAAATACCAGTGCATTTGTGACCGCAGCTAAGCAACCGTTCACATTTATCTCTACATGTAGCATGACTTGGGGATAGAAGGCATGGGAGGCGTTGGAAGTGACCGCATGACAGCTGTTTTTCCATCTTCTCTCTGCACTTCGTTTCACATGGTTCTGAGCAGTTCCTGGTGCACTTATGGCCATTTTCACAGATGGATTTGTTGCAAGGCTGCTTGCAAACGACTTTTGCTTGCTCAGAGTCATGATCATGACAGGGTTCCTTACAGCCATGACCACAGTCCAGGCGAGCTTGACATGGTAATCCACACCCTTGTTTCTCTTTAAGCTGCTGAAATCCATCTACTGAGGAAACGGTGATTGGATTATCCGGGTGATGAGGGCACGTTAACTTCAGACAGCTATCAACCAATTCAAGTCGTCGTGCTTCTTCCAAGATCCTAGCCCACATAGTGCACTGGCTGGACAGAAATGAGAAATTGCCAATGATGTACAATCCTCTTCTTGCGCTGCCCAACACAGTGGCGATACGTTGATCCCTAAGCAGACATCCAGGTCTGCTTCCTCTATCGCTTCCGTTACTCATGAACAAGACGATGTCATTCCCACCTCGGAAGTTATCAACGGTGAGAAGTCGGTCCCTCATGTCACTGCCGAAGAGATTCTGCTGGGCTGGGAATGAGACAAGGATTGAGATCTGTTTCCGTGCAAAGCCCTGACCTAACAGATAGCTAAACAGTTCCAGTAAGAACGAGACTTCGTAAGTTCCTGGAGATGCTTGTACATTGTGATCTATGAGGAATACGTTCTGTTTAATGCCAGTTATTGACGGTAGGTCGATGACTGACTGGTCACTCGTGTATTCGTAGCTGAACAGTTGGCGGCTAAGCTTCGATGAAGCCGGGCTCATTCGATGCTGCATTTTAAGCTCATACACGGAGTAGTTGTTGTCAACCAATTGTTGCATAAGAGTAGCATGAATGCCCTGCATGTCTGCGATCTTCCTTACTGCTTGAAATTGGTCTTCTTTGGGGACATTGTCGCCGATGATGATGAGCTGTTGACAGGCAGATGGGATTATGCCCGACGTTATTGACTGAAGAACATCGGCTCCTTCTTCAATGATGATGACTCGTGGGTTGATACGTTGTAGAACCCTTCGGTTCTTAGCAGCCGACGAAGCAGTCATGCCTATTACAGACGCAGAATTAAGAATAGATTCATCAACGACGTCATGCATCTTCTGACAATCAAGGCAGATCTGCTCCATCTCCTTGAAGATGGCCATTGCTCTTTGATTGCATCTGGCTTCCAGTTTGGTAATCCAAAGTCGATAGATTCTCCATCGATTTTGCGAATGCAGTCTCCACACATCTTCGACCTTCTTTGACTCTGAATCTGTCATCTTGTCCCTGGAAGTAAGTTGCTTACTCACAAAGTTTCTTGTCTGGTTTGACAGGTGGGGAGCTAGGGAGTCGAGCACAAATGGGAGATTCTGTTCTAACCATGCATCTCCGTCTCCATCCTGGCATGTAAAGCGGGACAAATTGAATGGGATACCTTCCTCAAGCTTACGAAGATCGTCTCCACAGCTGTTGTTTGACAAAAGCCACTCCAAGATTACTGCACAGGAATTCAGTTCTTTCCCCGCTTTCAGCTTCTGGTAGTGTTTTTCATCCATGACCACTTTGAGGATCTCTTCCGGGAACATCTTGGTTTGAAGATTCGCTATGTTGTCCTGTACATACCAAAGTCTCTTCTTGCACTTCTCTAGTTTCTTACTAGACAACTGGTCTTCATTAGCCGTTGACACAGGCTGTTTCTCACGCAGATTTTCAATTTGATATTCTTGAAGAGACTTCCTTGTATACTGACCAGCCCATCTCACGATTCCGGTCCGCTGAAAGAAAGACACTCCAGTGAGATATTCATCAAGAGTTCCCCTACTGGCACACATGAAGAGAAGTGGTCCACCATCATTTCCCTCGTAAGATGAACCTGTGATATCACTCCATCGATCCTTATTTAGAACAAAAAGCTGAATAAGCTTCAGGCCTACATGCGTCTTTCCGGTCCCTGGCGGACCAGTGATGACAGTCAACTGCTTCGTGAGAGCTGCCTGTATCGCGGCCAGTTGGTGCTCATCGACGCACAGCTGATCAGTTGCAGGCCACTTCTCTTTATTTAGTAGGGGCGTTCTCCATGTTCGAGGCATAGACCTCCTTCCAGTTCGCTCATTCTTCATCAGAGGACCAACGTCGTATTGCATGTCGGGATCATTCCTAAGATTACGAAAATGTTTATTTTCCGCCACTTGGTAGACAACATGCAGTACCAGAGGAAGGATATTGGTGTCGATTTGCCGCATGGCATCCAATACCTCGTATGATTCTTCAACATACTTCCGAGAGTCGAGCATGTAGAAGTGAGTACCTGACATCAGCAATCTTGTATCTTCTAACCTAAGGAGTCGGAGATCTACAAATCCCTTCTTCAGCCACTGGGGGTCCCGCTTGGCAATTGTGGCGAAAATGATATCATGAAAGTGGTTGTTGGTCAGGCAAACCATAGTTCCAAAGGACAGGATCTTTGTTGTCTCCCATGACACATACTCTAGGGAAGATGTGTCAAACTGAACACGAAACGTCACACCTTTGGATGTATGTGTTGTGATGATCTCATGCAATTTGACATTATCAATGATATGGCATTTCCTCTTCGCCGCATCTAGCCCCATTTCTCTCTTTACGTGGTGATAGTTAGAAATCACTGCACGAAGGGGTTGTACGATGTCTTCCCTCAAAAGTCGGTAGTGGCATTCCAGATAGTTTTTTACAGAAGGACCCATCTCAGCGGTTGTATCACGAAGTACTGCAGTATCTGGATCAGCTACTTCTCCTGCTGTAGGAAATATGGGGATGTTGCATATGTCTTCGGCGGATTCTTCTATACCACTTTCCTCGTTGTTGAGTATCATCCTGACATCCGTTAGCCCTTTTGCATGATTTTTTCTCTCAGGAATGTCCAGACCATACTCAATTGTATCATGTATCACCGCTGCAACCATCTGAAAGCTTTCAGTATTTCCACATCTAAACCGGTAAAATGCCATCAAAACCGATATGGCTTTCGGGAGAATATTCCCACTACAGCACAAATCAGTGTTTATCCTGCACTTCATGACAAGCAGAAGTAGATGGACTTGGATGAACTGCCTGTTTGCTAAGAATCGATATACCTCCTTTGCATCATCACCTCCTATCTTTGAGACTGAGAGAAGAACATCCAGGAGACTTGCCATCATATGATCCCCCAAGTCATCCTTAAGGAGCAGAGCTTCCAACAGTGGTTTCCGAGCTCTCAGTGCAATCGCCAGGTCGCTTTCCTTTTGTCGAAGATAATTCAGTTCTCGTACCGTAAGTTCTGGACCGAAAAGGTTCTCGTGGGTAAGCATTTTTGTCCTGTTGTCTATCTTTCTAGTCCTTTTACGTCGGCCTGTGGTACTGCTTGAAACGGATGATACTGATTCAGTATCACTGAGTATGGTGCTTCCGCTGTCATCATCTAGTACATCTAGTACATCTATACTGCACGGAGTGGGGCGTCTACCTGCCATAATAGAACGAGTATCTAGTAGACTGTTCGCATGGACAGCTGTCGATGCATGTTCCCTTATACTTGTCTGGGCCGAGGAAAAGGAGTCAATCTGCTTGAATTACCGACCAAATATGACGAAATCTATGAGAAAAAAACAATACAAAAATCACGAGTTAGAATAATTTTTCTTAAGATAAGCAGTGACTAACATTGACATGAGGTAATAATAAAAATAGAAGAAGCTTGATATGTAAGATATCAATTCCAAATTCTATTTCTTTTTAAAATTTTGGGTCCATAAATAGAGCAAACTGCAGTGTGGGGGGAACTAAAAACGTATTTGTATTGCGTAGTATTAACAAAATTATAGCAGGACGAGCGTTTACATTGGTTTGAATCCTTCTATACCACTGTGTAGTGATTGTTGATCGCACTTGCACGACAAAGGAAACATAATAACCCCGGAACAAACAAAGTTACTGGTAGACGTAGGACATGACGTTGAGGAAAAAACTGTTATGATAACATTGAAAAATTGCATCTTTAGGTTTATATAAATTGTAAATAAACGGATGACAAGAAAGAAGACGAAACACTTCATGCATGGCTGATCGTCAATGAAGCGGAGTTTGTTGTTTGTTGCTACGGCAGGCAGCCAGTGAAAACGAGTTCGTTTAATAAAACTATGGAAATGCAAGCATTACTTTAAACTAAAAGAAATTTTTTGTTCTTGGCTCATTTTTCCTGTTGAGGTGTCATGAAACTAATGAAAGTACAGAAAATGAATTCTCTGGAAATGTGATTCTCTCTTTGAAATTAAAATAACATTTGCCAACTTTCTTCAATGATTATGTATCATATTAGTTACATCAAATGATAAAGGAGGATCCAACTTTTACAAATATGTGTGATTTATTAATTGTAATTGTGATTAAGTTATGATGAAATTCTTTACAATACAGTCCCAAACTGAAGATGCTAAAGGAGATTCTATGAGATATATTGTTGAACAGTGTATCAACAGAGCAATGCAGTTTGATTCACATTCATTACTGTATTGATTCATTCATTTAATTTCCAATTCTCGTAAAAAATAAATTCAACAATACTTTATACATATAAGCAAATATATAAACAATACAAAAAAGATGGAGGAGCCAGCAGCGGCCACCGGCCTTTCAAAGGCTGGGCTCAAATGGCCGCAGATAATTATACAAAGAGAACAGAAAGAGTGGTAAAACAAGTGTGTACAGGCTAATTAAACATAAGATAGAAATTCCTTCATAAGATGATGTTTGTATTTTCGTTTGAATGAGGCAAGAGTAATTACTCCGGAATATTTTACAGATCTACGTGAAGTATGGTATTTAAACAATGGAATATATAAATCATTAGCATGTCTTGTGTAATGTGGATGAACATCCTTTGTTATTTTGAATATATTATCGAAAATAGAAGGTAACCTGTTATTAGTGTACATAAATGATCCAACTTTATTATATTTTATAGTGCATTTGTTTTTCTTTCTAATTAACATGATCAACAAAATATATTAGAAGTATCCATATGCATCGATATGAACTGTATGACATTTTATTTCAGGAAATCTGTATTAATCTTTATTATTTTATGAAATAAACATTTCACATACAATACATGGAATAATCTACACCAATGCTTTGATTTAAATAGAAAGGGGGTCCCCCGAAAATATCACCCCACAAATAAAAGCGGGTGGTGTACTCATTTTCCGGAAGGTTCGTATTCTTGTTTCATAGCTCCTGAGTCTGAGGTTAGAATTTCTAGCACAAAGTCCGTATTACCAGGGAGTTCACGACTTCATACTTAAGTTGACGAAATCACATTTGATCACGCCGTTAAGTATATGAAATGCCGCAAATATTTAGTTTAGTCATCAATAAATGTCAACAAGAACAAATTTATTTTCTGAAGGGCTTTCTATTGCCAACTGCAGCCTCTTTAAATCAGTTATGATGGCATGATGGTAAAGCACTACATGTTATTATGCACTTAATGTGCATGCAGTCGGGATAATTTATCAATTAAATTTTTTTTTCTTTCAGAACACAGTAACCATGTTCAGAAGGGGGCTTCCTAGTCAGCGTTAGTTAATCACTGCAGCAGTAAATATCCCATAAATATTTGACTTTCACCATTAGTTGTCCATACCCTCTTACTCGGACCAACTTGCCACGATAAGCTCTAAACACGACCTTTGCGTCGACCAAACTTGCAATCCCTTGAACCGGGCCTGACAAGCAGGCGCGTACGCAGGGGGGGGGGGGGGGGGGGGGGGGGGGGTTTGGGGGGTTAAACCCCCCCCTTTGGAATTTTTTTGTGTGTAAACCCCCCTAAAAAAAACCTAAAACCCCCCCCTTTTGGATTTTTTTTTTTTTTTTTTTTTTTTTTTTTTTTTTTTATTAAAAAAAAAAAAAAAAAAAAAAATTATTCCCATGGCCGACCTAAAAAAGGTGACCTTACCCCCCCCCCAACGGAGCAAAATGTCAAATTTCCAAATTTCGAGACCAAAAAAAAAAAAAAAAAAGTGTCCTCTTACCTAGATACAAAAATCTATATTTTGTTTTTGTTTTTTGTTTTTAATTCCTTGTTTGGGTTATTAAAATTAAAAGGATAGGATATTGGAAGAGAGAGAAAGAAAAAGAGAGAGAAGCCTTTATTTTTTAACAGTTATCCACACTCTCTTTTTCTCTCTCTTTTAAATAATTAATGTCATTAATTATTTAAAAGAGAGAGAAAGAAGTAAACTAACATTAGAAAGAAATGCGTTTGTGATTATAGTCAGTTTTTGACTGATTGCCATTATACCAAATGACAACAACAACGGACTGCAGGCAAATTCAGTGTTTGGCGCTGGTGTGATCACCACGCCTTTGTTTAGTACAACATTGATTGGAACGAGCAACCGTTACATCTTCGGTATTCTATAGCCTGGATGTAACATCATAATATATATACACTGTTTGATATCAAACCTATAAAATGCAACGTAGAAATTATCATACTGCTAAGCAAAGTGTTATGAAATGCTTCAAACTTTATGCGGATATATATATAGCTAATGAAACTGCCTTCCCTTTTTGTACTCAGATTTGGTTTTGACGGGGGTGTGCCGCTGAAACCTCAAAACCGGTATCCATTTTGAAGGGTCATTTTGGTGGATTTTTTTCGAAGTAAAGCCCATTTTCCAAAAATTTCGGGTGTTTTTTGCATGGCAAACACCTGGAAAATTTTGAAAAAGCGGACCAATGTTTAGGGCTATTTTTTAAATTAAAAATGGGACCCATGTTTAGGGATTTTTAGTGAAAAAGTTACCCATTAGAGCGGCACACCCCCGTATGTCTTAATATGTGAGTACCCCCCCCCCCCCCGAGATCGACTGCCTTTAGTGCTCGTAATGCTTTGCCTCCCGCACCGCGCCTATATTGCAAAGATTGCAGGACGCACGTACGTAATCCTCGTAGAACAACGTAGAACTATCATACTGTTCATGTGTTTATAAACAAAATGCTGTGAAATTCTTCAAACCGCCAGCCTACGGATTGCGCAATAGATCAAGCGGATTCAAACCGACAGAAAGTTTACGTAAATTATGCAGATATTAAGGAAAGATATATATACGCAGTCTTAAAGGGGAAGTCCACCCTGAAATTAAGTTAGTTTTAATAGGAGTAGAAAATGAGAGAAACAAGTCAGTGAAAGTTTGAGCAAATTCCGATTAAAAATAAGGAAGTTAGGATTTTTGAAGTTGTGATCAATCAAACACAAATTGGCACCTCTATGACGTATCATGCGAGCTCAACTTCCATTTGCTCAGTACTAAAAAAATCTAAAATTTTCAATTTCCCTCAAGAAAAATTTCAACCATACATGCACCCTAAATATAATAATTGCAAATATGTTTCTATACTCCCCCTGCAAGGAACAAATACATATTCCGTCATCAATAACGAAGAAAACATGATTTTATGGAATATTATGCACAAAGCAAATGAAGGAGAGCTCGTATAATAAGTCACAGAGTTGCCAATTTGTATTTGATTGATCACAACTTCAATAATTCATAACTTTCTTATTTTCATTCAGAATTTGCTCAAACTTTCACTCACCTGATTTTCTTATTATTCTGCCTCTATCGAAACAAACTTATTTTGGGGGTGGACTTTCCCTTTAACCATTTTATCAATGATCAATCCATTAACTAATATTATAAATCCACTTACTATAGGCCTACTAAAATCCATTTTAATCGAAAGGCATTCACTGGTTCATGTAGACCTATTATCAATCAAAGTCCACTTAAAATCAAATATTATCAATCAAAGTCCACTTAAAATCAAATATTATCAATCAAAGTCCACTTAAAATCAAATAATCAAGGCGCACTTGTGTAACAAAAAAACAAAAAAGAACAGGAGTAAGATATAGACTCTATATAGACTATATACATTATACATGTATACGGACAGTGGCGTATGCAGGATTTTTTTCAAGGGGGGGGGGGGTTAACATTTATAAATCGGGCCGAAAATTTCGCAACGACTCAGCCAGCCGCTGAATAAGCGGGGGAGGGATGGGGGGGGGGGGGAATAAGAGGACATAATTTTTCTTTTTTTTGTCCCGAAATTTGAAAATCTGACCGATCAATATTTCGTTTCGTTGGGGGGAGGGGGTAAGGTCACCTTTTTTAGGTCACCCATTATAATTATTAGGATTTTTTGAATTTTTAATAAAAATATTACAAAAAGAAGAAAAAAAGGATAGGGGGGGGGGGGTCTCCAAAACACACACATTAAAAATAATGAAGGGGGGGGGGGGTTAACCCCCACACCCCCCCCCCCCTGCATACGCGCCTGTATACGGACATAAAAGAGATGATATTTGTATACACTTTAGCTGGTCTGCTAAATATGATCCTTGAGGGCATACCACAGCGAATTAGGCCCTGCATGTGAAGGGGTTCTCTCAACCACTTGACTAAAGCTATGGTCACAAATCAGAGCAGCGACCGACCGATCAGTAGCCTGCTCGGTCGCTGCTGGAATTAAGCATCGCCCAGCGATTAGGTCGGTGCCCGGGCGGCGACCGCCCAGGCACCGAGCGTATTTTGGGCGGCGAGTGAAAAATGAGCAGGCGCCGCCCAAATTTTAACTCCGCGCTAAAACTTCAGCGGCGACCGAGCGATCCCCTAAAAACGAGCGGTGCCTGGGTGGCCGCCGCTCGGTGGCCGGGCAGCCGCCGGGCATAATTGGTTAAAAACTCGCCGCTCGGCCGCCGAGCAGCCTACTTTTGAGTAATGTGACCATAGCATTAGTGTTGAGTATAGCCTGAAGAAAAATGTACACATTAAAAAGTATTCACGTAATAAATGGTTTTTAAAAAATGCCAGTGTAGCTTTTTCACCAGAAATGTTATCATATTCTTACCATGATACGGCAGTTTTTTAGAGTCCAATGCAGCGAAGTCCCAGACAAGCTCCGAGCATAATTTATACACGCTCAGTCAATCAACACTGGAGTTGAACTTGAAGTTTGAAGCAAAACAGCGTGTAATTATATCCATGTGGAAGACACGTCGACGCACATGTACCATAAAATCTGCTCAGAGAACAATAGTATACAAAATCCCTCAAAATTCAGGAGGGTGTATCTTCGAGCATGTTAAAGAACTGTCACTAATGAGTGACGTGTCAATGTACAAATCTCATGCACACGATGTAAATAGAAATTATTGCATGCATCATTACAATCACCGACGGTACACTGCATCTGCGCAGTAGTGGGTCGGGGAATACCACATTTAGATCAAAGGTCACCGAATGAAATAAGGCTATTGAGGATGTATTATTAATTTGTAATTCATGGATTTGTTTATTTGAATATAAATCATGATTACCGTGCAGTGATTATTACTTCCCTTTCATGTCATACACTTAGCGAATTCCTATCTTCTACCTATAGATCTATACCCTCATCCTAGCCCTAAACCCAACCTGCAACCCAATTGCAATCTTAACCATGAATCTTTGACGAAATAAAGCCCGGTGCAATAATTGTTGCAGAAGCAAATTTCGACTCAATTTGTCGAACGCTTTCTATTTCTAAAGATTCAGTTTCTGATTGATATTCTCTTTAATTCTGATATGCTCCTTAATTCTAAAATTCTGAAAAGTTCTGATGGCTGTTACCATGGTGACCGTGTTTTGTGGTAAATTTTAATTCTATTGAGTCATTGTTATTATATTCTAATGTACCTCCTAATGAAGGTGATAAGATCAGAACCAAAATCATTTCCTTCATTGCATCACATTCGAGTTGACACCACTGTTTTCCTGCAGTGTTGTATGCAAAGTGACTCGGTAACATTGTTGAAGGTTGATGAAAATGCGTAATTTTTGGATGAAATGTTACTTATTAGATTCCTTCTACTGTACTAACCCTCTAACATTCAAACAATCCTGAACAAAATCTCAAACCACAAAGATATTTATGGTTTATTTGAGGGCGTCACTGTGCGACACCCTCTACAGTAATAATCCTAACCATTTTTGAATTTTCACAACCGTTTTTCCATGAAAAAAAGACATAAGACAGGCTTTCAAAAATCTTTCAACACTTAAATGTTTGGAATGGTATACAGAGCCAATTCATTGTTTTGTGACGATTTACATTCACCTAAAATGTAATTCAATTGCAATAATATAGTTGGGAGAATCATTTAAGGATCGATCAGATTAGTTTTCCCAATTTTTATCATTAATAATGGTTTGTTTTCACTCAAACTTTCAAATTATCTTTAATTGTCCATCTAGCATTGAAGTCACTACCTTTTCACCATTTTCTTTTATCTGAACAATGTTACCAAGTCCCTTTAAGGGATATAGGACGTAATCGTCCCGTACACTCTTTTAGAACTCATTTAGCATACCTTAAACTGTATACACAACATTTAGCATGCATGTACCTTAAAGAATACACAACATTCAGCATACCTCAGACCTATACTCCCATTTCCCCATTTCAAAATTTCGACCTAAAATGTGATAACTTTCTTTTTTCTTGTCAGACATTCCGCAAGCGTGCCCCCTTTCAAAAACCTGCATCTTTTCCCAGTTGTATGACTTGTGCATTTTACCCGACTTACATAATCACGTCACTATGAACCAACTCTCACTCACGAAAAAGGGAAAGTCTAATGTGGGGCGCACGTACTAAGGGTGACCATACACCACTACTCGTTTAATATCAAATATCAATGCATAAACTCCCCAACAAATGGTGGTAACAGACCAAACCACACGTTTTGATAGACATGGTTTGTTAGAGATTCAAATAGAAGAGATGAGATAAATGGTACTTGGGAGGGGGAGGGGGGGGGGGAGGAGGGTTACGATATAGTCTCAACCTTCTCTTTTCAAGAACAAAATATTACATTCATTTACATGAGCCTACGACTCCTATGATTAACATTCCAATCAAATAATAAAATCGATGTTAGTTTTAAAGTAAGAGCGTTCGCTTCGTCTTAATTATGCACAATGTTCATTTCACGTTTCCTGTTGATGTTTATTACATACTTAGATAAAACGTAATTTTCTTTTGTTTTGTAAAGCGCTTAGAAACTATATGTGTATACCAGCGCTATATAAATTTTACATATTATTATTATTATCAAATGATATGCGTAACACCCATTACCCTACATTATCCAGGGTTAACTGTTATGTTTTGTCTGGACACGGCGCATTAATGATAAAGCGAAATGAGCATCACGTCTTGGTGTTTGAAACCGAGCTGATTTTTATCAGATGATAAAGATAAGTTTATGTAATCATCACGCCTGTCTGGTCACAGTGGCGTTGCTACAGGAAATGGGGTCATACGATGAGGGTGTTTGCATCGTGGAACAGACTATTTCTGTGAACAATGTTGAAGAGATGAACAATGTCAAAAGCAATGTGATTGAAATGTTTGGCTGTTTTATTTTCGGATTAAGTAATACTTATGTCATTGTTATTGTCGCACATTGACATTGAACTTGTCATATCCTAGTCTCACCACAGAGACCAACACCAGACCGACAATGGACCCAACAAAATGCCACATCATCCACAATGGCGCAATATCGGTTGGTTTAGATTAAAGGGGAATATTTTTCAAATAATATTTTTAATGGCCTACAAATTGAAATTAACATGAACTTTGAGGTTAGACGATGTGACGAAGGACTTATTTTGGTGTATGAATGTCTTTGTGATTGTGTTTTTATAGGAAAGTGAACAAATCAAGAAATTTAAACTTGGACTACCTGATGGAGACGGTTGTCCAGGTCTGACCTCTCCTTTCTAGGCCACCGAGAAGGAGAGGGGGGCGGGGGTAACTTTCTGGACCACCGACGTTATTTATCACTGATTGATCAGAGTAAAATGTGGAACTACATAAACTTTTTTGTTTAAGTGTTCAAAAATAATTCACAACACTGCGTTCATAATGTGGGAAAGTACAATCTCTCCGGCAAGTGATATCCTAAAGAAATGAGACTCGGTGAAGCAGTGTGAAATCTGATTCGATAAACTTTATTTCATGCAACAAAAACATTATCTGAAATGAACAAGTTAACAATCTTTCTGGAATTGAATCACAAATCAGAATTAAGGAATAAACAGCAAATGCTCTCTGTCACCAACCGATAATCGCACAATAATAATTCTCATCTAAGTCGGGAAAGATAGTACACAAATAATGGAAGATATAATTATTCAAAACACACTTTAGGATTTCAAACCCTTAACTCTGTTTTCCACCAAATTCTATCTAAGACACAAGAGCATTTTACTTTAATACAATCCACTTTGATAAATCAAATTTGTGTACTTATGTCAAAATAAGGACTAAAAGTACAAGTCTTTTACCTTTGTCATCGTTAAACTTCTTCCTTTATTTTCACTATGAAAACAAAATCAACAACAAATATTGTATTGTAAATTATTCAACCGAATCAACGCATAGTTTGGAGGAATTCCACGGAGAAGGAGCTGGGGTCCGTTTCATAAAACTTGTTATCTATAACAAATATTAAATTTCTATGACAAACTTGCTCTCAGCCAATCAGATGCCGTGATTTCAGTAGCTTATAACAGTAGCTTGTAACTTGATATTGATATCAAGTTTTATGAAACAGGGCCCTGGTGCAATGAAGGATTGATTTCCATATGCTTCCATGTTTACACAGTGTACAGCCAGAAGATGTTGTGACATTGACCAATTAAACATCATGAACCCATTGTATTAATACTACTACTACTACTATACTGCTGCTACTACTACTACTACTACTACTAATAATAATAATAGTGGGATCTTGTGTAGTGCTCATGTCTGTCAGACTTGACACTCTTGGCCAGTGGCGGATCCAGGGGGGGGGGGCCGGGCCCCCCCTTGAGAAAAAAATCATGTAAAATCACGTGATTTTTACCTTTTTTGGGGGTTGGGCCCCCCCCCCCTGGCGCTCAAGGGGGGGGGGTGCAAATCGAAAAAATTTTGAGGATCAAAAAAAAAAAAAGTGCTCCCTACCCCCCCCCCCCCCCACTGAACGAATTTTTGGCCGGCGCGTTTTTCAAATTTTCGGGAGCAAAAAAAAAAAATGTGCTCTGTACCCCCCCCCCCCCCCCCCCCCCCCCCCCCCCCCACTGAGCGACTTTTCGGCCGGCGCGATTTTCAAATTTTCGGGAGCAAAAAAAAAAAAAATTGGGCCCCCTCCCCTAAGAAATCCTGGATCCGCGCCTGCTCTTGGCGCTCCACAATTATTACCCCGGCTTTATCATGTTATTAATTATGGTGCTCTAGCATTTCAAGGAATTAATTCCTGCCAGGTACCCATTTACATCACCTGGGTCGAGTGTGATCCAGAGTCCGGTGACGTGTCTACTCGACCACGACACCCCAGCGTAACGACCGATTTTCAGTACTCCTATAACCTTATACTAACTACATGTATATAATAATATTTCAAACAAAATGAAATTGCAGAACCTTAACAAGCGATGAAATAATTAGTTGACTAAAATCGTGTTCTTCTAAACAATAGGGACTTTTAGATTTGCGTGGACTGATACGTGTGACGTCCATTCAAGGCAGTGCATTAAAAGGACGTCGATCGTAGCAATCCACGCTGTCGTTGTGCAAATCTAAAAGTCCCTAATACCAACAAGGGATAACATGTCACAAACGATCAGTGTTTACGGGAGGACGTAAACACATAGTAATGACTTATTTTTAATTCAATATGAAAGGAGTAACTATAAAGCGATAACCAATACTCTGGTAATATAGTCCAAAGAAATAACACGGAATGTACAATAATATGAGGGAGGAAATGTGATACTTACTGATTGATCCTTACCTCTAAATAAGTTACATTGTTATTTACGTTTCAATCTTTGTTTAATTACTATGAAATGTACCCATATTATGATTTGTCAAAATCTGTTAAGTGCTCAAGCAGATAAAGCGTTTACATAGCTGGTATGATATGCATTACCGTTAGCCGTCTTTTGATGAATTCAAATTAATTTACAAAAATGCACATTTGCATACTTATCAATTCCTCAAATTCTAATAATTGGCGGCTCCTCAATATCATTAAAAACAAGTATAAGTACGCGTAAAATATATTGAGAATGTAGTGTTTTTGTAGTATAAGTGTTCAGTACGAAATAGGTATGATAAATTCACAGGACACTAAAAGCAACAACAAAAAGTGTTGTGATAAATGCAATTAAATTGCAGTAACAATAACATAATACTATTGGATTTTTATATAGCGCACATATCCACTCAATGCGCTCCAATATCACATCGGCTGTGCTAGGCGACCGAATTCTGTGCTCACAACATTCAAGGAACTCCTTCCTACCGGTACACATTACCGGTACACCTTAGTAGAGAGTGGCAAATCTAGATTAATGTTTTGCCAAATGACATTTGTGCCGCGGCGGGATTCGAACGGCGAACCATGTGATCCACAGTCGAATACATATCCACTAGACCGCGACACCTCAACTATGATTATTACTTATTCAAATCGTTTTCAAGTCGTATGATCAACATGATATATACATGTATTCTATATAAGATATTCTTTCAGTAGAATTGCTACATGAACTACTAGTGAACTTATATTTTCATTTGTTGACGTATGCAGATGACTACACAATTGTCAATGGATAGTAGTTTTTCAATAACATCAATAGCACAATTAAATTCTTTAGTATATTTACAACATTACATTTCTATTATGTGAGTATGAAATCAAGATTATTCTGTTATTTTTTCAAAATAACGATTTTTAGATAAAGGACATTAATACAACTGCGAACAATAACCTACATATTGCCATTACAGAATAATGATAAGCAATGACAAGCAAACAAATAACATTTATAGTTAACAACTAAATTATTCATACCCCTTGTAAATTTGATGTTATTAGTTTGTTGTTCGTAACACAAGAATGAAAGGGGGACTGGTGCAATTACTGCCTTCCTTGAATACTATTAGATACAATCTATAATAAATATTATGTACCACTCTCAAGAAGCACAAGACAAATCATTTTTTCACATACTTAAACAAATAATAAACTTGGTAAGGGTATGCATAGTTTAGTTGTTAACTGTAAGTATGTAAGAAATACAATAACTATATACATGTACCGTATGTAATGCCATTAGTTACAAATCACATGGTCTACCCATGACACTTCTCTCCATAATTCAAAATTGACAAAAATGAAATTAATGACGATCGAAAGGTTTTAATTGTTATTTGTATACACTATAAGAAAATTTAAGTGAACAAGATTTTTAAAGCATTAACTTTTCAACATAGATCTTCTCAGAGTTCACCGGACCTTCATCCATTTGTCTTTTTTACCTGAAAATGTGAAGTAGTACATTTAAGAAATTATACAACCTTTATTTTCTTCTTGTCGTTGGTAATTTCTACTTAGTCTACGTTGTTGCTCTTCAAAGTCGTGCTGCTCTCGCATTCTTTCTTGTCTCTGTCTCTCCAATATTCTCTCTTCTCTCGCGCGTCTCTCTCTTTCCATTCTCACCCTCTCATCCATTGCATATCTTTGTATTTCCGGTCTTGCCCTTTCTTCTCTTTCCTGATTCACAAGTCGTTCTCTTTCACGTCTCCGTCTTTCCACCCTCGCCATCTCCTCCCTTGCCAATCTTTGTGTTTCTTGTCTTGCTCGTTCCTGATTCACAAGTCGTTCTTGTTCTTGTCTCTCTCTTTCCACCTCCTGTCTTTGCATCCTCTCCAACCATGTTAATTGTCTTGCCCTTCCTTCTCTTTCCTCATTCACTAGTCGATTTCTTCCCTGTTCTCTTTCCTGTCGTTCTCTTTCCTCTCTTTCCTGATCTTCCCTGATCTGCCTTTCAATTTGAAACTGTTCTTCAATATCTTCGTGATCAAACTCAAGTTCCTGTTCTACTTCTTCCTCCTCCTCATATTCATCATAGCCGAAGGCACCGGTCGGCCATGCAGCTTGAGTAGCACCATCCATCTCGTTCGCAACTCGGTTACCCCCGGTCAAACGATGGCTTCCTCCACCAATTTTTGCTCCACACTCGGGGCATTTGGTCTCTTCCATTGCACCCCCACATTCGCCAATTGCATACACGTGACCTTTTGGACATTTGTACCAATGCCCTTGACTGAGGCCGATGGCTTTGACAATCTGAACGCGTTCTTGATCGGTGATGCCAAGAACTACATGGCCCATCTCCTGCTTAAGCTGTCGAAGAAGCCGAGTTGCCTGAACTTCATCCTCACTGGTAAACGGTGTTTCCTTTTCAACGACACTATCGAAAGCTTTTCGATATCGACTTTGCATGTTTTGATTCAACATGGTCATGTTGCGCGTAAGAACCGTCATGGCCTGAGCCTGAAGATTAGCCCGAGAAATTTCTCTTTGTAGGTCATTCATCTGCTGATCCGTGAACTTATCCATCTCTCCCCCGACAACCTCGTTCTTCAGTTCTCGGAGTCGCATTTCCAAGGCCTGCATCCGAGTTTTCAACATAAAGGTGACGTTTGTTCCAGTTGACACCTTGGCTCTGACATCGGCAATAGCTCGCAAAAACGCGCATCTGTTCAGGCGAGCGAGTATCTTCTCTAGATGTTTCATTTGCGTCAAGTCCGCGACCAGTTTCCGCATGTCTCTCTCGGCAAGAAATCTATCTCTAAAAGCCGTGTGGCTTCTGAGTAGAGACGATTTAGCTCTGAGCTCGTTCATTTTGCTTTCGATCTCTGCTTCGCTTCCTCTCATTTTAGTCTTCACATTCTCCACGTCTCCTAGGGTCTGCTTGATGATATTACCATAGCGGAGATTCCTTCGAATGGGCGTCTTGCATTTCGGACATCCTTTCAGCTGAAATTTAAAACCAAATCACAAATTTATTATAGCAAAACAAATAATAAACCATAACTAGGCCTATAGGTGCCAAATTTTGGTTTCTCATCTGAAAAAATGTCGTTATTCCGCTTAAAGCAACAACAAAAAAATATTTGATTTAAAACATTGTGGGACTTACATGTAAGGCTCTCTTCGTGCTTTCAACATTATTTTGTTAAACCGAGAAGTAGGCCATGTCTGTACATTCATTGGAATAACGATTCATCATAGGGAATGATTAACATGAAGAAAATCGACTAAATTGCCTATTTTATAATAGTCATCTTCTTAATAAACTGGCTTTAGGACTTTAGAATTCGACTATATGTTCGGCTTCCATGCATGTCAAAATCCCATCGTTTTGGTACATATGGCGGCTATTACATTTCCTCGCCCGAACTATGGCCATTTCATTCATGACGCTTGAATAAAACGCCGGCGCTTTCTTGATCTTCTTACACATATGTAAGGACGAGGGTAAATGTAATTATGATTACTTAATGTAATTTGAATGAAGACCCATTGGCCATAATACCATAAGGACAAAATACTAACCTGAATAGTGACGTCATCGTTGGTATCTTGGGTCATGCTCATGTAGTGATCCAATGCCTCGACCTCGATCACGTGACCACAGTCCTCCAGCTGAACAAACCTGTAGAATGAACAAAACAAAAACAATGATATAAATTTATTTCTGCATCAACAAAGCGAAGAATGCATGCATGTATGAATAAAGTACATCAAAACGAGTTCGGGCTAATGTTGCCGTTTACTTCGAATATAGGTTACCGCTCTCAAAACTTCTTCTGTCTTGAAAACTACTGAAACGTCTTTAAAGTTATCATCGAAAAAGAGAAATATATCATAACTTGAAATTGCGGCATTTAGACGTATGTCTAGTGACGACATATCAGGTTGTTTTGCCAAGTACTGCGGTACGTGATCTATTTTACTTTGAAAAAATAGCATAATGTCCCCTGTATTGACTGTACAATTTGTCCTGTTAAATTTAAGTATTATTTGATCTCAGGTTCCTACCTTGTGTCTTCTTCGTCCTCGCTACCGAAGAGAATCTCTGTGACTTCCTCTTTGTTGCACACCCGACACTTGGTGGGACATCTTTCTCCACACATGCCAATGCAGGGATGTCCGCAAGGGAGATTCTTCTTACAGGGTTCATCACATGGCTTCCGGTTGCAAGGTTCTCCACACAACTTCGCACACGAGACATGAGGACATCGCCAGAGGCAGGATTCCTTACATGGTATACAAGCTTCTCCGCAGAATTTCCTGCATTCACTGTGCTGACATCTATTTTGACATTGCTTCGTGCAAGGAGGGCACTGGGCCGCACAATTACTCTCACAAGAGTGGCCACAGACAAGAGTGCGACCACAGGGCTGTTGACACACCACATGGAGTCTTCCACGCCGACATTTTCCACAAGTTCCGGAGCACGGGTGCCCACATGCTAAGACAAAGTTACATGGCTCTGGACACGATTCTGGGCCATCGCAGCAACGCACCTCCACTGCATGTTTGCAAGGCCAGTTGGATTTTGTTGTCTTCTCAACACAAAATTCCTTCTTGCATGGGTTTCCGCAAATGCCAGTGCATTTGTGACCGCAGGTAAGCAACCGTTCACATTTATCTCTACATGTAGCATGACTTGGGGAAAGAAGGCATGGGAGACGTTGAAAGTGACCGCATGTCAGCTGTTTTTCCATCTTTTCTCTGCATTTTGTTTCACATGGTTCTGAGCAGTTCCTGGTGCACTTATGGCCATTTTCACAGATGGTTTTGTTGCAAGGCTGCTTGCAAACGACTTTTGCTTGATCAGAGTCATGATCATGACATGGTTCCTTACATCCATGACCACAGTCCAGGCGAGCTTGACATGGTAATCCACACCCATGTTTCTCCTTAAGCTGCTGAAATCCATCTACTGAGGAAACGGTGATTGGATTATCCGGGTGATGAGGGCATGTTAACTTCAGACAGCTATCAACCAATTCAAGTCGTCGTGCTTCTTCCAAGATCCCCGCCCACATAGTGCACTGGCTGGACAGAAATGAGAAATTGCCAATGATGTACAATCCTCTTCTTGCGCTGCCCAACACATTGGCGATACGTCGATCCCTAAGCAGACATCCAGGCCTGCTCCCTCTTTCGCTTCCGTTACTCATGAACAAGACGATGTCATTCCCACCTCGGAAGTTATCAACGGTGAGAAGTCGGTCCCTCATGTCACTTCCGAAGAGATTCTGCTGGGCTGGGAATGAGACAAGGATTGAGATCTGTTTCCGTGCAAAGCCCTGACCTAACAGATAGTTAAACAGTTCCAGTAAGAACGAGACTTCGTAAGTTCCTGGAGATGATTGTACATTGTGATCTATAAGGAATACGTTGTGTTTAATGCCAGTAATTGGTGGTAGGTCAATGACTGACTGGTCACTCTGGTATTCGTAGCTGAACAGTTGGCGGCTGAGTTTGGATGCATTTAGGCTCATTCGATGCTGCATTTTAAGCTCATACACGGAGTAGCTGTTGTCAACCAACTGTTGCATAAGAGAAGCATGAATACCGTGCACGTCTGCGAATTTCCTTACTGCTTGGAATTGGTCTTCTTTGGGGACATTGTCGCCGATGATGATGAGCTGTTGACAGGCAGATGGGATTATGCCCGACGTTATTGACTGAAGAACATCGGCTCCTTCTTCAATGATGATGACTCGTGGGTTGATACGTTGTAGAACCCTTCGGTTCTTCGCAGCCGATGAAGCAGTCATGCCTATTACAGACGCAGCACCAAGAATAGATTCATCAATGACGTCATGCATCTTCTGACAATCAAGGCAGATCTGCTCCATCTCCTTGAAGATGGCCATTGCTCTTTGATTGCCTCTGGTTTCCAGTTTGGTAATCCAAAGTCGATAGACTCTCCATCGATCTCGCGAATCCAGTCTCCACACATCTTCGACCTTCTTTGATTCTGAATCCGTCATCTTGTCCCTGGAAGTAAGTTGCTTACTCACAAAGTTTCTTGTCTGGTTTGACAGGTGAGGAGCTAGGGAGTCGAGTACAAATGGGAGATTCTGTTCAAACCATGCATCTCCGTCTCCATCCTGACATGTAAAGCGAGACAAATTGAATGGAATACCTTCCTCAAGTTTACGAAGATCGTCTCCACAGCTGTTGTTTGACAGAAGCCACTCCAAGATTACTGCACAGGAATTCAGTTCTTTCCCCGCTTTCAGTCTCTGGTAGTGTTTTTCATCCATGACCACTTTGAGGATCTCTTCCGGGAACATCTTGGTTCGAAGGTTTGCTATGTTGTCCTGTACATACGAAAGTCTCTTCTTGCACTTCTCTAGTTTCTCACTAGACAACTGGTCTTCATTAGCCGTTGACACAGCCTGTTTCTCACGCAGATTTTCAATTTGATATTCTTGAAGAGACTTCCTTGTATATTGACCAGCCCATCTCACTATTCCGTTCCGCTGAAAGAAAGACACTCCAGTAAGATATTCATCAAGAGTTCCCCTACTGGCACACATGAAGAGAAGTGGTCCACCATCATTTCCCTCGTGAGATGAACATGTGATATCACTCCATCGATCCTTATTTAGAACAAAAAGCTGAATAAGCTTCAGGCCTACATGCGTCTTTCCAGTCCCTGGTGGACCAGTGATGACAGTCAACTGCTTCGTGAGAGCCGCCTGTATTGCGGCCAGTTGGTGCTCATCGACGCACAGCTGATCAGTTGCAGGCCATTTCTCCTTATTTAGTAGGGGCGTTCTCCATGTTCGAGGCATAGACCTCCTTGCAGTTCGCTCATTCTTCATCAGAGGACCGACGTCGTATTGCATGTCGGGATCCTTCCTTAGATTACGAAAAATCTCATTTTCTGCCACTTGGTAGACAACATGCGGTACCAGAGGAAGGACATTGGTGTCGATTTGCCGCATGGCATCCAATACCTCGTATGATTCTTCAACATACTTCCGAGAGTCGATCATGTAGAAGTGAGCACCTGACATCAGCAATCTTGTATCTTCTAGCCTAAGGAGTCGGAGATCTACAAATCCCTTCTTCAGCCACTGTGGGTCCCGCTTGGCAATTGTGGCGAAAATCATATCATGAAAGTGGTTGTTGGTCAGGCAAACCATAGTTCCAAAGGACAGGATCTTTGTTGTCTCCCATGACACATACTCTAGGGAAGATGTGTCAAATTGAACACGAAACGTCACACCTTTGGATGTATGTGTTGTGATGATCTCATGCAATTTGACATTATCAATGATATGGCATTTCCTCTTCGCGGCATCTAGCCCCTCTTCTCTCTTTACTTGGTGATACTTAGAAATCACTGCACGAAGGGGTTGTACGATGTCTTCCCTCAAAAGTCGGTAGTGGCATTCCAGATAGTTTTTCACAGAAGGACCCTCCTCAGCGGTTGCATCACGAAGTACTGCAGTTTCCGGATCAGCTACTTCTCCTGCTGTAGGAAATATGGGGATGTTGCATATGTCTTCGGCGGATTCTTCTTTACCACTTTCCTCGTTGTTGAGTATCTTCTTGACATCTGTAAGCCCCTTTGCATAACTCTTTCTCTCGGGAATGTCTAGACCATACTCAATTGTATCATGTATCACCGCTGCAACCATTTGGAATCTTTCGGTATCTCCACACCCAAACCGGTAAAATGCCATCAAAACCGATATTGCTTTCGGGAGAGCATTGCCACTAGAGCACAAACCAGTGTTCATCCTGCACTTCATGACAATCAGAAGTAGATGGACTTGGATGAACTGCCTGCTTGCTAAGAATCGATATACCTCCTTTGCATCATCACCTCCTATCTTTGAGACTGAGAGGAGAAGATCTAGGAGATTTGCCATCATATGATCCCCCAAGTCATCCTTAAGAAGCAGAGCTTCCAAGAGTGGTTTCCGAGCTCTCAGTGTAATCGCCAGGTCGCTTTCCTTTTGTCGAAGATAATTCAGTTCTCGTACTGTAAGTTCTGGACCGAAAAGGTTCTTGTGGGTTTGCGTTTTTTTCCTGTTGTCTCTCTTTCTAGTCCTTTTACGTTGGCCTGTGGTACTGCTTGAAACTGATGATACTGATTCAGTATCACTTAGTATAGTGCTTCCTCTGTCATCATCTAGTACATCTACACTGCACGGAGTGGGGCGTCTACCTGCCATAATGGAATGATTATCTAGTAGACTGTTCTCATGGGTGAAATGCTTTGTTTATGGACAACTTTCGATGCATGTTTCCTTACTGTACTTGTCTGGGTGGAGGAAAAGAAGACGATCTGCTTGAAATACCTTAGCTAGAAGGACGTCCGGTTCTATATCCGACCAAATTTGACGAAATCTATGAGAAAATAAACAATACAAAAATCACGAATTAGAATAATTTTTCTTAAGATAAGCAGTGACTAATATTGACATGAGGTAATGATATAAATAGAAGAAGCTTAATATGTAAGATATGAATTCCAAATTCTGTTTTGTTTTAAATTCTTGTGGCCCCAGAGCATTTACACCACTTCAAACGAAACTGCAGTTTATGTGTGTGCGTGTGTGTGTGTGTGTGGGGGGGGGGGGGTGGGGACTTAACACTTATTTGCATTGCGTAGTATCAATAACATTATAGCAGGACGAGCGTTTACATTGGTTTGAATCATTGATACCACTGGGTAGTGATTGTTGATCACACAGCTTGCACAAAAAAGGAAACATAACCCCGCAACAAAGTTACTGGTACACGTACATGTAGGACATGACGTTGAGGAAGAAATTGTTATCATGGTTATGATCAAATTATATCTTTATATTTATTTAGGGGGGTAAGAGCACATTTGTTTGTGTGTGTGTGTCCCAAAATTTGGAAATTTGGTTTGTCGATATTTGGTTTCGGGGGGGGGGGGGGGGGTCAGCTTTTTGGGCCCACCCATTACCACATTTAAAAAAAAAAAATTAATTAAAAAAAACAAATTGAAGGGGGGGGGAATTTTTTCCTCAAAAACACACACATAAAAAAAGGTGAAGGAACCCCCCCCCCTGCGTACTCGCCTGATACAGTCCCAAACTGAAGATGCTAAAGGAGATTCTATGAGATATATTGTTGAATAGTGTATCAACAGAGCAATGCAGTGTGATTCACATTCTCTACTGTATTAATTCATACATTCATTTTATTTCCAATTCTCGTAAAAAAATACAATCAACAATACTTTATACATTTAAGCAAATATATAAACAATACAAAGAATATGGAGGAGCCAGCAGCGGCCATCGGCCTTTCAAAGGCTGGGCTCAAATGGCCGCAGATAATTATACAAAGTAAAGAGAACAGAAAGAGTGGTAAAACAAGTGTGTACAGGCTAATTAAACATAAGATAGAAATTCCTTCATAAGATGATGTTTGTATTTTCGTTTGAATGAGGCAAAAGATGGGTACATCTTTCCATCAGTAGGTGTTGCATTCCAAGTAATTACTCCGCAATATATTACAGATCTACGTGAAGTATGATATTTTAACAATGGAATATATAAATTCATTAGCATGTCTTATTTTGAACATATTATCAAAAATAGAAGGTAACCTATTATTATTGTACATATACATACATGATCCAACTTATTACATTTTCTAGTGCATTTTTTTCTTTATAATTAACATGATCAACAAAATATATTAGAAGTATCCATATGAATCGATATGACCAGTATGACAATTTATTTCAGGAAATCTTTATTAATCTTTATTATTTTATAAAATAAACATTTCACATACAAGACATGGAATAATCTACACCAATGCTTTGATTCAAATAGAAAGAGGGGCACCCGAAAGTATCACCCCACACATAATAGCGGGTGGTGTACTCATTTTCCGGAAGGTTCGTATACATGTACATGTTTCGTAGCTCCTGAGCCTGAATTCCTAACACAAAAGACCGCATTACCAGGGAGTTCACGACTTCATGCTTAAATTGATGATATTTGAAAGGCCGCAAATATTTAGTTTAGTCATCACTCATCAATAAATGTAAACAAATGTCAATTTTTCTCACCATGCACGGCTCGGTTTGCCCAAACTTATTTCCTGAAGGGCTTTCTATTGTCAACTGCATCCTGCTTTAAATCAGTTATAATAGCATGAGGGTAAAGCACTGCATGTGATTATGCACTGAACGTTAGGTTAGTGCATGCAGTCGGGATCATTTAGCCTTTATCAATTGAAATTCTTTTCTTTCAGAACACATTAGCCATGTTTAGACGGGGGCTTCCTAGTTCAGCGTAAGGTCATCACTACAGGTAATCACTGGGTGTTTGCATGGCAAACACCAGGAAAATTTTGAAAAAGCGGACCAATGTTTAGGGGTATTTTTTTAATTAAAAATGGGACCCATGTTTGGGATTTTTAGTGAAAAAGTTACCATTAGAGCGGCACACACCCGTATGTCTTAATATGTGAGTACCCCCCCCCCCCCCCGGGATCGACTGCCTTTAGTGTTCGTTATGCTTTGCCTCCCGCGTATATTGCAAAGATTGCAGGACGCACGTACGTAATCCTCGTAGAACAACGTAGAACTATCATACTGTTCATGTGTTTATAAACAAAATGTGAAATTCTTCAAACCGCCAGCCTACGGATTGCGCAATAGATCAAGCGGATTCAAACCAACAGAAAGTTAACGTAAATTATGTAGATATTAAGGAAAGATATATATGCAGTCTTAACCATTTTATCAATGATCAATCCACTCACTAATAATATAAATCCACTTAGGCCTACTAAAATCCATTTTAATCGAAAGGCATTCACTGGTTTATGTAGACCTAGAGTCTAGATCTAGTCTATTATCAATCAAAGTCCACTTAAAATCAAATAATCAAGGCGCACTTGTGTAACCAAAAACAAACAAAAACAGGAGTAAGATATAGATCTAGACTCTATATAGACTATATACGGACAGTGGCGAACGCAGGATTTTTTTTAAAGGTGGGGGGGGGGGGGGGGGGGGGGGGGGTAAGAGGACATTTTTTTTTGGTCACAAAAATTGCAACGACTCATTTTTTTTTTGTCCCGAAATTTGAAAATTTGACCGATCGACATTTCGTTTTGTTGGGGGGGGGGGGGGGGGGGGTAATGTCACCCTTTTTTTTAGGCCGCCCGTTAGCATACTTTTTTTAAATATTTTTTTAAAAATAAAAATATTATTATTAAAAAAAAATTAAAAAAGGGAAAGGGGAAGGTTTTTTCCTCCAAAACACCTCCCAACTCCCCCTGAATACGCGCCTGCATGTATACGGACATGAACTAGAGATGATATTTGTATACACTTTAGCTGATCTGCTAAATATGATCCTTGAGGGAGAGCATACACAGCGAATTAGGCCCTGCATGTGAAAGGGTTCTCTCAACCACTTGACTTAGTGTTGAGCTTAGGTCTTTGTTTAGGAAGAAAAATTGAAAAGTAATCACGTAATTAATAGTTTTAACAAAATGCAAGTGCAGCTTTTTCCACCAGAGATGTTATCATATTCTTACCATACGGCAGTTTTCTAGAGTCCAATGCAGCGAAGTCCCAGACGAGCCCCGAGCATAATCAATAAACGCTGAGTGAATCAACACTGGAGTTGAACTTGAACTGGTTTGAAGCAGAATAACAAACAGTGTGTCATGAGTCATCCATACAGCCAACTTGAAGACACGTCGACGCACATGTACCATAAACTGCTCAGAGAACAATAGTATACAAAATCCCTCAGAATTCAGGAGGGTGTATCTTCGAGCATGTTCAACATAAATCACAGGTCTGTCAGTGAACAAATCTCATGCACAAATGCAGAATGTAAATAGGAATTAGTACATGCATCATTATAAACGCCGACGGTACACTGCATCTGCGCAGTATAGTGGGACGGGGAATACCACATTTAGCTCAAAGGTCACCGACGCGACACGATTAGTCTCCTTACCAGGTTTGTATCTGTTAAAAAAAAATCACCTTGAACACATTAAATAAATAAATAGCAATAGAATATGAGTTGTAAGAGAGAGGGGGGGGGGTACATTCTTTGTGCATGGCGAAAATACAAACACGGCCGTTATTACTGACGAATTAAGTCACGTTTTCCATGCGCGAAACGCGTATATAAACGGGAATCGCAACTGTTATTAGGGTCGCTCGATCTTGTCGTCAACGATTGCATGAGATGAGGCTATTGGGGAATACCACGGTATGGGAAACCCAGGCTGCATCATCTGAAAACGATATATAAAACTATTCACATTTATAATAAGTTACTGGCAGAGGCGGTGCTCCAGGAAAAGTGCCCCTTTTACTTTTACTAGTGCCCCTTCCATGGCTACTGTGCCCTTCCCCTTCTGGTAAGTGTCCCATGTCACCTCTGATGAGTGCCCCCCTTTTTTTTACACGTGCCCCTTTTGTGGTAAGTGCGCCTATCAAAATCTACAATACGTGTCCCTTTTCCTTTCTCATAAGTGCCCCCTTTTCACTGCTAAGTCACCCCGTCACCTCTGTGTGTCCCCCTTTTCTTTCGATTCATGCTCATTTTTCCTTTCTAACAGGTATCACCTTTCTATTTGATAAATACCCCTTATTCTGATCATGAAAAGCCCATCCCTTCATATAAATACCCCTTTTCATCTCTGATAAGTGCCCCATTTATATTGACACATGCTCCCTTTTCCTCTCAAATAAGTGTCCTTTTCCCTTCTGATACCCCCCCCCCTTTTTTTGAAAATCACCTTTTTCTTCTCATAGATGCCCCTTTTCACCCCTGATAATCATATTCAAATCTGATAGATGCCCGTTTTCCATTTTATTTACAGGCCAATCCCTTTACATAAATACCCCTTTTAACTCTGATAAGTGCCCCATTTATTTTGAAACGTGCCTTTTTTTCCTAATACGTGTCCTTTTCCCATCTAATAAGTGCCCACTTTTCCTTTCTCCAAATCGTGCGCCCCAAACTTAAAGCGACTTAAAGCAATTTGTTTTCTTAAGCTCGTTTGCTACACTCGCTCAATTTTGATCTAATTATGTTACTTATAAAGGTATATTCAGTCTTTCATGATAAGATTGTGCTTAAAAACAACTTGATCAGGATTTTTTTTTTCTATAAAAGATGTAATTTTTCGAACTGCGACCTAAAAACTACTAAATAATTTTGCTCGCTCGCAATTATATTCAGACAATCACATCCAACTGCAAGACAGAAACAATATTGAAAGCATCTCTGATAATCATGACAATGTATAGGGGTATATACTAATGTATACAAAATGTTTTAAGGTTTCTTTTATAGGTTTCCTTTTTTGTTGGTGCCCCCTCTTTGGATGACTCTCCGCCCCCACCCCTTACGGTTACTAAGTAGGCCGACACTATAGCTGAGCTTTTCCCAGCTGCATAAACATACTGAGGGTCTTGACTCAACCGAGACAAGATTATGCAGGCACGTGACACGTTGTGGCGGATCGACAATCATAGTCTATTGAAGGGGCAGGCGGAGCTGGCCTGAAATTCGAAGGGGCTAGCGCAAATACCCCGTTCTTTATAGAGGTTAGTGTGAGATCGAATACGGGTCCTGTAGCCTTGTGGGTGTTTCATCAACTAAAATTGATTTCGATTTAAAAAAATGATTTCAAGGCCGAATTAATTTAAGCTTGAAATTTTTACTTGTGAGCTGTTTCATCAAATCGATTTTAAGGGTTGATGACAACCCCCCTTCCCCCCCCCCCCCCCCCAGATATTGCCACCGAGGCAAGTTTCACCAGAATCTGCCTGTGTAATGTGGAAAACCCAACTATTATTAGAAACGTACAGGCATTTATCCACATACAAGACAAAGAGGTGGGGAATCCCACGTCAATGAACTCCGATATGGGGAAGTTCCTGTTTACAGAGTGGAACAAATAATTGTACAGACTTGTAGAGCTACTTTTATACACCCAGACTATACACTGATCGTTAACGCCCTCGATCCGTATAACTGTACCAAACCATCGATGAGCATGTTGCTGTTGCTTCGACTGCCACTAAGACTGTGAGAATGGTTTACGAAACATTTCAATGCATCCTTCTCATCCTTGGCTTATGATGTAGAAACTTGAGTCAGCTGCGATCTTAAGGACTTTATGTGGAACTGAACTGCAGTACTTTTGCCGCATGGTAAGGAAATAGTAATATTCATATAGTGAAACAGGAATATCAGCCCCTCCCCCTTTTTATATATTTTTGGGGAGACGTCTGGCTGGCGTAGTTATATGGCCGTCCATGCTCTCACAGTAGTTACACATTTTTTTTTTTTTTTTTTTTTGGGGGGGGGGGGGGGGGGGGGGGGGGGGTCTGTGATTGAATGTAAGTATTATGCTGAACCAATGTTGTTATTTTTTACATTATAAAGTCAGATACAGAGAGGAAATTTCCTTTTGTTTTAATGCTAAATGTTTGCTTTTGCATTGTAGGAGTCTCGTAGGCGCAATGGTCTTATGATCAGTCGAATGTGCCAGCAATGCAAAGGTCGTTGGTTCGTTCGGATCCAGGATTTCTTAGGGGGGGGGGGGGGGGCAAATTTGAAATTATGCGAGCAAATATTGGTACGTAATGGTGACCAGCAGTGACGTAATTGGGGGGGGGGGGTGCAGGCAGGGGCAAATTTCCCCCTCCCTCCTCCGCGAAGCGCGGAAGCTTTTACGTTTCATTAATCATTAGCGAAAGAAGACGATTGTACCGTTCTCGAAAATAATTCTCGTCTGAATTTAGTTTCCCCCCCCCCCCTTCGACGTTTTATTAAATAATTTTAGAAAGAAGACGATTCGTTGTACCGTTTTCAAAAATTATCCTCGTCTGAATTCAGTTCCTCTTTCCTCCTTCCCCCCGCGCGAAGCGCGGAAGCTTTGACGTTTTATTAATTCATTAGAGAAAGAAGACGACTCGTATTACCATTCTCGACTCTTAATCCTTGTCTGATTTCAGTTCCACCCCACCTCCTGCGCAAAGCGCGGAAGCTTTGACGTTTTATTAAATTATTAGAGAAAGAAGACGAATCGTTGTACCGTTTTCGACTCTTAATCCTTGTCTGAATTTCAAAAAATTTCCTTATCTACTCTCTTTTCTTCCTACGTCATTTTCCTATTCTCTCCTCTCTTTTTTTGGCCGGCGTTTTTTGGGGGGTCAATTTGGCCCCCACCCCGCTTTTAGCACTCCTCTTTTCCTTTTCCTTCCTTCTCTTTTTTTTTAAATAGCGGGGACGGGGGGCGGGGCGGGGGGGGGGGGAGGCAAGGGCATTTTGCCCCCCCCCCCCGATCCACAACTTGTTGGCGGGAAAATAGCAACTGATATCTCCCTTCTTTTCTTTTCCTCTTCCTCCTTTTTCCTCCCCTTTATCTCCTGGGAGGCAAGTCCTTTTGCCCCCCCCCCGATCTCCTTCTTCCCTCTTTCTTTTCTTCTTCCTCTTTTTTTCTCTCATCTTTCCCTTTCCCTTCTTTCCCTTCTCTCTCTCTCCTTTTTTTGCGGGGGGGAGGGGGGGGGGGCAAGGCCCGCTCGCCCCTCCGCCCCCCCTGGATCCGCGCCTGCCGGCACGGGCACTGAATTTATGTCCTTGAGCAAGGCATTTTATATACATTAAGAAATAAGGGTGCAATTGGGGTGCAGATTTGCACCCACCTACGCGTATTCGGCAGATGGTGCTGATTTGCTCCTTGCAGTATCAGACAAGCGGCGTTTCAGTTTTTTCTTCATTTCATTTATCCACGTCAAGATAAAAACAGAAGTATACATTCTTCAATACAAACATAATCATATAATGCGATAACTGGGGGAGGGGGGGGGGGTTGGTGCAGGTGAGACTTTCTCCCCTCACGCGCAAAGCGCGGAAGCTTTGAAAACCGGTCTCCTTCCGCTCATGAATATGATATGAATGTTTTTTTAAAGGGGGTTCCAGGAAAGTCTGTCATCTATAACAATTAATATCTTTAAAAAATTTGGTACTGTAAACTCTTTCTATTTTCTTATTTCCATATAGCTTAGGCATAAACTCTGTTCAATGATGGTTTATGTAACAATAAAACATAATTGCTTTCATCCAGTCACTGATTTTGGTGAGTTGAACAGTGAAATAATTAAGTAAAACTGTCTGATCTGGCCGGGGCCTTAAAAAAAAACATACTTTTGTCGTCTACAAACATTACATGTTGTAAATGTTTAGTAGAATGTGGTAAATCGTTGATATAAATTTTCAAAAGAAGGCCTATGGGTCCAAGAATATATCTTTGTGGTACTCAACACTTTATTTTTTTATATGATGAAATTCCGTTGATAAATGTTAACTGTAAATTGTACAAAGTTTTAGTGGAGTGCCCTGATACCATAATAGTGTAATTTAATTACTACAAATGAATGGTCTATTTAACGTCAAATGCTTAAAGGGCCCATGACATCGAAATACAAGTGTAATTTCCTTGTGACATCATCTGTCAGTCATCAATGAGCTAACTTGAGAAAGTGGTATATATCTTTGCCGAAGTCGACCACCTGTTACAATACGTTATACAATAGCAACATACAGGTTGCTATGTCAGACATGCTGTAGCCTCACCAGGAAGACAAAGGTAATGATGTATTGTACATAATTTATGGAAGCATGCAATTCTATTATGAACGTGTGCTAAGCTGCCTGGGGGAAATTACATACCATTGCCTATTCTAGAATATTAGTTTAGTCTGACCATGGACCTTTTACGGATGGACATTCATCGTTTTCTTAACGAATTCATTGTGATTGTCTCCGTCAATGTCGTCTCAATAACATTCCCTACATGTCTCTTCACTTTGATCTCATGATGGTCACCGCCAAAAAGCCGGGACAGAATCAAGATAGTGATTTTACACATGTTAATCTACATGCGCAGAAGATAATAACTCGCCTAAATCATGGAAAATAGATGTGCAGTTCTGGCTTATAATTGGAAATTGTTGTTCCGTGTACTGTACATGTATTTTATTTTGAAAAACATGTTGATATTACCAGATAGAGGTTATTTTTGGATTTTTTGGTTATGATTTAAAATCCCGTTTCCCCCTATTTCCTCATAATATTCCAGAGTTACAACGCACAGGTCTGATACAGATCATGGCCTTCTAATTGTTTTATAAGGTCACATGTGTGTGCGAAAGTTTGCGAATCAGTAATAATACATTTCATATCACCAACATCGTCTGTTTTTTCAACTTTGCTGCTCCCCATTGAGGATGCTTTTATTTAAGACACACTCTTACAGAGCAGACTATCCAATCAAAACCCAAGAGAGGGAAACTGCTCCTTTGTCAATGACCGAAAATGCTTACGCAGTCGTTATTGTTAAAACAGCTGAATGTTCTCATTAAGATGCACATAATCAGAAGGCGGTGACTATCATTGGATCAAAGAAAGAATCACGTTGAATGTCCATCCGTAATAGGTCCATGGTCTGACATGTCTGACATAGCAACTTATATGTTGCTATAGTTTGTGGCATTGTAACAGGTGGTCAACTTTGGCAAAGTTACATGCCACTTTCTCAAGTTAGCTCATTGATGACTGACATAATGATGTCACAAGGGGAATGAGATCTGGAGGTTTTTGGGGTGGAACTTAGTAAGTTTGAAAAACAAAGATTTAAAAAAAAAAACTAAAAATCTATGAAACAAATTCAGAAGTTTACATATCAAAATATGAGATGTATGCAGGACTGCACACCAACAGGAATACACTTGTTTTTCGATGTCATGGGCCCTTTAAGTCAATGAAATTTGTCAGTGCATATTCTGTAATGTTTATGGCCCCACACTATGAATATGACTGACAAAGAAAGCGGACAAAATATACAGTTCCTCCGGTAGACAAAGGAACATCCCTTCACTGCTATTATGTAAAAATGTGTAGAACAGGTGTCACATGCATATTCACCTTTTTACATAATAGCAGTGAAGGGATGTTCCTTTGTCTACCTGAGGAACTGTATATTTTGTCCGCTTTCTTTGTCCGCCATTTTCATAGTGCCATTAATGTTATTAATTAAAGCAAGTATTGCAGTTGCTGTTGAATGGCACTACCTAAATCCAAATTGATTGATTTTTCAGAAGTATATTGTGTTTATCTAAAAATTAAAAAATAAATATTTTGTAGAACCATTTCATTGTGATTTCTCAATGTTTATCAATGATTGTCTCAAGAAATATCAGGTAAATTCGTAGGTTTTGTGTTCTGTCTTTTATTTTCTAAAAGATCGTGGGATCAGGTTAAAGTACCAGACGTCTTCCTATACCAAAGGTTTTTCAAGCAGATCGACTTCTTTTCCTCCACCCAGACAAGTACAGTAAAGGAAAATGCATCGAAAGTTATCCATGGACAAAGCATTTCACCCATGAGAACAGTCTCCTAGATACCCGTTCCATTATGGCAGGTAGATACCCCAGGAACGTGAACAAAAAGCGGACGGACAAAAGCGTTTTCAGCGGAGAACTGACAGCAGAGGAATTAAATCATCTGCGAAAAGATGACAGGAACCCCGCGGTTGCGTTGAGAGCTCGGAAACCATTGTTGAAAACTCTCCTCCTTCAGGATGACTTGGGGGATGAGACGATGGCAAGTCTCCTAGATGTTCTCCTCTCAGTTTCAAAGACAGGAGGTGATGATGCAAAGGAGGTATATCGGTTCTTAGCAAGCAGGCAGTTCATCAAGGTTCATATGCTTCTGTTCGTCCTGAAGTGCAGGATGAACATTGATTCGTGCTGTAGTGGGAATATTCTTCTCAAAGTCATATCGGTATTGATGGCATTTTACCAGTTAGGACTCGAAAGCGTCAAAAGTTTTCAGATGGTTGCCGCAGTATTACATGATACAATTGAGTATGGTGTGAACATCCCCGATAGAAAAAGATATGCAAACGGGCTCACGGATGTCACGATGATACTCAACAACGAGGAAAGTGGTAAAGAAGAATCCGCCGAAGACATATGCAACATTCCCATATTTCCTACAGCTGGAGAAGTAGCTGATCCAGATATTGCAGTACTTTGTGATGCAACCACTGAGGAGGGTCCTTCTGTGAAAAACTATCTGGAATGCCACTACCGACTTTTGAGGGAAGACATCGTACAACCCCTTCGTGCAGTGATTTCTAAGTATCACCAAGTAAAGAGAGAAATGGGGCTAGATGCGGCGAAGAGGGAATGCCATATCATTGATGATGTCAAATTGCATGAGATCATCACAACACATCCATCCAAAGGTGTGACGTTTCGAGTTCAGTTTGACACATCTTCCCTACAGAATGTGTCATGGGAGACAACAAGGATCATGTCCTTTGGGAATATGGTTTGTCTGACCAACAACCACTTCCATGATATGATTTTCGCCACAGTTGCGAAGCGAGACCCACAGTGGCTGAAGCAAGGATTTGTAGATCTCCGACTCTTCAGGCAGGAAGATACAGGATTGCTCGTATCAGGTGCTCACTTTTTCATGATCGACTCTCGAAAGTATGTTGAAGAATCACACACGGTTTTGGATGCCATGCGACAAATCGGCACCACTTCCTTTCCTCTGGTATCGCATGTTGTCTACCAAATGGCAGAAAATGAGAATATTCCCGACATGCAATACGACGTTGGTCCTCTGATGAAGGACGAGCACACTGCAAGGAGGTCTAGAAATCGAACATGGCATACGCTGCTACTGAACAAGAAAATGTGGCCTCCAACTGATCAGCTTTGTGTCGATGAGCACCAACTGGCCGCGATACAGGCAGCTCTCACGAAGAAGTTAACTGTCATCACCGGTCCACCAGGGACCGGAAAAACGTATGTAGGTCTGAAGCTTATTCAGATCTTTGTTCTTAATAAGGATCGATGGAGTCATGTTGCAGATTCACCTACCAAGGGAAATGATGGTGGACCCCTTCTCTTCATGTGTGCCAGTAAGGAAACTCTTGATGATTGTCTTACTGGAGTCTCGTTCTTTCAGCGGAGCGGAATAGTGAGATGGGCTGGTCAATATACACGAAAGACTTTGGAAGGATATCAAATTGAAAATCTGCGTGAAGATAAGGCTGCATCAATAGCTTCTGAAGACCATTTGTCTAGTAAGAAACTGGAAAATCGCAAGAGGAGACTTGGGAATGTGCAGGTCAACATCGCAAATCTTCGAACCAAGATATTCCCGGAAGAGATCCTCAAAGTGGTCATGGATGAAAAACACTACCAGAAGCTGAAAGCCGGGACAGAACTGAATTCCTGTTCAGTAATCTTGGAGTGGCTTCTGTCAGACAACAGCTGTGGAGACGATATGCATAAACTTGAGGAAGGTATCCCATTCGGTTTGTCCCGCTTTACATGTCAGGATGGAGACGGAGATGCCTGGTTTGAACAAAGTCTTCCATTTGTACTCGACTCTCTAGCTCCAAACCTGTCATACCAGACAAGGATCTTTGTGAGTAAGCAATTTACTTCCAGGGACAAGATGACAGATTCAGAGTCAAAGAAGGTAGAAGATGTCTGGGGATTGCATTCGCGAGACCGGTGGAGAATCTATCAATTCTGGATTTCAAAACTGGAAGCCAGAGGCCGTCAAAGAGCCATAGCCATCTTCAAGGAGATGGAGCAGATCTGCCTTGATTGTCAGAAGATGCATGACGTCATTGATGAATCTATTCTTAGTTCTGCGTCTGTAATAGGCATGACTGCTTCATCGGCTGCTAAGAACCGAAGGGTTCTACAACGTATCAACCCACGAGTCATCATCATTGAAGAAGGAGCCGATGTTCTTCAGTCAATAACGTCGGGCATAATCCCATCTGCCTGTCAACAGCTCATCATCATCGGAGACAATGTCCCCAAAGTAGACCAATTTCAAGCAGTAAGGAAAATCGCAGACGTGCACGGCATTCATGCTACTCTTATGCAACAGTTGGTCGAAAAAAACTACTCCGTGTATGAGCTTAAAACGCAACATCGAATGAGCCCGGCTTCATCCAAGCTAAGCCGCCAACTGTTCAGCTACGAATACCAGAGTGACCAGTCAGTCATTGACCTACCATCAATTACTGGAATTAAGCACAACGTCTTCCTCATAGATCACAATATACACACATCTCCAGGAAATCACGAAGCCTCGTTATTATTGGAACTATTTAGCTATCTGCTAGGTCAGGGCTTTTCACGGAAACAGATCTCAATCCTTGTCTCATTCCCAGCCCAGCAGAAACTCTTCGGCAATGACATGAAGGACCGACTTCTCACCGTTGATAACTTCCGAGGTGGGAATGACATCGTCTTGTTCATGAGTAACGGAAGCGAAAGAGGAAGCAGGCCGGGAGGTCTGCTTACGGATCAACGTATCGCCACTGTGTTGAGCGGCGCAGGAAGAGGATTGTACATCATTGGCAATTTCTCATTTCTGTCCAGCCAGTGTACTATGTGGGCTAGGCTCTTGGAAGAAGCACGACGACTTGAATTGGTTGATAGCTGTCTGAAGTTAACATGCCCTCATCACCCGGATAGTCCAATCAACGTTTCCTCAGTAGATGGATTTCAGCTGCTTAAGGAGAAGCATGGGTGTGGACTACCATGTCAAGCTCGCCTGGACTGTGGTCATGGCTGTAAGGAACCGTGTCATGATCATGACTCTGAGCAAGCAAAAGTCGTTTGCAAGCAGCCTTGCAACAAAACCATCTGTGAAAATGGCCATAAGTGCACCAGGAATTGCTCCGAACCATGTGAAACGAAGTGCAGAGAGAAGATGGAAAAAACAGCTGTCATGCGGTCACTTCCAACGTCTCCCATGCCTTCTATCCCCAAGTCATGCTACATGTAGAGATAAATGTGAACGGTTGCTTAGCTGCGGTCACAAATGCGCTGGCATTTGCGGAAACCCATGCAAGAAGGAAATCTGTGTTGAGAAGACAAAAAAATCCAACTGGCCTTGCAAACATACTGTGGAGGTGCGTTGCTGCGATGGCCCAGAATCGTGTCCAGAACCATGTAACTTTGTCTTAGCATGTGGGCACCCGTGCTCCGGAACTTGTGGAAAATGTCGGCGTGGAAGACTCCATGTGGTGTGTCAACAGCCCTGTGGTCGGACACTTGTCTGTGGCCACTCTTGTGAGAGTAATTGTGCGGCACAGTGTCCTCCTTGCACGAAGCAATGTCAAAATAGATGTCAGCACAGTGAATGCAGGAAGCTTTGCGGGGAAGCTTGTATACCATGTAAGGAATCATGTCTCTGGCGATGTTCTCATGTCTCGTGTGCGAAGTTGTGTGGAGAGCCTTGCAACCGGAAGCCATGTAATGAACCTTGTAAGAAGAATCTCCCTTGCGGACATCCCTGCATTGGAATGTGTGGAGAAAGGTGTCCAACCAAGTGCCGTGTGTGCAACAGAGAGGAGGTCACAGAGCTTCTTTTCGGTAGCGAGGACGAAGAAGGCGCAAGGTAGGAATAATTATGTTATGCCAGTTGCACATGAGACGTCATTTGATTGCGTTATTACAAGCCCTGATGGAGCTCGTGAAAAAAGTAGCACATCTGCCAGTTATCAAAATCATTGGTAGAACTAAATTCTTGACGATGTTAATTGACTCGTCAGATATCCCACTAGTCGCTGATGCTTTCTCATTATGTAAGGCAGTCATGACGTTTCGTGTGCAACCGGATTCTAACATTCATTCAGTCAGGATTTATATATGATTAATTTCAGAAAAAAATGAAAGAATAAAGCTTAGAGGATGATGGGATGTGGAGTAATGTGAACAAAAAATCGGGAAGGGGGGGGGGGGGAACCGAATATGACGTCAGTATAGATTTCCTTCTAATAGCTTTAATGAATGATGTGGTATAGTCCTGCATTTTTAAACTGTGTTTTACTAAAACATTTAAACCGTTTTTAATTTAACCAACCCTCAAAGAGTAACTGAAAGCAGCAACGTTCTTCAAAAAGGTATTATACAGCCCGAACTCGTTCAGATATTTATGTACAAAATTATCTTTGCTTTATTTAATACGTGATATCTAGTTCATTTTGATACTGAAAGAAATGAGTATTGTTTTTGTTTCTTTATCCTACAGGTTTGTTCAGTTGGAGGACTGTGGTCATGTGATCGAGGTCGAGGCCTTGGATCAGTACATGAGCATGACCCAAGATAGCAGTGATGACGTCACTATTCAGGTTCATATATTTTATAATCATAAAATATATTAATTATATTATGCACATTCAGGTCTCTATTCTAATTACAGTATGTACATGTATTCGGGCATAATTTCATTAAATCTTGTCTATACGTCTGAATGAATAATGTAGTGTCAGGCAACTTAGGAGAACGAACAAAAAAAAATGATGAAACTGAAAAATGTATGAAAGATTGCCCGTTGCCTTATGGGAGTTGATTTTTACAGGGCCGTGACTTTAAAAGTAGTAGTGAGTTGGATATAATTATGTAAGTCTAGTCACTAATTTAGGTGATGACAATCGTTATTAACGTGGATGCACTAAACAAAATTTACACACGACTTTATACAATACGTCCAACAACAATTATGTTCTGAGAAATAATGAAGGTAAATAATAACCAAACTGTTGTTCACATATTATTAAATGTAACTGTGATTAATGATATAACATTTATTCCTACATGGTGTAAGGCATCATTGTGGCTAAACTGGAATGCACATATTATATGCATTTAAAAAAGTACTTATGTAAAGTTGATATGAGTGAATAAAATGTTTGATTTTCATGAGATATAAAAAATAGGAATGCTGTATAGTTATCGATTTATTTCATTTTAGCCCAATTCAATAAAATTTTCTCTTTTGTTTTTAAATTTCAGCTGAAAGGCTGTCCCAAATGCAAAACGCCCATTCGAAGAAATCTCCGCTATGGTAATATCATCAAGCAGACCCTAGGAGACGTGGAGAATGTGAAGACTAAAATGAGAGGAAGCGAATCAGAGATCGAAAGCAAGATGAACGAGCTCAGAGCTAAATTGTCTCTACTCAGAAGCCACACGGCTTTTAGAGACAGATTTCTCAACGAGGAAGACTTGCAGAAACTGATCGAGAACCTGACGCAGAGGAAACATCTAGAGAGGATACTCGCTTGCCTCAACAGATGCGCGTTCTTGCGAGCGATTGCCGATATCCGTGCCAAGGTGTCAACTGCAGGTGCGAACTTCGAGTTTAACATTCGAAAACAAGCGGTAGAAATGCAAATCCGAGAACTGAAGAACGAAGTCGTCTGGGGAGAGCTGGATAAGTTCACGGATCAGCAAATGAACGATGTACAACAAGAAATTTCTCGGGCTAATCTTCAGACACAGGCCATGATGGCACTTACGCGCAACATGGCCATGTTGAATCGAAACATGCAGAGTCGTCATCTTAGAGCCTTCGACAGTGTCGTTGACAAGGATACACCATTTACCAGTGAGAAGGAAGTTCAGGCAACTCGGCTTCTTCGACAACTTAAGCAGGAGGTGGGCCATGTAGTTCTCGGCATCACCGATCAAGAACGCGTTGAGATTGTCAAAGCCATCGGTCTCAGTCAAGGCCATTGGTACAAATGTCCAAAAGGTCACGTGTATGCGATCGGCGAATGTGGGGGTGCTATGGAAGAGACCAAGTGCCCCGAGTGTGGAGCGAAAATCGGTGGAGGGAGACACCGTTTGACCGCTGGAAACCGAGTGGCGAACGAGATGGATGGTGCTACTCAAGCTGCATGGCCGACCGCTGCTGTCATCGGCTACGAGGACTATCAAGAGGAAGATCAGGGGATCGACTACGCACAGGAGCTGGGGATCGATCTTCAAGAACAGTTCGAAATCGAAAGACAACTTAGGGAAGTTCGTTATAGAGAGTGGGATGATTATGACTAGGACTGGGACTGTGAAGAGCTATAGTGGCTGTCAGTGAGAAGAGAAAGAACACAAAAGGACGAGACATGAAACATAAAGATTCGGAAAGGAGGGCGGCGTGCTAGAGAAGAAAACGCAATGGAAGGACAGAAACATGAATAAATGCGTGTGCAAATTTAGATGGAGCGAGTTCTGAACAAAAAGAGACAATATAGACAAGAAAGACACACAATGACTGTTCACGCCCTTTTGCCTCTAAATATAAAGTTATAACAAGTGGTTAAGACATTTCAGGATCATTAGCAGTTAATTTGCTTTAGTATTTTCTCATCACCAAACTCCAATTCATAACAAAGAATACATCATGCGCCATTATGGTGATATATATATATATATATATATAATATATTTAATGTGGTAAAGATAATTTGCTAAATATACTCCTCACGATTGTTTTTTTTCTATGTCCATGAGGCCTAATTCTGATGTTTAACTAGCTGAAATGCTGTCTTCTAAATGAATCCTGCTCTGAATATGACAAAATGATAACATGATTTGAAGCTATTTCTTGATGTATGTGTATATTTCATGTCTTTGGAATAAAGGTAATGAAAACCATTGAAATGTGTATTGTTAAGTCCAAGAGAGCTGTTGTTGGGGAATTGTTATTTGCAACTATAACAATATTTTATGTATTTTGGCATAATATAAACGGTACGTAAGGAAAATCAATAAATTGCGAATTGTTCTGTATACAAACAGGCTTGTTGCTTAAAATTAAAATATTTGCACATAATCTGTTCATCTCTTTGTATATTTTGATGTATTTGACATATCGGCGCCACCTAGGAAACCATTGAATAGTGCATTTTTTTGGACAAACTTGGATAAGGATAATTGCAACTATCCGTTAATCTCTTTGTACATTTCATGTATTTGGTATATAGGTAGTAAGAAAAAGAAAAGTGAAAATGTGTAATGTTTTGCTACATTATTATCTGGGAAAGCATTGAATTGTGCATTGTATTGTACTAACAAGTTTGTTGTTAAGGATTGAGAATGTTTCCAACTATAATTATGTTTATCTCTGTGTATATATATTTGATGTCTTTGACATATAGACGTCAGGAAAACAATAGGATAGTATATTGTCTTTTACGGACAAGTTTGTTGTTTAGGATTATAATATTTGCAACTATCTTATAGTCTTTGTATATATTTGATTTTAATGACATAATATTACAGACGTTAGGAAACCATCGAATTGTATACTGATTCGTAAACACAACATCTTGGATGAGGATAATTGCAACTGTCTGTTAATCTCTTTGTACATTTCATGTATTTGGTACAACTATATATAATTAGGTAGTAAGAATAATAAGTGAAAATGTGTAAAGTGTTGCTACATATTAGAGACGTGTGGGAAACCATTGAATTGTACATTGTTTTGGGCTAACATTGTTTTGGGCTAACAAGTTTGTTAAGGATTTAGAATGATTGCAATTATCTGTTTATCTCTTTGTATATTTGATGTCTTTGACATGTAGACGTCAGGAAAACAATTGAATTGTGCATTGTTTTTAGTGTACAAACAAATTTGTTGTTTAGGATTATCATATTTGCAACTATCTTTTTATCCATTGGTATATTGATGTCTATGACATTTATAGACGTCAGAAAGCCATTGAATTGAGCATTATTTTGTACAAACAATTAAGTTTGCTGGATAAGGATAATTTCAACTATCTGATTATCTTTTTGTATTTGGTATATGATTGAGTACATGTAGTAAGGAAAATTTGTAATGTTTTGTAACATAAAATTATAAACGTCTGGGAAACCACAGAATTGTGCATTGTTTTAAACCAACAAAATTGTTGTTTAGGCTTTAGAACATTTGCAACTTGTTTGTGTATCTCTTTGTATATTTGATTTCTTTGACATAATTATAGAAGTCACAAGGCCAACAACGTTGTTAACAACACTACATAAGAATGCACCATGCACCTTCTTCATAGAGACGTTCATGTTCACAAGGAAAATCGTTAAATATTACATTGGTTGTATATACCAGACATAACTTTTGATAATTAGGACTACATCTCCGGCAAAATTGTAATTTTGCACTGTCTTGTATAGAATATGAATGTGTTCTGGTTAGCATTAGACTATTTGCAAATATACTATAGGCCTATGAATTTGTTTTACGCCTCTGGAATAGAGACATTATTTTAAACAAGGAAATTGTTTAGATTACGGTGTCCTGTATACAAACATGAATGCTTTCTGTTTAGAATTAATAAGACTATTTTCGAATATATCATACGTCTATAAACTTTTATATCTTGCATCAAAAATTTGTTGGATTTTGATTGGTTGAGAGCTCGTCACATGACCAGAAATACTTGACCTATTTTAGAAAGTACTATATGAGAGTACTATTTTGGTTTACTATTTGGGAGTTGAACAAAAAATGTGATTTTTTTTTTTTTTAATTGAATCAATTTTTTTTCTTCAAATCTTAATTTAATGTAAAACAAAATATTTTAAATCTTTTAAAATAAAAATTGACATTTTTTTTGTTCTAAATTTTTTTTTCTCCCAAAAATGTTTTTTTTTTTTTTTTTTAAAATAAATTTTTGATGCAGGATATAAAACAAATATATCATGCCCCCTATTCGAGGTACTGGTTAAACTATGGGCCTCGATGACTCCAAAAGTACCATTTGCTTCGGGGCTGCGCCCCTCAGCAAACTAGTACTATTGGAGTCACCTCTTGCGCATAGTTTTAACCAGAACCTCTCAAGGCAGTGTATATTTGTATACGTCTCTGGCTTTAATTAGAGACATAACTTTACACAAAGAAATTGTTTATTTTAGTTTAACATTGTCTTGTATAGAATGTGAATGTTTTCTGTTTAGAATTAGACTTTTTGCAAATATATTATACTGCTACAAGCTTGTATTACGTCTCTGGCATACAGACATTACTTTAAACAAGCACAATTTTAGATTGACATTGTTTGATATAATACATATTTTTTCTGTTTAAAATTAGACTTTTTGCAATTACGTGTATATTATATTATACGTCTATACATTATTCACACAAGGAAGATGTTTTGATTGACATTGTATTGTATAAAATGTGAATGTCTTACGTTTAAAATTAATTAGAATATTTGCAAATATTATTATACGTCTACAAACATCTATTACGTCTTTGGCATACAGACATAACTTTACACAATGAAATTGTTTAGTTTAGTTTGATACTGTCTGGTATAGAATTTGAATGTTTTCTGTTTAGAATTAGACTATTTGCCAATATATATATGGCTATAAACTTATATTACGTCTCTGGCATACAAACAGTCACACAAGGAAGATGTTTTGATTGACATTGTATTGTATAAAATGTGAATGTCTTACGTTTAGAATTAATTAGAATATTTGCAAATATTATTATACGTCTATAAACATCTATTACGTCTTTGGCATACAGACATAACTTTACACAATGAAATTGTTTAGTTTAGTTTGATACTGTCTGGTATAGAATTTGAATGTTTTCTGTTTAGAATTAGACTATTTGCTAATATATATATGGCTATAAACTTATATTACGTCTCTGGCATACAAACATTATTCACACAAGGAAGATGTTTTGATTGATATTGTCTTGTATTTAATGTGAATGTATTATGTTTAAAATTAATTAGACTTTTTGCGAATATATTACACGTCTATAAACTTCAATTACGTCTCTGGCATGCATACAAACATCACTGTACACAAGAAAATTCCTTAGAATTAAATTGTCCAGTAAAGAATGTGAATGTTTTCTGTTTAGAAATAATTATACTGTTTGCAAATATACGGTTATAAACTTCTTTACTTTCCGGCATACAGACATTGCTTTACACGAAGCAATTGCATAGGCTTACATTGTCTAGTATAGAGTGATAATGTTTTCTGTTAAGTATTCTCAAATATATTATACAAGGTAGCTATAAACTCATATTGCGTCGCTGGCTTGAAATAAAAGATTGCTGTTGAGAATTAGAGTACATTGTAGTTTTGTAATGTCTATGTATATTTCTTTTCGTCTTTGGCATAGAGTCTATAGCTGAGACATTACTTTGCAAAATGAAACCGTTTAATTTGTTCGTTGCTTTGTTTTTCAAAATCAACCTTTGCTGATTAGAATTAGAAAAGTTATTTACGAATGTATGTCCATGTCTTTGGCACACACGTTACTTTCCATATTTTTTTAGTATTTAAAGTTATAGTTTGCTATTTTGAATTAGAATATGTGAACTCCATCTACATTTGTCTATCCTACCTTTATGTCTGTGACGTACATGCGTTACTTTCCCGAAGGAAAACCACAATATTTTAAACCAACTTATACTTTTTAAATTTTTTGAATTATATTCGAAATAAGAGTTTGCTGTTTAGAATGAAAGGGACATTTTTAAAATTATAATAATAACATTATTACCACATTAATCATGATAATAATATTGATAATGATAATGATAATGATAATAATACAAATTAATTTGAACATATTATTAAGTGGCTCTACAGATCAGGCTTTCGCGATCATTCTGTTCTATTTTTTTTTACCCCGCCGCCCCCCCCCCCCCCCCCCCCCCATTTATGAATCTTGCAATTTTTATGGCAGCCGACTGGCGGTAAAAGTTTATCATTCATGGACAGAATATATTGATGATCTAATATCAGCCACCACCCCTCCCCCACCCCCTCCCCCTCCCACTCACCCTTCCCTCCCACCCCTCTCTCTCTTGTGACGCCCCACAATGAGATCAGTATACGACGCCCATGCAATGCACGTTGTTTGAATGATCCGCCAGCCGGAAATGCGCATGCGCGTTGCCAATGCAGCGCAAGATTTACTTCCGCGTTATTTGCGTGGTCTGAAGAAAATGAGAGGATGCTTTTTGATGAAAAATGGAACATAATCCAGATAAATATTTTGTCCTGCAAGGTCGCAAGACACCAGTCAGGTGAGCATGAGACCGTTCTTTTTGTTAAATGCTTATTATTGTTTTGTCGAGCAATTACCGCATCGTTTAACCAGACAATTAATTGTATCAATGTAGGCACGGGCCTATGCCTATGGCTATGCGACTAGCGAGGAGCGGTAGCTAAGCTATTTCTTAACCAGAACTCTGGGGCTTGTAATCCGCAACACGGCAGCTACATGCACATCGGCGAATGTGACATCTAGATCTAATTCAGTAATTGCCCCCTCCGAGCCTGAGATCGACCTCCGGATCCCCATCCCCTTATTTCACTGTCGAGCCTGAGACATCCGTGTGTGTGTTATTAGGTATTTACAGATGTGTATCAATCAGATATGATTATTTACGTCTGTGGACCGAGACCCCCTTATCTTCCGTCTTCCGAAAGACGCGACTCGGTTTCGAACCAGCGTCTTCGGCTGAATCAATTTTAACTGCCAGTTCCATTGCATTGTTAGCTGGATTACAGGCGTACATGTATGCCCATCCTCTTATTTTACTGTCGAATAATTTCTGAATTCAATTGTCTAGATCTAGTATTAGTAATAGGGTCTAGATCTAGTAGTAGGCCTAGATCTAGACCTAGGGTCTAGTCTAATACTAAGATTCTAGACCTAGATCTAGATCTAGATCTAGTCTAGAGTAGAGGTCTAACTGTAAAGACATGGAACAACCTACAACAATCAACCATCGACCAAACCTCCCCGCTCTCATTTAAAAATGCAGTTACTAAAGAACTTTTTTCCAAAATGTAATCGTCCACCCTCCCCCACCTCCAGTCAAAACTCTTCTTCGGAGTATTTAGGAGGAAAATAATCCAAGATCCAAGAACGTTGGACTAATAGACTAGAAAAGTCTACTATACTCTAGATCTAAAATCATTTGAAATTATAGTCTGAATAATAATGTGTTACTGTTGAGTGTTGTTAATAGGCACATATCAATTATCATTCAATCATATGCGCACTGAAGGGAAGAATAGCCCTTTAGTAAGGAGCTGCCATTTTTACCTAGGCTAAATTTCACCTTTCCCTGCATGTGCTACATGTATCTTGTGTAAGAGTTTCTCAAAATGAAACAAGATAACTGACAGAAGACAGCCAGAAAAATTTACTTGATCAAGTTCATTGATTCTAATAGAGATCACATTGAAGCCATGTCCATGAATGATTCGTATGGAAATACATGTAGGGTCTAGCCTACTTACAGTCTACAATAATACAATGTAACTAAAAATCAAATATCTTCCAAGAATTTTGCTGATTAGATGCAGGGGTGATAGTGAGCACTAAAAAAAAAAAAGGTTTTTCGTTTTCCCCTCAACCACGCCCCCTTGTAAAAAAAACCCAAAAAACGAGGATTCGCGGGGAAAAAATGGCATCTAACAACATTCCCCCCTTAGGAGTAAGAAAATTGGGGGAAAAAATAGGGCAAAATAGGGAAGAATAGAGAAAATAAGAGGGAAATCGGGAAAAATCAGGATAAAAACGGAAGAAAAAAAATTGGTTAATAAAAAAAAAATCTGTTTTTTTTTTTTTTTTTTAAATCGGGAAGAAAAAAAAAATCGGGAAAAAATCGGGAAAAATAAAAACAATCGGGAAACCGATTTAAATCGGGTTTTTATCAGGCCTGTAGATGTCTCTGATGTATTTTGACCTCTTCAACTTAGATTTAGAGGTCAGCCCCCACACAGAATAGGCAGGTTGCATATGACCCAGGAGTGGTGGAAAACCCTGACCCTTTCTTTTTAATTCTAATTATCAACTTATTTTTACAAGAATATAAATGCTCAGTAGACTAAGCTCTTTGTGAACATGTTTTCCTGATGTTTCTTATCGAAAATAACCTTTTTTTCTCTCTTTTTCTCTGCGCAAACAGGGATAAAAACTCAGGATATCTGACCAACTCTCAGCGAACCTTGAGCACAAAGAATTTGTCACAGACCTCAACTTTACACAACACCAGAAATGGAGCATGGACAGGGCGAGAGTCGTTCAGGGACACCAGGCAGTCATGGGCAGAAGGTCCTTCACCAGAAAACCCTTACGAAGAGATCCAGGACAACCTTCGGGCTAAGAGTTCTGAGCTAAGCCTTGATCTACGAAGCCTCAACAGCAGCCTGAACAAAAGCCTGAACAAGAGTGTGACTTTCAGTGCAGCTCTAGATGCTTATAAAAAGCCACGAGATGAAGACGAGAACAGTCTCGATGACACGTTTGAAGAGGAACTTCAGCGGCTGATTGCAAACGATGCTCGTGAGAATCATCTCCAAGAACAAAGCCTTGCTGGCAAGGTCAAGAATAAAGCCACTGCGCAGTGGTTTACAGATCCAATCCATCTTTCACAAGAAACCCAGTATCCTGTCTTCAAAAGTCTAGGAGCTAATGAACACACGGTGTCATCAGTAAAAAGGACTACGGGTATGCTAGGTACAGAAATGGCCCAGAAGAAGGTCGCGTCAAGCATCTCATCCGATGAAGAAGTAAGGAGGTATTTTCCAGTTACGTTCAACGAAGTGCCAGCAGTCATGCAGACCCTGACACCCCCGCCACCTATGGACTCAACCACACGGAGTGTAGTAGACAGGACTACAAGGAGTATTATGAGTGATTCTGGTCCAAGGAGGACCAGTTCTAGCAGGCCTCCTCTCCCTAACGGCAGACCAATGAGTTCCTCTGGCAGGTTTAACAGTCAGGACAATCTGAAAGCTATGAATAGGTCTTCATCTAGGAATGGCTTCCCCACCAATGGAATGTCCCTCCGACTCTCGCAGGGTGTAGCCACCCAGGATCCACAAATGAAGGCAGTGAAAGATTATAACTATTTAAAGGTAATATTTCATTTAATGTTACCAACTACTGTGTTTATTTAAAGTGAATGTTTCCATGTAAAGATACATGTACATGTACAATGTATGTTGTTAGTTCCAAGGGTTAAAGAGCAAATATAGCCATAACCATTAACCAACCATCCTTTTCAATAACTATATTTCTGTGGATAATTTATGAACTTGTTACTGAGTATCACAACAATCATAATACAAGTGTCCTCAGGAGTAGACAGGATTTTTCAATGGGGGGGGGGGGGGGGGGGGGGGCCAGATGTGAAGGATTGACTAAGCAGTAGAAACAAAATCAGCATCACCACCACTCTTACATGCAGGCGCCGCTGAACGTTTTCCAAAGTAGGTTGGGGAAGGCTAAAGTATTTACGATCAGGTAGAGCGTATTGTAAATATGTGTGGGGTCAAAGGGCAGAGCCCTCAGAAGCTCAGGGGGTATGGACATTTAATAACGCTCAGATGAGCATATTTTGATACCTTATTCATGACTCTGGCAGGTCCCTAATTGGCGTTGGGTCCAGGTGGCTGAGCCCCATGAAACTCATGGATTTGAGGCATTCTATAATGGTCAGATAAGCATTCAGGGGACCACCTTAGGGCCTTTGGTGGGGTCGAGGGGCGGAGCCCCGGAAGCTCAGGGATTTTAGGCATTTAATTCCAGTCAGATGAGCATATTTTGTTAACTTGCTTGTGACACTGTCAGGACATTAATTGGCTTGGGGTTGAGGGGGCAGAGCCCCAGAAGGTCAGGGGTTTTAGGCGATAAATTATGATCTTACAATGTTATCTACCAGTATTTGAGAATAAAACTATTTCTTTAAAAAAAAACCCTACTTTATCCCATTCTTGTTGACCCCATGCAGGCATCCCAGGAGTTTGTAGATGAGAAAGTGGTGGCGTCTCCTTTTGAATACGAGCTGTCCAAGCTCCGCATGGAGCGTCTCAGGATAGAGGAGCAGAGGATCCTGGAGACCAAGAGGCAGGAGGAGCTGGAGCGAATCAGAGGTCCGGTACCAAAGTGGTAAGAATTCTTTACATTTTGTTCTTCAAATTGGCAACAATAATATTTTCAATTTATTGCTACTTTATTGTTACAATAACATGTAATGCCTCCGAAAACAAAATACAATGTACATGTAAATATGGGTATGAACTCTGTCAAAGATTTGAAGAATCAAATCTCTGTTTTGGATTGAATGTGTGTGGTTCCTAACAAGTAGTTATCGCTGCAATAAATTATCAAAACATCAAAACATTGTGCTATATTCTTCTAATACAATGTCTTACATGTATATGCCATACACAATTATTAACACAAAAACTGCTTTGCTTTTGCTTCTATATACCATTATGTTTCATATCATTACATGTTTCTACAATCTTTTTAAAATATAAGGCAATTGTAAAGTTACAGGTAAGGGTTATTTCATGGGTAAACATAAATTAGGAAGTAATGTTACATTTCCCTTATTTTTTTTATTACTCAAGTTCTATGCTTGTTATCCATTTTCCTTTTAATTTTGTTGATGCAGGTACGAGATGAAGACGCCCAACTTCACCTACGAACATGCCAAGAACAATCAGTTGAATAGCAGCAGACAGAACTGGCAGAGCCTTTACAATTATCGCAACAAGCTGCTTTCTGCTTCACAAGAGTTTGCCAAATCCACTAATTGAGTGTGATCATCTATTACACGTATATAGTGTTCTTAAGCCCAATGGAGGCAGGATTTGGAAAAGACAGTAATGGCAAAATTTCATGTGTTAATGATCGGCTAGATATGATTTTGAGGAGGTTAAACAAAGAACAGCTGTGCCCAAGAATGCTCTGTATAAAATAGATTGATCTGTGTGTTGTTGCATACAGATGTGACACACATGCTGCTTTTCACATCTCATTTTGCTGACATGTTAAGTCTAATATCAGGTTGTGGTGGATTTGTTTGTTTTAGAAAGCATGGGTATGTTTGTAAAGTAAACTATAGGGGACCGACTGCTTTAAGTCCTCTCTGTGGGACGTGGTAATGAGGATTATAATGTCTTACCAAAGGAAACTAGCGCGCATCAAATTGGTTTCGTTCCCGGGGCCTCCCATTTATGAGACCACTGCTCTACCAACGAGCCATCACGCCTTACTCATGTACAGTGACTTTGTTCTAGATATACATGTACACATGACACGGTATTACAGTGTATAGTAGTAAATCATAATATTGAGAGCAATTGACCTCTATGTAGAGATGTGATAGTCGAGTGGTTTAAACACTTGGCTGGAGATGTGAAGGTTGTTGGTTCAATCCACTTCAATTCCAGCACTCGTATCTGTAAGCAGGGCATTTCATCTACATTTTTTTCCTCTCCTCCCAGGTATTAAATGATTTCCAGTAAGGATGGGCAAGTTATTGTAGATTGCTTCACATTGTGAGTGTTGATCTGCAAATAATTGGATTTGCCTGACGCTCTCCAGCGAGGGGGAGGTTGTATGCAATTGAGTGCAAGAAAATCTGAATCTCAAGCATGAACCTGGGGAAATAATCTGTATATCTGTTAGATTAGTTATGTTAAATGTATCAAGCACTAGATACAAATCCAAACAATTCGTATTATGAAGTGAGTATAGATGTTATTAATATTGAAAGCAATATGAAATCACCTTGATACTTTATATGTATATATATATATATTTTTTTCTTTTATAAATATGAATATGACCTACAGGGAAATGACACTCAGTAGAAAACATCTATCTGTTTTTAGATGTGGGCGAGTTCCATTTGATCGATATTGTATTTAAAAAGAAGATGCTTTATAATTTGGTGTAATTTGATGTAACTATCTGAGAGTATAATACCTTATATTTTCTTGACCCACGACTTGAATCTCTGCAGAAAGCACAATTCCCTTTATACATGAATGCTTGTGTACAACTATGCTGCTCCAGACTATACAGTATGATGTTTACATGAAAATTAAAGAAAGAATTTCTTTTCTTTGTGCCAATCAGTGCTTTTTTTGAAAATAAGTTTTAGGATTGTTTATATTTATCAATCTCTATATGCATTTTACTTTTATTTATGGCTTTCTAACATGCCTAAGCTTGTTTACTTTTATTTTACAAAAGGTAATATCAATTTTTTTTTTATAATACAGAGTTGGATTCGATGAAAAAAGTGTCTCGTATGTTGATGATCTAGAAACACAATTACAGGTATATTCTATTTTTTTTTTTAAATTAGCTATAAAAAAAAAGTCAGGTTTATTTACCCAGCTGGAAAAAAAATGAATTTTCTAAATCTCTTTTTTAAATTAATTTATCCATGGGCATAAAACATGAAATGAGAATAGTAAGTAAGCTTGGTGTGATCTAGAGCTAACAAATAGTAAGTAACACGAGGTATGATGGGTACCTGATTTTTTAAAATATTTTTTTCCTTGGGGGGGGGGGGGGGGGGGGGGGGGGGGGAGGTAATTATTTTTGATTTTATTTCTTTTTTAAGTCATCCATTGTAAGAAATCTTTTTGCTAAACAAGCAGAACTACTCCTTTATTGTGCCTTTGTGATGTTTAGTTTGTGATTATTATTATCTATGCATTGAAATTTACCAATCAATCCTGCCAACCCAGAATACTTTTGTCGACCGTTTTATTTATGATGAAATAAACATACGAATCAGATTGAAATGTGTGATGACATCCTCTGTCTTAGTCTGTCAAACTGCATCTTTCTTATTCTCTCTGTATGTTTCTCATCGAGTGAAGTGCAGTGGAAAACTATTTTTCTTTTTCGCAGAAGCTCTTTTAGGATTTGGTGTTGTATAAGAGTAATTTTTTTACAGTGACATTAATACCATCATAAGTCTAAGTTCGTGGACATCCCATAGAAACGTATGTTAATTCTATAACACACGCTTCAAAGGGATGTCCACGAACTTGAATTCAAATAACGGCCCCCTGGTTTATCTCAACCTTTCAAGCACACAAAATACTCCACATACAACCAAAGTATGACTTGATTTTTTGCAATACAATACAAAAAAAAAAAGGTTAATTGTTTTTGACCGAGGTCCCAAAATAATATGTGAATAATATTAACGAGAATGCAAACAAGTTAAAATCCTTGCAGAAGAAGGTCTCACTTCCTCAATGTATAAGTCAATGGGCAGACATGCAACTTGTGTGGCTCCACCTACATCAAACCTCTCTAACTGGAGGGCTACATTACCCCCACAATGTGGCTAGTCATGCTAGCGATCAAGACTTTCATCACATAGAATCTATTTTTTAATATATTTACATCTTACCGGTACTTGCAATTTCATCGAAAATCTAGTCGTACATAATCATCTACCTCCCCCAAAATATTGAATTTACAATGCACCCACACAGAGACATTCAAATAAAATATGCCACAACTGCCAATTACTTTACTGTTCTATTTATTATCTCCATATATATTTGGAATGGTATTTTGAAACAAAATAATACTCTTATGTACAGTTACATGGCAAAGAACTATTTCATATAATATATTACTACCCAACACATCCAAGAGAAGGACAAATATCATTTGGAAGACTCGTACTTCAAGTACTATACTTTGTCAACATAATTGTTAAAAAGAGAGAGGGAGAGAGAAACTAAAGGGGTATATATAAAGCGATCAAGTTATATAAACAATATGAGTAAAACACAGAGAAGAATTTCAAAAATCAAAAACGCCTTCATTTGGAAAGTAAATATCAGTATCCATATCGTCACCTTTGGGACTTTTCAATTAGTTTCTGATGAGATGTATAACCATGCAACCTTCATGATTGATACATTGATGTAGGCCCAAATGGAACTACAGCTTTACATCCTACCCAAAGGACAACACGTAAGGAAATCGAGGATGAATGACTCATGAAGCACTTACCGAACTGCTCTTAAATTTGGGATACTCGAGCAAGGCTATAACTTCTACACCTATATACTTTCCTCATCCTTTCGTGACAAAATAATACAAAATGACCACATTTGTATAAAGCCCTCTTGCAAATAATATTTTGTAAAATACTTTGGATTTTTTAAAACAAAATCCAATTGGGAAATATTTCATGGCTAAAATTAATGCTTTCCAAATTTTGTGCATTGTACATGGCTAATAGACTAGTTCGTAGTTAGCACATGGTATTACTCCTTGAGGTGCACAACCGCATCACTCGTAAGCGAGGTCTGAAGGACGAGCCATCATGAGAACTTGTAGGCATACGTGGTGTATAACCTTCGGAAGATGAGGATGATAATGACGAAGCTGAAGATGCTCATTGTAACGAGGGGGCATAGTATCCCCTGGAGTCCTCTTTCCTCTGTCAGATGGGGGCTATGCCCACCGGAAGGGGGAGACACATTGGATTGACTAGAAACATTAGTTCTCTGTCTCAGCCCGTCACTGTTTGAACTATTACTGGTAGACGATGATTGGCTTACGGGCAGTGAGGCAGACGCCTGATTGCCACTGGAAGGTTCGGTACTGTTTGTATCTGCTGCCACCTGCGGTTGGGCGTTTCCGACGTCGGATGGCTGCTGAGGTGTCGGTGGATTGTGGTTGTTGGCCATGCCAAATTGCCCCTGGCCAGGCATCATGAAGTTCGGTTGTAGAGGCATAAAAGGGGGCTGCATTGGACCCATAGGAGGGTTCATTGCGTTGAAGGGATGCGGTGGAACGGGGGGAGGCACATGGTTGTTCCCTGGGGCTGCGGCTGGAGGGGGCGGGGATGATTCTGATGTACTCGATGGCTTCTTCTCCTCTTTCTGTCAAAATGCAATCACAGGGTACCGGTAAAAGTAAATACGTATGGTAGTTATTCATGAAGAGGGATGTGTTGGCATAGTAACAATTTTATTTTATTATTTTCATGGAAGACCATTAGATTTGGAGTGGCTGAAAAAAGAATTGTTGTATGCTTTTGGGGTGACAGCTCTTTGGACTACTTCATCATACATCTCAAGGTACAAAAACCCAATACATCTTGTAGCAAGTTTTGGATGGATATCCCCTTTCTTTTATTTCAAACGTAAAGAGATACCCATAACACCCCCTCTCCTCCCCCATTACCTAATATTTGTTTTAGTCTTCAAGTCAGAGACATTCTTGTGACTGCTTTGGTGTCCCTGCAATTTCACAGGCAATCAGGCATTTTTTCCAACTCGGAAGCCCTAAATACCTTATTATTTTTATTTTGCTTTTCACAGAGAAACAAATCATGAAGATGTAACATTTTGAATATTTATATTCATATTCCTATGTACGGCAATTTCTTCTAAAACTGGCTTGCAGTCGGATTGTTGATAGTGTTATGAGGTTTACGTTAAGTTTCCAATTACGGTACCTTGAACTGGATTTGAGCTGCCAGTTCTGCAGCTTCTTTCTGTATGGCTGCTGACTTGGCGGTGACAGGAGGGAGGATGCTACGGTTTGGTGTGCCACAAGTCTCGCACTTCCATTCTTGTGATCTGCATCGCAATAAATAGTAATAATAATAATAAAAATATTGGATATTTAAATACCGGTACTCATTTAATACCTAGGTGGAGAGTGGCAAATGTAGATTAATATCTTGCCAAAGGACATTAGTGTCGTGGTGGGACACGCACCGCGGACCTTGTGATCCACAGTCCGACGACTTAACCACTCTACCACAACACCTCTTTGTTTTAAAATGGATGCATACAATACTTCAAATGATATATCAATGGTAGTCTTGAGTCCTAGTAATTTATGGAAAAATAATACATCACAGAATTTAACACTAATATCGAAGGCTACAAATGAACACAAATAAATTGTGATTGCCAAGTACGGTAATGAGCAAACCCAAAGGGGAAATTGAGCTACGGTACTATCATCTCAATACATGTACCCGGTAGCATGAATAATAATAGAATGTGTGCAGACAAAACGATCTGCATATAATTGTTTTAAATTCATGATCTCATGATTAATCTTTGGCATCTTCTTGAAATTGAATTATATACATGTACATGTAATTGTGTATATTTATGACATATATTATATCATCAACTAAAAAGGAGAGCCTCCTACAGAAACTTGATTTATTTTTGTAATCCAGAGGTATAAGTTGATGATTTCTTTTCTTTTGTTGTTGTATTTATAATTGTACTTCATTTTTATTGTATTCTTTGTTATTGTTATGCTCCTTTAGGTTCCAGGAAATGACATAAAATAAATATGTGCATATTTGTGTTGTCATTAGACATTAAAAATAGAAACTACCCAAAACTTGTCAATGGTACTTAAAAGCGAATTTCTCTCTTGGCTGTAGGCCTACACGTACACAGCCAGCTTGTTGTAGACATTGACCAATGAATTCTCAAAAAATTTAGATTTGTGACTAAATATTTTTTTTAGCATGACATCATTTACAAATATGGCCTCAAATCTTTAAAGGGGCTGTAGCATGATGAGACTATGTGTCTTTCCCTTGGCCTGAACCAGGGCCAATCGGGTATAATACGACTGGACGACGTGACCACAGTATTCACTTGTGTGCAACATACGCGAAACCGAAGCCTGAAGAGTACTTTGTTCTGTTTCGCGCCTTTTCGCGAACGCTAGCGTGTGCTAACCCAGTTAATCAACTCTTCGTTTATGTGCAGTTGTCCAAAAAAAGTAGTACATGGCGTTTTTTGCCATGCCCCTTTAATACCTGCATGTCTGTTAAAGGTACTATGTCCTTTGCAGGCCCCAAAAATGAAAAGGTTAAATTCCAATGGCATTTGAAAGATAATACTAATTTTGAACTCCCCTTAAAGCTAAAGACCAGTTATGGTCATGCGATTGCATTGTGAAAGAAACATTGTGAAATCGATCAGAAAAGGTTGATCATCTAGCATAGATGTACTGCAAGGTTCTGGAATCATCAAAATGATAAGAAATTTGGCCAAGTCTTCATAAAGTTATCACTGTACACAGAAAGATGTATACGGAACTACACACACGTGCACGACACGTGCATTTGTATCTCTCAACAGGCAAGAGATACACTAATTTACCAAATATATCAATTAGTAGGCGGTTTCCCGTCAACATTTTTATCATCATGTATTATTCAAAACATATTCTTTCATATGATTGGTAATAAGAGCTTCCATTTCATTTTTGAAATTGGGGCGTTTCCAATACTGGTCTTTACCTTTAAAAAAATGGGGCTTGAAAATTTCTTTAAGTGGGAAAATAACGACTATTAGTTGTCAAATCGACTAAGAACTATAGAGCCAATAAGTAATAGTCTTGATTTTCAGACCATTGTACCCGCATGGTCATACGTTTTATGCTGCGCAAAGATTCAATCAGTTTAATTTTGGCCATTACAAGAAGTGGGTTATTGTAGTAGACAAATCCTTTACAGCTCATTTTATGTATGTTATTACCAAAGAAGAAGAAAAAGCCAGTCAGTCACTTAATACTGACAATAGTGTCTGATAGTGAAGTCTAGCAAGTAAACGGGTTTCCTTGCATAATTTGAATATAAGGACACTGCTAACGTTTAAATTTCACAGATAGGATATACATGACATATTCATAATTCCTGCAAAGTTCTACAGAATTTGAGGTTGGCTGCAAAAGGGACATAGTATCTTGAACTGTCTGTCTGTTTGTTATCAAAACGTTCCTTCAGCTCTCACTGAAGCACTCAATGAAAGATAATTTGAGAGGAAATGGATGCAAAAGAAATGACGAGATGGATTTCTTACTTTCTGGCAAGCACTTTTCTCTCATCAGGTGTGTAGTCTAGCGAGCCTATAGCACCCTCACCCTTTGTTGGCATGAAGCCTATGATGGCCAAAAGTACTGTTCGGACTAAAGGATACAAGGAGATAATGATTTGTTAAAAAACTTACCTGCTAGAGTGCTATGACACAGTAACATTCTTACAATATTCATTTCTGCACGATAGGCCATTTTCGTAATGTAACCAAACTGCATACATTAGTTGTTGCCAGGTTGGACAAACATTATGGCTTGACCTACCTAGCAACACTTGATGCAGTTCGCATCCTGACTATTGAATTACTATTATTTTTATCAGGTGAATGAAATAATTTGTATTGAGGCACTTCACAAAGACTTGTGCATTAAATTTGGTTACATTACGAAAATGGTCTACACATGTATGCTAATAATCATGATAAAAGAGGGAGACAAATTAACATACGTCATAGGATTTGATAGAATTAACATAGGATTTCATAGTCAAGTTACTAGTATTCATCCGTAAATGCATTCATGAAAAACTAGATATAATTGCAAGAATTAAAAGAGAATTTCCAGTGGTGAAACAAAATACATGTAGGAACATGGGTGTTTTTATACTGAATACACATAAATGTCTAAATATCCAAATCCTAACACATGTGTTATTTACATGTATAGTTTTATTTCTCTTGTGTGAACAAACTAGAATATCATAAAATATTCAAGCATAAAGGAATATATAAATGTACCTGTGCGACATAAGGAACAATCTATTTTGTAATTTGGCTCCAAAGAACACAGTTCCCTCCTGACTGTGCAAAATATCTAACATCAATATGAGTATTGGCAAAAGCAGGCTTTTAATGAGGAGGCGACTAAGCATCCAAAAGATGTTGATTTCTTATGGAATACCGCAGATTTCTTGTGGAAGACCGCCTATTTTTTTAGCGCAACATATATTGTACACAACCCCAATCAATAGAGAGTCTTCAGTCTTTTTTAAAGTGTGTGTGTGTTTACACTCTCTGGTCTACAACCCTGGGGAGGAGCGTATGTGAGTATATGTTGGAGGGAGGTACATGTAGGGAGAGGAGGGGGGGGGGGGTGGGGGAGCTGATAGAATAGATGCATACTTACTGCTCCATGATGGTTGCCATGTTTCAGGATGATGGCCAGAGATGGAAAGACAAATCTTGGTGCCCACTTCAAACCTTCCTGTAGGCTGATGATAAACAATGTAAAGATAGAACACTTAGATGCTAAAACTCTCATGCTCATGTTTCAGTTTGATAATTGTGGCCTTTGTGGGCAATTCCAAGATGTCCACTAATTTATTATCTTTATACACCAAGAACCATGAAAACATAAAAACATAAAAAAGCATCTAAATAAATAAGGATATATCCTTGTTACTTGGTCAGATTCAAGCTATTGTAGGGCTGACAATGTCATCAACACATCAGGTGTATTAACAATTTATGATGATGGTGGTTAAGTATGGAACAAAACACATGTTATGAAGGCCTCTTGATATGACCATTTACCAACTTTTCTTTTCATGATATGACCATTGATTGATGGTTCTTTCTGGTAGTACTAACGTGACGATCAAATCAAGGTATTGTTTATTCGTAAAAAATGGATAAAAAAAGACATGATATAAACATAAAACATTGCACTAAATGGCCCTTACTTCTGTTACGATATGCGATATCCGAATATCCGGTATCCGTCGTAGTTGAATAAACATGTACAGTACCTATACCATCATAACAAACCAGACTGCTGACTCGTCTATTATCATGAGTATCTATCAATTCTAAGACCCTCAAACTCATCAACTACCTACTGGTAATATAAGTGTACAACTTAACACTTTTAGGACAGGATTTATTTCTAGGGCTAAATTTATCACATATTGTCCTTTAAATTGGGAACTATAATATATTTCTTTTTAATGCTCCATTGTTCAATAAAATATAACGATTTACAATTGGCGGAAATATTGTCAAAAAGTTGAAAAATTGCCAATTTTTATAGAAAAACAATGATCATTTAATTTTCAATGTGATGTCAAAACTTATTTTCCTTTCTAAAATCCCTGACATCGAACACAAAATAGCCATGAAACAAAAATGGATGTAGTATGTACAGAGATTTTGCCCCCTCTACTCGTGCATCTAGCATATGTTTTGCATGAAGGGCTCTGAATAAAAATACACTGTCCCAAACCACAAAATGTGGACTGATTGCCATGAAAAGGAATAGACTACTCACTGTAAGGAGCATGATACTGGGTGGTTTCATGGGGTACTCTGGCGGTAGAGTGATACGACCATGGAACACACCCTTGGAGAAGTCAGAGTCTGGAGGGCCTCGTACTGTGAAGTGCCATTCAAATAAGTTGTCCTGTTGGTGAACGGGTTAGAAAAAAAAAGAACGAGACAGAGTATTATAATTATATGTAAGTATAAAAACTGATCAAGATGCACAGACTAAAATGAGACTATGCGTTTATAACCATGATTAAAATATAATGTACAGTTACAGTAGGGGATAAGGTAATGTTCAAAAAGACTAACAGGTTTAATCAAATAGGCTGGAAGAGAACCATTTTACCATTTACCTTGACATTTTCCTTTCAAGGTACATGTACTTACTGCCAATCATATATTTTATTCTCGTAGGCTTGCTTTTACATGCAGATCTACATATAGTTGCTTTTGTGTCATGCAATGTTGCCTTTCTCCGATATAAATGCACACTTCCACTCTATTACCTTGTTTGTTCCACAAATTTCTTTTGTAACATGTGTTATGAATGTCTACCGGTAGTTGTTTTTTAATTTTTTAAGTAGAGTAGTGATACTTAACATCATCTTAGCAATTTAATGAACCAATTTGTATGGCCTTTTTCGGGGCTCTCGTCGCAGGGACTGCTGGTGTGACCAGCTGTCAACAACTATCTGTTGATACCTGAACTGGCAACATTGAGACTTGCTTCCTCTGTTGGTTTTCATAATGCAGGCATGATTATTGTAATAAATATTAATACAATTATGAACAAAATATAATATCACTTACCTCTAGTGGCTGAGCAAAGTATTGCTCAGTAGGCTCCTTCAATTCTTGAGCTTCCTTCATCAGCCGCTTGACAGCTATGGAGGAAGAAAAAAATATGAAAAATTAAGAATTCATTCTATCAAAATAATCAACATCTAATTATTGCACAAATGAATGCAAGGATGAAAATATCATATTCACTGAATATGATTTCCCCCATTTTCCACAGACTCTAGCCCCAATCATCTCAGGCTTGGTATCATATGTGTTAAAGGGGAATTAATCCGCTATGCTAAATTGGGTTGGTATTAGAAGAAAAATGAGGTAAATAGTAACCTGAAGCATATTGCAGTCTGAGAACAAATATGAATTATACATTATTATTCAATATTACGGCATTATGTCTCTCTTTTAATGATAAAAAAAAGAAAATAGAAGTTAGAACATCAATAGATCTAGCTGTTTTTCGGGTTGCCAATTTGGTACTTAATACTTTACAATAACAACCATGTAAAAAGAAGTTTCTGCTTAAAGATGAAGTTGAGTTCTGGTCATGCCATTGCATTGTGAAAGAAACGGTGTGGAATCGACCAGAAAAGGTTGATCATCTAGCATATAAGAATTTGTGTGTATTGCAAGGTTCTGGAATCATCAAAATGATAAGAAATTTGGCCAAGTCTTGGTAAAGTTACAAACACTGTACACAGACAGATGTACATGTATATGGGACTACACGAACATGTGGCGTAAAAATCCTACCCTGGAGTTCTACAATGTTACATGACATATTTAGAATATGAAGGCATTTGAAGAGCCATGCTTTTCAGGGAACATGTCTTATCTGATGTTCTTCCACACTTGCATAATAAGAATTATAACGCTTACAAATTATTTTTCACCTCTTCCCAGAACTCAACCTTCTCTTTAAGTGAGCCCTCTCTCACTTAAGTTCGAAACCGCTCAAGCAGATCAGCCAATGGGAGCACTTTAACTCACTACAGCGCTAAATGCGTAAAGTTCTACATGCCCTAGGCCTAGTCTAATCGTCCTCGTTTATGCGGACGATCCTTATTCTCGGACTATAGCGCCTGCGCGCCCCTACTGATTAGGGACATTGGTCATTATAAAGCAAAACATTTGTCATGGGTATATATGGCCATAGGACAATTTTCATTTTCATTTTCAATAAAGCAGAATAAGTCAATAACATCAACTGTGTTCATCAATTGGTCAACCCTCAACCTGCAACATGCATTGAGACATCAATCTTTCAGTCTTACACAGGGTCAGTAGACCTCCACTCATCTAGTCTAGTCTCACTCTTAATATTATTGGAGCCAATAGAACAAAAACAGACACACTCTTCAATACCAACGTACATTGTCATTGAAAATCTATTATTGTTTGTACTTGTTTGTCTATAGATCTATTTGTAGATAGACTATACTATGCACTGCTGAAACAACAAACACACACTAGGCCTACACACAATTGTACATGTGGGACTGATATCATCACGAATACAAGAAAAAGAGTATAAATTCTATCTCTAATACTCACCCGGGCTCCTTCTTGAATATGCTTGCATGGTGAGATATTTCACAAAATGTTGCCTAGAATACACCTGAAAATTCTCCTCTACGTTCGCTCTGGGAACGGATTTATCTGAAAGCGACGTGGCGTTCTCTCATTTACGAAAATTACGAGTCGGTGAATACTCCTCTATCAGCATTCTCTAATGTATGGCGCTCTGTGATTTGCCAAAACTCTGTACATTATTCTTTATTGGCCAACCAGCGTACGTTTAGGAAAATCATAGAGGATTATGGTTTAAAGGGCCGGATGACAACAAACCACCACACGTGTGTTAGTGTTTTCATATCTCTGACTTTTGCTCATGCTCTCACTGTAAGCTGTCTCAGGATTAATTGTGAGTGAGCATTGTGCTTGTGATGTGTGATTGTTGGATTTTCTTGAGGTAACTAATTAGCAGGCAGTTTTCTCAACATGATGTCACACATGCCCAGGCGAATCTCTACTTTTCTTCAAGTGAGACACTTCAAAGAAATTAGCAGAGGGAAAAAGACAAAAGGCAAAACAAAACTGGTAATACTGTATACTCAATCATCATGAGATGTTAACCTTTTCATTGAGTCAAACTCAAAATGACTTTGTTTTTTAAAATTTTACTAGATTCATCATCAATCAGTTTGAATCTTGATTCTACCAAAGTTAATAAGTAATGAAAGACGACAATTTAACTGATATTTGTTAATTAGTGTTATATGTTATTTTGTGTAAATTATCTTTGATATAGGTCTATAGGTCTATCAGGGAAGAATATGAAAATGATTTGATGAGATTTGTATTTTATTTAAGGGATTAGAATAGAATATGCAGTATCGCACTACTTCTAATTCTACGTCGGTACTTGACAGGATCCATCAGTCAGGATATAACGTCAGGATTTATGTGAAAATGAAACTTAAACAAACATGATAATTAATGAAATGAAGGACTTGACAAATCTTCTCCTCTATTTATTAATATAGAGGTCTAGGCCTCTTTTTTTGTAATGGATGATTAATTCTATTCCATATATTTTACACATTTTTAAAAGCATTTTTTTCTTTAAGTATATGACACTGCACAGATTTTGCAAGGGAGACTATGAATTCCAATTGTCTTTCCAAGACCCAATATTGAGCACTAGATCTAGCTGTATCAGTTGTAGCTCTGTCAATATGTGTATGTACTGTACTCGACTTACATTAATCCATCATTGCATGCTCTCTAAAATAGGGCAAGCAGATTATTCAAGGACATATCCTGCTACAAGTTGTTATTTTTGAGAGTTTTCAGATAAGTAGTTCGACCAGTGCCTGTTCACTGATATGAGTGATACTGCATTATTTTGATCAATTTTTCATAATTTCTTTTGCAAGCCAATGTGTGTATGGTTTAATCCAAGTGCATTAATTGCTTAGCCAGTTTTTATATGCAAGAATGTAATAGATATTAGTTTACCCTAATTATAATTTTCTTCTCTTCGATTCGCAGTCATATGGAAAACATAAGGATGACCCGACGGAAATTGCCCTGAAACATTTCGACCAAAACTACCGGCCACTGTTTGGAGACCAGTGGCCGTCTATTCGCCTGGCCTTGCTTTCCATGCAGAGCTCAGGGGCTCTCCTCAACAATTACAGTGACGTGCAAGAGACAGTGGACAGGCTGCATTCGATAGGTGTGGAAGACTTTGTTCAGCCGCACGCAGGAGATGTCAAACGCCTCAGGATAAAGAGGGAAACTAAGCCTGGGAGATTGAGAGGAGGGGTTGAGGACACCCCTGAGGATGCCCCTGAGGATGCCCCTGAAAATGGAAACGGAGCGGTAGAGGAATCCATCAGCAATCCAGGAAGCACGGGGTTGGATGATCTTGAGGTAGCACGGAAGCTCCAGGAGAGAGAAATGTTAGTCAGAGCAAGAGATGAAGATGAGTTGGAGGAAGGAGGAGACTTTGGAATGGGGGAGCTCGAAGTCAGAGAATCGAGGCAGCCAACAAAACCGTGGTGGGATGGCAGATACATTGTTGCCACCGGTTACGAGCACAGAATGGACCTCGTTCAGCAGCTTGAGCTGGAGGAAAGAGGCCACAGTGAGCTGGTGTCCGAACCCTCTGGGGCTAACCCAATCAAAGTCATGGATGCTGATCTTGAGATAAGTCCCCACTTGAGATGCTTCATGAACAAGTCGTCTTTCAAGAGGCTGCCTCAGGCGAAGAGGGGTAGTGAGGAACCAAATCTTCAGTATTATATCATGGATCCAGCTTCGGTCCTCCCGGTGTTGGCAATGGATGTTAGAACAGATGATGTGGTCCTGGACCTTTGTGCTGGACCAGGAGGGAAGTCAGTTGCAATATTACAGACCATGCTGATTAGTGAGTTCCAGTCTCACCCCTTTCCATTGCTAACCCTTTCCTCTCCTATCTTGGTGCATGTTATCTCTTCTTTAGAACTTTGTATACAATATCTATCGTTCATAGATCATTTGACCACCATAAATTACTGTTTTCATTTATGAGACATGTCCCTTAGCCATATGACTTGGTATTATGCATTCATCCTTCATAGACATAGGACAATGTGTGGGAGAATGAATTATAGTGAAGAATGTTTTGGTTCCAATATCCATCGCAATACAAAATTTTTATATATAATTAATATAATTACAATATGATGTTGTTACAAACTTATTAAGGCACCAAGCTATTAATCATAATTTAAAAAAAGTACCGGGTATTTACAAATTCATTAAAAATAATTGGAATTGGTAAGGAAAACAAAAATCAACAAAATATATGTACAATTTTTGCCTGACATCTAGTAGATTAAACAAATCTCTCCAGTAGCTGCTTCATTAAAGTTGACTGTTTCTTATGATCCATATAGGTACCCTGACAGCCAATGAGAAAGTACTATCCCGGAAACGACGTTTGCAGGAAGTACTTGGCCTGTGCTTACCTAGGAGTATCAGAACCAGTGGAGCAATCCGGGTGTCTGGGTTAGACGGGTGTGAATGGGGTCAGATAGAACCAATGGCGTATGACAAGGTAGGTACTATACATGTAGTACTTGGCTTTGTGTTTGTCCCTAATGACCGTTTCTAAATTATGACCATTTCTTAAAGGGGAAGGCCACTCTGATATTAAGTTAGGTTTAATAAAAGCAGAAAATATGAGAGAAATGGGTCAGTGAAAGTTTGAGCAAAACTGATGAAAAACACAAATAGGCGGGACTATGAAGTATTTTGCAAGCTCCTCTCCAATTTGCTCTGTAAATTGGTCTTTATGTTTTGTTTGTGGACAGTGGTATCCTGGATATATTAGTACCTACATGTAATTAATCAGCATGTTACACTATACAGGTATTGGTGGATGTCCCATGCTCCACAGACAGAGTGTCTGCAACCCAAGCAGACAACAACCTTTTCAAAGTGAGTCGATCAAGAGAAAGATGGGACCTGCCTGAACTTCAAACAGACCTTCTGTGGTAAGGAATTATAGCAGGGTTTTAAAGCCCCACTGCACTAATTATAGCTACTTGTGTCCTCTATTTAGCAAACAATGCCTTTTTCTTATGTTAATTGAGAGCTGAGTTGATGAGATAACCACCTGTTAGTGACCATGTAGGGAGGTCTAATCCCTCCTGGCCAACTAGTGCAGATGGGCTTTAAAGTGTACAACTTAAGAAAATTATGATTTGCATACAGTTACAATGTATAAAGTCAATCTCCAAAAGACTTCATTTACCTGACATTCCATAGGCTAACAAACCAGGGTTATGACGAAAAATGAATTACCGGTATAACATAAGACCCTTCGCACAGTGTTCATTTCTGATATAATAAATTTTACCGTGTCTATGAAAAACATGTACATGTTTGGTTCAGAAATATATACTGTAACAAATTTCAAGACAGACATGATCATTTTTTTTTCCTTTTTGATTTGTCCCCTTTCATCACCTCCTTCTATTTTTTACCCATTCTTTCAACCAGTGCTGGTCTCCAGGCTGTCAAACCAGGAGGGACCGTTGTCTACTCGACCTGCACCATGTCACCCCTACAAAACGATGGAGTAGTCCAAAATGCCATCACAAGATGCCAAGAGGAGTTCAACATCAGTACGAGCGTAGCTGACCTTTCACCTTTAGCAAGAGCCTACCGGGATGTCTTCAGCTTCTTCCCGAACTGCCGATATGGGCAGCTTGTTGTGCCCAGAATATCGGCTAATTATGGACCCATGTATTTCAGTCGACTGATAAGGACTCGATAGCATGACAAATGAACAGTATTTCTACATTTCCATCTTCTTGTACTATGCAGCCATGATGAATTGAATTAGTTGATGTTGTTAGGTCTTAGAACACAATCTTGTTGTGACCGGAATAACAACTAATTATGGACCCATATATTTCAGTCCTTTGATAAGGACCCGATAGCAAGACGAATAGTTCACCATATCAACAGTACATTTGTGTATTTCTACATTTCCATGTTCTTATACTATGCAGCCACTGTGAATTGAATCGGTTGATGTCGTTATGCCTTATAACACAATCTTGTTGTGCACAGCATAACGGCTAAATATGCCGGACCCATGTATTTCAGTCGACTGATAAGGACTCGATAGCAAGACAAAAAGTTCACCATATAAACAGTATTTCTACATTTTCATCTTCAGCACTTTACTTTTATGCTAAAATTTGTTACTTTGTCACTGATGTATACTTTGTAAAAGAAACTGAAATTCGGCTCTCGGGCCGCGAATGTTTTTTAATGAAATAAACCATTTTAAATAAATAATAAATAAATGCTCTCTAGCCCAAGAGACTGGCAGAAAGTGATTCTATTGGCTGAACATGATGACAGTGAAATCTAACAGCATTTCTAAATGGTTATCGCATCACAAATCTGCTTATCTTATGAATCTCAGAATACCGATTTAAAAATGTTGTGGGGGTATTCTATCTCTCTGAGATAAAATGTCAGATTTTATCTGAGATGAAATGAATCTCGGTATACCACCCCTTGGTCCCAAGGCAATTATTGAATGTAAAGAGTGCATTTTTATGCTCATTTATACTTTGAACATTACAAGTGTTCTTTTTTTAATGCTCAATGTGTAATGACCATTAGTCTGCAGAAAAGGAACATTTCTATTAGTCTAAATCTTGTTTACCACCAAGAAAAACAAGTAAAAAAGCTGATAACAAAAAGGAATGAAATATCAATACAATTTATTGAAATCCCTAAGAATTGTTCAATTCAAGAGCAAAATTATGTGATATAATTATATATAACACTGTGGATAATCATAATGCCATGTATTCCTCAACGATACAAATCTGCACCTTTTATTGTACAATAAAAATGGGCATCACATCAAATATCTTTAAACTGTACAAAATGTGTTTATCCAACTTGTGTCCATAAAGACCACTGCATGTCTTACAAACCTGCTAACTTGATTTGAGAAATATATGCATGCTAGGATTTTGGAATATGTCAATTCTGTCAGAACATATCCCAAATGATGATATTGAAGGTTGCAAGTTGTGTGAATTACAGTAATTACAAACTTTTTTCAATATTGCCAATCTAAGGAATATAATGTTTGCTATGCATGCATGTATGGTAATGCAATGAAAATGGACGGTATGTGCAGACTTATTTATCTTTCTGTTCAAGCATCTGGTACAATTTGAAGGGGTCTGAGATAAAAGTCTTTGAGCTAAAACCATAAAAATGTTGTCAATTGTCTCGATCCTACTGATGCCAGATAAAATGATGATTCAATGATTCATATTCATAAGCAGTGGACCACCTGTTTGCTTGCTTTTGCTTCTTTTAGTCTGGACCAAGCTTTGACTGCTTCACTCTTTCTGCCGAGCTTCTCCAAGATTACTGCATGGGTTTTCAAGGTGTCTGTGTTATCTACAGTGCATAAGAAAGAGAGAGAGAGAGAGGGGGAGGGGAGAGAGAGAGGGAGAGAGAGGGAGAGAGAGAGAGAGAGAGAGAGAGAGGGAGAGAGAGAGAGAGAGAGAGAGAGAGGGAGAGAGAGAGAGAGAGGGGTGAGGAAGGACAAGAGAGAGAAAGAGTCAAAGAGCGACATAAAGAGAGTGAGAGAGAGAGAGAGAGGGGGGGGGGGGGGATGGAGAGAGAGAAAGAAGAAGTAGAGAAAAAAAAATAGAGAGCAAAAGAGAAGGAGATAGAGAGGGAAAGATGGGGAGTGGAGGGAGGGAGAGAAAGATAAAATAGAGAGAGAGAGAGAGAGAGAGAGATAGAAAGAGAGACGGAAAGAGAAAGAGAGAGAGAGTGCGAGAAGAGGGGGGGGGGGGGCAATGAAAGGTGAAGATGGGGATGAAAAATATTGGTTAATATTTAAAGATTATTTCTTTATTGTTATGTAACTAAGTCCGAATATATTATATTCGAATACAATGCAGTACCGTCTTTTGTTTCAGTGATAAAACATTTTTTTCTCAACATATCTATTCATCCATATGGCCAAGAGGGGGGTATATTACAACTTGTCTCTCTGAAGCCCCCATCCCCTCCTGTCCTTGCAAAATAGCTGAGACTGATTTTTAGCATTTTTTATGTAGTACCACAATTTGGAAGCACCAAAAAATCTAAAAGTGATATTCATGGAAGTGTTTAGTAAACCTATTCTTATTTGATCTTGAATTTGTTATAGTAATTTCAATTCTTTAGGACCCTGGCTACTGGTTTTTATTTTGATCCAGGACTTCAAAACGGACTAAGCTCGTAGATTGATAGATGGAACAAGTAAAGAACAGGATTTGTGTACCGGGTAATTGTGTGCCAAGTTTTAGGACAGTCAATATTGGTTATTCCTTTCTAATCATTTTGTCACCATGCACAATACCTTGCGAGTCAGAGTGCTTAAACGGATTACATACTTTAAACACCATTTTCTCTAAAGTAACATTCTGTAACACTGATCATTCTTCTCTTCCTGTCATTGGGTTAAGATGAGTTATATGTTATTCTATAGCTGAGAATCTTCTCTTTTAGAATCAGACCTAAACTATTTAAGCAAAAAAATAAATTCTAGCGACTTTTTTGTGGTTTATGATGCCTAGTCACAAATGTGAGTTTCTTACTTGGACAGCATTGAAGGCTCAACAGGTTGGCTTTCATTGCATCACGAAGCTGGTCCTGACTGATTAAAATGGACGCTTTGAGATGATACGCAGTCGATCTCAGGATCGCTGAATGAGTTGGTTGGCTGTCTGTTGGAGGGCTCCCTCTATTGCCAGGCATTGTCAGGCAATCAGAAGCTGCATGTTAGAAAGAAAGAAAACATTAAGTTAATATATTGTCTCAGACTCTGTTCTTTACTAAAATGCAGACATTTTAATGAGAAGCAAATGTAGCAATATAGAGACATGGTGCAAAATTTCCTTGCAGTCTTCATAACCGGAGGTGACTTGAGACCACCTTTGCACGCTTACAACCCATTGCAAACCATTTTAAAGTAGTGTACACAGTGTACACCTGCGCACATCCCACCATAGGTTACAGTGAGTGATTTACTACACTATCCAAGGTGAAGGTGATGATTATTATAAAAAGGTAGGCTGGGCATCATGATATTCAAATCATTTAGGATGATGAAGATGTTTACCTGGACCTATATGTACTCTTCTCCTCTTGGCCGTGCTTCTGTCCTCCATGCCGTCATCCTCCTCCTCCATCTTTGGGTCAACCTGGCCACCTTCCTTGCCACTGGTCTGCAAAATCTCCAGGGAATGATCAACTTCTGTAATGGCTGCCATCCCATTCCCTTGCTTGAACAGGCATTGTGCTTGAAGAACCAGGGCATGGGCTGTGTAGGAGATCTCCTCCTCCTCCTCCAGGTCTTCTTTTCTTCTCCCACTATCATCTTCATCTTCTCTGCTACCATCTACACTTTGAAGTTGATTTCCAAATGTTCTAGAGGAACCAGCTCTGACGTCCGTGTCCTCGTCCTGTTCTCGCTGCCTCTTTCTACCACCTACAGCTTGTCCAGAACTACTGTGTTCTCTGCCATGCATGCTGTTTCCATGACGACCAGCATCACCACCATGTCCAAGGATGCAAGCTTTACTGGGACCACTGCTGCTACCTGGTATACCGAGTCCATCCCTCGAATCTCTATCGCTGCTACTTTCTTGGGTGATCTTATGTGAACCCCTCTCCATCTTGGAACGTTCCTCAGAGGAGAGGTTCGCATACGGCACCAAGAAAGGGAACCTGTGGGATCGCCCCTGTGTTTCCCCTTCACTCTCTTGGGAGGATTGCTCTAGAAGATGAAGTGTGTTGTCATGTTGGAGTAGCTTTGATTTGGATAGGAGCTTGTCACATATGGCTAAAGCTTCCTCTGTCCGGTCTGCCTTAAGGAGAGATGTGGCAGCATCCAGATAGATGGTTTGTAAAGGAGGAAGGAGCATATTTCTCCCATGACTGCCTTCGTCCTAAAAAGATAAGATGAAGATGAAAATTATACATACACTCTCTCTTATAATACATGTTGGTTACAGGCAAAATAATCACACAGAAAATATCTTCCAAACTGCAAATTTGAGTTTTCTGACTAAAATTCATAACTCACTCAATTCTAATTGAATTTTCCTCAACCTTTCACTTATCAGCTGGTCCATCTTTTCTGTTTTTATGAAAACAAACATATTACCAGGGTCGATGTCCCTTTCGTTTGTTACCCTGGCTTGACCAAAGATATACCTAAATATATTTAATGTATGCTTGGGGTAACTGTAGCATAATGATTTTTTGTGTCTTTTCATGTCATTATTCATTTAATCCACTTCCTCCTTTCACTAAGAGCATTACACAAACATGGAGGCAGCTATAATTTCTCAGAGCTAGATTATATTTGGTAGTTAGTTAATGAAGAAATGCTTAAAACTTGTCTGTACTAATTTGGCCAGGAGGGATTAGACCACCCAGCAAGGTCACTAACAGGTGGTTATCTCATCAACTCAGCTCTCAATTAACATAAGAAAAAGAAGATCATGGGGACCAATGGGCACCACTTAGGCATTGTTTTCTATATAGAGGGAACAAGTAGCTACAAGTAGTACAGTGGGGCTTTAAAATTGGATAAACGACTTACAACTGCCACGGAACTGGTTTCTAGGACAGTGAGCAGGTCTAGAAATCTCTCAGCTGCATTTTCAATCCTGTAGATACGAAACAAAATAGCAATAGTCAAAGCTACATGGACGCAGCTGATGTCAAAGTAAACGTGAGAGGAAAAGGATAGCGAAACCTATTTGCAAGCAGAGATTACTGTAATATCAGTGGTATATATCAATTGATTTTACCCAGTGAGCCCAAAGACATGTGGTAAACAACATTAAACCTTATATGCTGCTTGTATAAAGTATCGGCTTGCATGGTGATGTAGATATACAGTAGGCTTGCGGTGGATAAGCCATTTAAATATTATGTTCTTTCAAATCTGACACTCAGTTTTTCATTATCTCACAAAAAAATTATTTTGTGTAGCGCCCTCTGCAACAGAACTCAACTATCCCTTTAATATTAAAAAAGAATTGCAGCGAAACACAGCATAGATAATTGGATCGCAAGAATTTGAACAGTTCACAGTGACTCCACCGATGAGCATGGCCACAAACACTCACTGATTTAGATCCAAGCTGCGTCTTGCAAGGATGTAGAGGGCTGTAGTGTGACCAATGGCTTGTACAGGATGACTAGTCCCCTTCTTGGTCCGAGAACCTGGAACTAGTATCACTGCTGGCCACGCTGGACCAGGACTGGCATTTGCGTCATCAGTATCGTCCCCACCCATATCTGCAGTCTGGACCAAGGCCTTCAAACGGATAACGATTGGATCATTGCAACTACATCTACAATATGCCTCCATCTATATTGTCAACCAACCTTTGTCAGCAGTACAGATTAATTACATTAAAATATAACTAAATTCTAGTTAAACCCGTTGTTTCATCACATCTTGAACCTAAAATCCAATCGGTTCATTTTAATGCTTGTGCAGACTTGAACAAATGTTGCTGAAAAATGTCTCTGTTCTTGTATGTTGGCACTGAAAGAAACTAATTTCTGATAATCGTAATACAATGGATAATTGGATATTACCCTGTGGGCTTTGACCCCCACAATCTGCTAACTTGTGATTTTCATACTTTATGTACTCTGCACTTCAACTAAGTTTGGTGAGAAACATCTGATAAATCTTATGACACCATGGTAATATTTTTACAAAGAAGTGAGTTTTACAGCTAGGGTATTTTACACAATACAACAGTATTGGGCAGGATGCCACCTTACAGCACATCAAAAATGATGGAAGAATAAGCACTACCTACTGACCTGTTCTAATAGATGTAGAGATTCCATTTCTGCTTCTTCCTCCCCAAGATCTCTATATGTCAAAGATACATTGAAGAGGGAGGGTGAAGGGACGATGGAACAGGCTGTAATGGCTTTTCTGAACTGCTGTAGAGCCATGTGAGGTTTTCCCTAGTAAAGAGGAAATAAAAAGATGGATAATTTATTTATAAATTTAAAGGGATAGTTCAATCCCATATCCAGTAAGTTTTATTTGACAGTACAATGAGAAGAGAAACATTGAAAAGGGCGATCCGAGAGATAGGAAAGAGATGACTTCCAAGATTTAGAGAAGGAGGCAATACTTTTAATGTTTACAGATTGTACAAGTCAACAGGAAATGTTCCAAGTAAACTTTTATTTTGCCTGCTTGCAAAATCGGGGAAATAGAAACTGCAAGGAAAGGAGTCTGAAGACCCAATATGAATTATTTCTTGCAGAATGCTTTTACTATTTACTGACCTATTCAATTCACTTGTCTATCCTTTCATTCTTGATATTATTCCTCCATGTTGGGAACCTCATTCGAAGATGATTATACATGGTGGGTTTTGTAATTGCAAGAACCCTAGCTTTGGGCACATCTAAAACGGTTATTTATGTATAACCCATGCTCCAGCATCAACTGCTCTCTGTGGTCAATCTCCTATACTTGCCATACTTCTACCATCAGCCCTTGACTAAACACTATACCTAACCCTGACCCTTAACCTCACCTAATCTTCACCTAAACCTCACCTAAACCCAACTGTAACCCCAACCCTGTCCATCTTAAGCCTTGAGCAAATTTGAGAAAGCGATGGAGGCGCGATGGCTCAGTGAAAGAGCAGAGGTCTCGAGTTTGAAACCAAGTCGATGTGCAAGTGCCCTTTGGTTAGGCATTTATCCCCATTACCAAGTTCCTCAGAGAGAGGACCAAAAGCTGTTGGTCCCCTGGTTCCTTACCTACATTTAGTCAGGTGAAATGAATAAATCAGCAACAAAAAACAAATGTCACATCACCAACAAAAGATAAATCTCACCATTTGTCTGAGGCAACATCCCATTAGGTTGTAGACCTGACTTAGGACACCATCTTGGGACACCATCCCAGTCACTATTCTACAGGCATCCAAGGCTTTGGTGTAGTTACCATGGTAATACAGACAGTAGGCTGGAGAAGAAAAATAACAAACAATGTAGAACTTTACTTACTCGTTTTGACCTTTTCAAGTCGTATAACATTTCTGTGCTTATGTCTTAATCTAATAAGAAGACAGCAACAATACTTCATAGTACACCCTGTATCTTCCATGTCTCTTTAACAAATTGAAGCATGACCACTTTTGGAGACAACTACATACATTTACATTGGACATTTAGATATTCACAGTGGCATCGTGCAAGGCCATCCATCAAGAGAATACCAATATGATGGAGGGGGGGGGGGGACCAATTTAAGTCTTACTAGGTGGATGAATGCATTAGCAAGGTCACCAAGTTAGAGGGGGGGTGGGGGTGCGGGAGGGGGCCCTTAATATTTTGTTGTGTTCCTCCTGTCTTTCCTTTTCTTTCTCTCCACCCCCCTCCCTTTCCCTGTGGAGGGGGCAGGGCCACACATGCCCCCCGGGAGCTACGCCACTGACCTTTCATGTATTGGGCTTGATCCTGTAGTTGGCTAGGCATGGAATACAAGTCTTTGTTGATGACCTCTGCACATGTGATCCATTTTTCTGCTTGACTCAAAGCACACATCCTCAGGTAGCAGACGATGCCTTGCAACTGGTTCCTAAAACCTGAAAAAACAATACAATCTATGTAGTTATAAATTGATTAGTTTATATATGGACAGGATAATTAATCATAACCAAAAAAAAAAAATCACTTGGCAACAATGTATTTTACCATAAAAATTGAAGGAACAGAATCCAAGTACCGGTAAGAACCTCTGTATTTGGTTGAACTAATGGAATAAAAGATGGGAAGAACATGAGCGAAAAAAATATCTAGTGGCCATGAAAATGTGCTTATATCTTGAATCTTCACAACGGTAAAGATAAATAACACCATCTAAATGGTCAACGCAGAGTTAGATCTATTTGATTTGCGAGAATAGGTGCTGAAGGGTGTGAAGGCTCATATTATAGACAAAAATTATTAAACAACATTAGTGTCCATGGGAATAGTAAAACTAAAATTAAACTATTCTGAGGGATAGGGCAATGTAAGTGTGTTGTAGTCGTTCATTCAGTTAATACCCAATATCTTTTGTTTCATACCTCAGTCATACTGAGTACTGACAGACCAACTTCAAACAGACCTATTCTTGGCCGTTGTAAGCTATGTAATCTTTCGATCGGTCAGGTGTCCGTCTCATCTAGATGTGACTGAGGTATTATCCCGTAGCTTGATCCTACATTTATATTATTGCTTTTTTTCTTCTTCCTTTTTAAGGTACCGTAAATCTCTGTGTATAAGGCGCACTTTTTTGCTGCCGACACAGGTACAGATTTTTTTTTTTGTTGTTGTTTAAGTTTCAATTTATGGCGCTATGCCTGGCAATGTCTCCCAGCTCAGTAATCAGTGTGTTGACTCACCACTCGGAAACTACAACAACACTCAAATTTGTCTGTCATCTTGGTTTGAAAGTAATCTTTCTAATAGATCTCAATATGTAGTTTATAATAATAATTCCTCCATTTTTTTTTTACTAACAAATGGTGTACCACAAGGTTCTATCCTAGGTAATCTATTGTTTTTAATTTACATTTTTTGATCTTACACATTCTTCTAAAAACGACATTGTTACTATTATTTGTGACCAGTTCACAAGCACAAATCAGCGCCTTCAACTGCACCTCGATGTTAAATGAAGGCCCTTCCCCTCATGGGTTTTCGGCAACAAAACAAAAACAACAAAATTGGAGTGCGCCTTATACACAGGTGTGCGATTTATACACGGAGATTTATTTTTTCATTTATTAACAAAGTAAAAATGTAATCTACAAAGAACTTTTTTTTTCTTCCATAAAATTTGAATAAGAAAATGATGAATTTAGAAGGGTTATACAATCATAATATAAAAATATGACAATAATTTAAATATATCATTATTAAAATAGATAAATGGAGTACCGGTAGACCAACCATCATTAAAGCAGGGAGCTTGAGTGGATGGTGGCCTAGGAGGGGGAGGGGGAAGCTACATGGTACCAAAAAGGCGTTGTATAACCTTGGTATATGTGACTGACCCTTTACCTGAGTTCTCCACAGCCACCTGTTGGTGATGAGATGCACGTTGTCCATGTACACTGCTTTCTCTCTGCAAACAAAGATATCAGATATCATTCTAACTTTAAGAAACAAGAAAACTGTTGGCAAAATATTTTTTCAATTAAAATCAGTAGCATATCATAAGTCCAGCCTGTGATGGGCCTTTACTTTATAAAGGGGAAGGGCATAGCTAGGTCATACTAAGTGGATGACATTTGAGGAAACATCGCCACTGAATTATGTGAGGGTGCGAAAGACACATTGCCTCCAACCTCTATTTCCTCTTTTTTTCTTTCTTTGTTTCGCCATTCAATTGGTATTTAAACCAACACTAAGTTGTATTCAACGGTTTAGAGTCAATGCAACAAGTGCATCTCATTTTATGATCTCCTTTGGAAGACTATATTCCATTGCATCTTAAAGGAAGTCCCATATAAATAATCCAAGTGATCATTCACCACACTTAACAATAAAAAACAACCACTCAAAATGTGAAAAATTATGCACAAATACAAAGAGTTTACCACCATTTCTGTTCTGTTAAAAATGTACCTCCCACACACCAACTGTGTGCACACATCAATTTTCCATGAAAATTAAAAGAATATTGATAAGATTCGTAACAATCTCACCTCATTGCTTGTATGATCTAGAATCTGTTCTGTGTACATCAGCTGTGCCTCGGCTGGCTCTCTACGCAGTAAACGGCAGGATAACCAGACAGAAGCCAGGAGGACTACTTCGTTTCTCACACCTTTCAAAGCTACAGACAAACAAAAAGATAATCAGGCAATGGGAGAAGTTGCTCTACTTGTATTTCCATTGTATTCATACAAAAATTTAATGTAATTTGTTTTTGTGTCATTAAATTCACCCTACGGCAAATACAATGTTCAACAGTAGATGGCGATCTTCATCCCACACTGCGCAGGTCAGCACACGCGTAGATACGATAATGGATAACACGATATTAAGACAAGGTTTCTTCTGGCTTCCATAGAGAAGGTACAGCAGTGTCAACTAATTCCTTATTTTACTAAACTATTGTTCAGGTCAGCAGGTCAGGACACAATGAGCGGGTACAATACTGGGGAACCTAGAAGGCAAGGTTTTTTCCGGCTTCCAAAGTGAATGTACAGCAGTTTCAACTAATTCCTTACTTTACTAAACTATTGTTCAGGTTTCATGATTTCCCCTCAATGATTTGACGGGATCTAAGTAGGCACCATCATAATCTGTTACTTATAGTGTAATGGTTCCAAAACTATAACTTCTATCAGACTTTCCAGTTCTCAACCCATTGTATTTGTATGGGAACCGGAGGTGCCTTTTGCCAAATATACCCATGGCTAGTGCTGCCCTCAATGACTTAATCCTGGAGTTGCGGTTGCCAGAATTTTCAATCTTGTCCATACAGGAGCTAAAACAATGTAAAAATTTGGGGAACTGCAATGTAGCTACTCATCGAACGCCCTCACCAATGCGATATAATGTGGATTTGGACAAGGTCAAGGGATTTTGAAGTTCCCCATATGGGTCATTCCATAAAGTTGGGGCGAAAAATATGATGGTGTCCATGCAACGTAGGTATGAGATCTTCTACTACACTAGATGAAATTGTCTGTTGAAGATTTTTATGCAATGAATATATATAGTATAGTGCCCTGCCAGAATCGTTTTGTTCCTGTTTCAGTAGCTTTTCTTCAAAATCTTTTCTTAATACACATTTCTCTTTTTACCAGGGTTACATGGACACCATATTCATATAACATTACATAAACTTTGGGTCCATAATATTGATTTAACATAAAGCTTGAGTACTTCTGAAGATAGTTGGCTATGCTTTTTATGCAAAACTCAATTTGAGCAAACATTGTTACAGTTGATAGGAGACATAGTTTCACACTTCCGGTATGTCACAAAAACTGCTCCAACTTTCTGGACGGACCCATATATATTGTTAATACAGACCAAGGACTGTTTATTGGCCAGAACTGTAGAAAGGTGATTATCTCCTTTAAAAGCTATTCAAAGAAGAGTTATTAAAGACAAATTTGAATTTACCTGATGATTTGGCTGAAATCTTCTGAATGATGGCTGTCATGTGACCATCTAAGGAAGCCTCCTCTCCATACAAGAACCTATAGACTGGATGAATGAAGAGACAGAAGTTCCAGTGTACCAATCACTGAACCATGTTTTGATCTTGATGATTTACAGGGTTCCATGTTGCTATTGTATCAAAAATGACCAGTTATGGTCATGCGATTGCATTGTGAAAGAAACGTTGTGGAATCGATCAGAAAAGGTTGATCATCTAGCATTTAAGTATTGGTGTGTACTGCAAGGTTCTGGAATCATCAAAATGATAAGAAATTTGGCCCAGTCTTCGTAAAGTGACAAGCACCATACATGTACACAGAAAGATGTATATGGAACTGTACGCACACGTGCGCGACACATGCGTTTATCTCTAACAGACCATGGATAAACTAATTTACCAAATATATCAATTAGTAGGCTGTTTCCCGGCAAAATGTTTATCATCATGTATTAGTCAAAACATATTCTTTCACATGATTGGTAATAAGAGCTTCCATTTCATTTTTTGAAATTGGGGCGTTTCCAATACTGGTCTTTACCTTTAAATACAGCAAAGAGATTTTGAAGTTCAATTACTAACAAACCTTGTTGATTAGATGCACATCGTAGTAATTAAGGTCTGGTAAAAAAAAAAAAAGAGTTCTAAAACAACTTATTATTTGTTACATTTTGTCATCCAGAAAAATTCATTTTTTCCAAAAATATCAGTCTGCTTCAAGACTATGCAGTGTGATAATAAACATGGGGTTGGATTGCCACGTCCATCTCTGTTTTATAATGGAGCTTACTGCTGCCTTATAGTATGTAGCTTGATGCTACACATCATAGGCCTTGAGGTCACAGAATGCTGCCTAGAAAGTCAAATAATCATTTTGAGCTATATAACACTGGAATCTAGTAAGGATAGGGAGCCTCCCATCTAATGTACATCTATATGTCCTTATATTATGACTTAGATTTTCACAAAGCATATATATATGTCTTCACCTTTACTGAGCAGAATAATATTAGTACTAACCAAACTGACTGCATATTGTGATTAAAAAAAAGTTTTAAAAAACACCTTTACTTTCTTATTCCCATTTCCTACTTCATTCAAACATTAACTAATTCCTTTCTCAGATTTGTTGTGATTTTTCCCTCAAAGTCACTTGCTATTCTCCTTTAAAGCCCCACTGTTCTACTTGTACCTACTGGCTCTCTCTATATAGAAAACAATGCCTAATCGATGCCTGTTTGTCCCCCATGATCCTCTTTTTTGTATGTTAATTGAGAGCTGAGCTGATGAGACATCCACCTGTCAGTGACCTGTCAGTGACCTTGCTGTGTTGTCTAATCCCCTTGGCCAAACTAGTACTGATGGCCTTTAAAATGTTAAATAGTCAGCTATTAAACATACTGTACCTCTCCTGAAGGCCTGTTTGATAATGGCATGAATCTTCCCCGCCACACTCTCTGACCCGTATTGTGCTGATCCTCTTAGAAGATGAACAACTCGTTTGCCTGATGCATTCAACCCCTCTTGGAGGTGATGCCTTGTAAGTGGGAGGCCTATAAAGAATAATAAACGAGAAGTTTGTTCACCCTCAAAGTGTCTTCCTCACTAGTTGGAAGATGTACAATTATTCTCCTAAAGCTACACTTACACGAAACATTGAAATGCCTGATGAGTTGTAATATTTTTCAAGCTTAAATATATTTTCATTTAGCCCCTATAAGTGGACCAATCACCAGGTTACTAAAAGGTGTAAAAGTTACATGTTGAAACATTCAAATGATTTACACATTAAACAATATTGACTTTAGATTTAATCCTCAATGGAAATATAATAATACAAATATCCACCATAACTTATTTTTTTAGGTATCAAAGGGGGTTGCCTGGGTATTCAATACTTTCAGAGAGTTTCACTGGAATTTCTGTCTGTAGTAACGGTTGAATCATTGAAAGTCAAAGATACAAATGAAGCAAATAATCAAGAATTTAAGACCTCAAATCAAAAGCTGCTTTTTTAAACAATATATATATATATATATCAAAACCCAGCGTTGTATTCCCTTTTATTCAAACAAATTAACTACTGGGATAATAGGTAGGCCTAGATACTTTCATGAAAAAAATTACAACATGTTTCATTATTTCAGATAAAGACATATATAAATTGATTTTATTGAAAATGAGAGAATACCCCCCCCCCCCTACAATATTTCAAAATAATATAAGAATGAAAAACTAGAAATAATTAATGGTTGCTTGAAAGTCTTCGCATTTACGCCCCTAAAAATCATGTCATGATCACGCTTACCCCAAAGTTGAGTCAGAGCTTCGTCTTCACCTTTCTCAATCTAAACAACAATTTGAAGAAACATTACAATTTTTTTTTTTGGAATTTCACTTTAATAATATTAGGCTATGGATAGTGCAGTGTCATTTAAAAAAAAAAAAATTAATACAAATATGAATACAAGCCCATTTTATATCATATCATGCATTTCTTTGACTTTTCACTCTTACATGTTGATGAACTACAGTGTAGCTGATGGTATTTTGAAAATGAATGACAATTGTTGTTAATCCCATTTTAATTCTGACAGAAATATTATTTCAAAGTTAAAGATACAAATAGTCTATAACAAAATCGATCAAAAATCATTACATAAGCACTAGTTAAGCAAAGTGCAGTCATCCCTGGCATGGCCTAGGCCCTACATACATGTTTACATGTATGTCTTTAGTGGTTATTTATTTCTCACCAATCAAAAGCAATAATCCAATATATTCTAAACATGAATTAAAATATGCACTGATCTAGTAGTGGCAATCAATATGACTGGAAATGATTTTTTGTCGACGTTACCTGGCAGTCCTTTCTCACTGAACTAACATCAATAACAAGAGGACATGGATCTCGTTTTAGGACATTCAACTGCAGTAGTCGGACCTATGCTTCTTCCTTCTTCCCAAGAACCTGCAAGGACTGGAACAACCTTCCACAGGACCCAGCCCAATACCACTCTCTTGACGCCTTCAAGGTCTTCTTGAGTGGGATGCAGATGTAATGTCTACAAGACTGGGAATGTTTTTTTTTACTTACACATGTATATATGCACCTGCACAACAAGAACAACAAGTTAAAATGTGGAATGACAGGACATGTGAAAGTCTCCACATATACACACAAAACCAGTGCGATTATCTTCATCACCATGAAGCGGCACTTAACTGGAAGAAGAAGAAGAAATGGCATGGTTTCTAATTCTATCGATTATCTACATGTAGCTCTATCATTAAATAAAATTAAAATGAAGTCATGCAGCATGCAGAAAACAATGATCTATGACAGACAGTGCAGTACACTCATTTCTTTCTTCAACTTTATATTCATGAACTTAGATTAGTTTACCTTCGCATGATTCTGAAGTTGCTGCACTTTCTTGCCAGGCTCAAATTCAAAACCACTACCGATCAACATCGAATCACAGAGCCAGTTGATAAGTTTGCTTGCGATTCGTCCGCCAGAGTTCTGGGGCAAGTCATCCGCTATAAACCGGTTCATTTTGGGTCATAAACGCAGTCCCAAATCTGGTACGTGTACTGAGCTGTTCTAATCTGACTTCGTGCTTAGAGTCTACATGAGAGCAGAGTGAACATGGTGATATGACTGAAGCTTCAAATGAATTTGACTCACTGTCTCAGCGAGAAGTAGAGTAACTACAATCTATGTGCATTTCTTCCAGTTACATTTTGATCCACGCGCGCTAGTACGGTAATTCCCCTTGCTGTCACGTGAGTTGTCACCTGATATAAATTATCTAGCAGTACATGCAGCGCGCGTTGAACAAACCATGGAGTTGTAACTCCATGAACAAACTGTGTTAGCTGCTTTGCTCTCTAGCTCTGCACGTCTATGAAGAGAGAGTTGACCATTTTAAATGTTGAGTTTTCTGTTCTGCTGCCACAAATAGATTGATCCAACCTATTCTCAAACGTCAGCTTAGCATATTATGAGCTTATTTAGGAAGGCCGAGGGGGCCGGGACGTTTAACTCGAATCCAAATACTTGTCTTGTCTAGAGACTATTGCATTCATAATTAGCAACACATGCAGACAGTTTTATGTTTCATGTTGACAAGCGCTGTGCCGGTGCCTGAGGCTGAGGAACACTTCTTTGTATGGTCTATTGACTGTGCACCTATTGGTTGAGCCTACCGTTCAGCACCGTCCAGAGAAAATGGCGCCCACCTTATCCATGCGAGAGAAATATAAATCTAAACATACGATGGTGTGTCTACTGCGTGCTGTAGTTGGCCGCATCACAACTGTGGAACTCCGAAACGAATGCTCAGCGACTGGCTATGTGGTTGATGTTGATGGATTCATGAATGTTACAATGTCTAAAGTCCTGTTTGTCAATATGGATGGGGAGAAGACGCACATGGACTCCATCTTCATTCAGGCAAGCCTCGTCCGCTACGTGCAGATTCCCGATGACATCAACATGGTGAAAGCTATGAAGAAAGAGCTTATGATGATGAATCCTCGAAGACCACTGCCGGGGAGCATGGCTGGAGGTCGCAAGAAACCACCATTAAAGCTCTGTGACTGAATAAAAAACTTCTTTGGGACAAGCAAAATCCTGAGTGACTTTGCGGATCTACACTTATTTACACTACACGTATCATTTTGTAATTCTATGAGTACGAGTATGACAGGCACAGATCTACAATTTAGAAACAGCTGACATGACTAATCCTCAAATTTTTTGAAGATCTCTGTCTGGGAGCATTGCCTGGAGCTCCCAAGAAGCCGCCATTAAAGCTCAGACTAAAAATCAAAAACCTCTCTCGGCTCTCTGTGATGAGCAAATCCTCATCGACTTTGCAGATCTACACTGTTATCGTTTTGTAACTCTTATGTCAGTTACATATCCAGCCCCAAAGGCCAGGACAGCTGCTGCCAACACGTACATGAAGACGTCTTTTCAGGATTGCTGTTTGTGGAAAAATGGCTCCTCAAAAATGTCCACAAAAACTTGATAACTATTTCTAATCCTGTTTATGGAACTGCATGTATTTGATGCATGCATGGTCTTAAGATGTATCAGTTGAGACTTGAGAAAAGGCATGGGAAGGCTGGGGGGGGGGGGGTGTACATTTTGGGGATTTCTGAATGTCCTGGTAGATGGTGAATTTAAGATGCTGTCACTCACAGGTGATTCCACTTTGTGATAACATGATGGGAAATGTGAGTGCACATTGTGATGTAATGTCTTTTTAACCTTTGTTAGAAATGTATAATTTTCCTTCTTCGATCCTTTGAACTATATATTTTTATTTACAGTTACCAATCACCAAAACATATTTTGTTGTGTATGTTAGTACTTTAATAGTAGTTCCATGTCATAAAGTACTTTATTTAAAATATGAGCTTCAAATAGGACATTGTTAGGATTTTTTGTAAGTTGAAATACACTCTCATTTAACTTAAAATTGACTGGTGAACAGACTACTTGATGCACCTGTAACAACCGTATGGCCCGGACGCGTACGGAACCCAATTAATTTAAAGGTCAAGTTCCTTGCGGGCTGTGTTATGTTATTCTTTAATTTTTTTCATGCTCCTCGTTTGTTAGCCCATACTACCATAGACTGCTGGTTAAAGTTTTTGAGAATTATTTATTTGCATTCTAGCTAAAGCTACATGTACACAACTTATTTTAGGCATTTTTTCACTTTAAGAGAAAGGCCAATTTTGTTCACTAGACTACTCCTACTTGATCCTAGACTTTATGAGGTGGAACATCTGAATCTTTGCCATACATGTTGACTGCTGCAAAGTTTTAATCAATATTTACTTTCTTGTATCCATTTGATAATGTACCCAAAGCCTTCCATGTTTTCATGAAAGTCTGTGTTGTTGCTTTATTGGGAAGCTTATCCTTTATTTTATACATGGTTCTTATGGACAGACTGTTTGTTTTTATAGAAAAACTACATAAGGTGCGGGTTAATTCCCAGTGACAGATGAAACTTGGATTCCCAAAATTAATATTAACAAATTTTATTACTAGAGTTTGTCACATTGGTGAAGAGAGACAATAAAGATCAGAATGATTAAAAAAGGTGATTTGTTTATATCCTTCATCCTTGTACATCTTTTTCAAATCAGGGAGAGGGAGACACAAGGAGAGTGCAATAAAGGATGGGGATACAGAAAAGGGGAGAAAGAGAGAGAGAGAGAGAGAGAAAGAGGAGAGAGAGAGAGAGAGAGGAAAACAAAGAGGAGAGAGAGAGAAATTAGGATGTGAAAGAGAGAGAGAGAGAGGGGGGGGGGGGGGGGGGAGCAAGATATTTGTATACGGTATATAGAGAGATGACTGAGGGGTATGGGCAGGAGTAGTTGGAAAAAGGAAGAAAAATGAATGCTGAATCTGCAGGAATTAACGGGATGAACAACTGCAGGCTTATGACAGCTCTAAAGGCAAAAGTTACCCTTTCTTTTTCAAAAAGTTTAAGATTATTTCCACATTCCATTAAAAAACACCACATACCTTTAAAAACATAAATAATATGAACAATAGCATATGTACATTGTATACACATACATTACATGATGCAAATGAGAAGCTATTTTGTCTCTCATATATTCTGCCTCCTACATACCTATGCACTATAATCTTAGCCATCTTCTCCTTGTTACACAATTATACTTTTTTTTATTCCCTTTCTATCCATTTCACACCAGTCCTTTTTCTACTTCTCTTTATCTACATTGTCTCAATCTCTCTTCCTCAATTGCTCTATTCTCTTGCTCTCTCTTTCTCTTGTCTCAACCTCTCTCCCTCAATTGCTCAGTTCTCTTGCTCTCTCTTTCTTTTGTCTCAATATCTCTCGTCTCAAATTCTCTTGCTCTCTCTTTCTCTTGTCTCAATCTCTCTCCCTCAATTCTCTTGCTCTCTCTTGCACGATTCCTCTTCCGTTTCCATCCCTCTATGTCCCTCTTGCTTTCCTATCCACACATCTTCCACCTACATTCTTATGAGTCAAGAAAGTGACTTGGAATCAATTGATATATTTCTTTAATTACAATTAAGAAACATAGTAACGTACACTTAGTGTACACTATTATTTTTACAGTTCATGTATACAATACAATACAGGTACATACAATGAACAGTCGTATATTTACATGTACTTCTAAGTTCCAATGTAACATGAAACAGTTCTATCTAAATTCTTCAGAACTATTTTCATACATTTTTTTCTTCAGATTTCTTCATATTCAGTGATTTTAAAGATTTTTTTTTCTTCCCAATTCCTATGGTCCTACACTACATTATTCAGACTGCTAAAAGTTGCAGTTCCTAAGTTGTAGTCAGAACATTCTTTTTCCTCCATCCATTTTTTCCTTCAATTTTTACCAAGTTTTACAACAGCTCTGGTTGATGTATAGTTCACCAAGCTATTGAGACGTATTGAGAAGTACATGATGAATTAATAGAAAGACTGTTGCCTTTATTAAAATATCTCTTACATACAAAGATCCGGTCACCCATGCATACCGGTAAAGATGAATAACAATATTTTTAAAAGTATGAAATCAGCCATGCAAGTTCTAGACATTTTATTTTAAAATTAAGTCTAGTGTTTTACCTTCAGTGCTCAACGTACAGTAATACACTTTACTAGAAGATATTTAAAAGGGAAGCCTCCTCAACAAATAAATGCATATTTTATTGACTTTGCTTACTCTAAAACATTTACATGAAACTGTAGTATTAAAATGATGTGTAATTAATCAAAATACAAATTAGTGTCCAAGTGCTGGTTACAATCAAGGAATTTACAAAGTAACTACATGTCATGTACATGATCTGGAATGCAAGAATCTAACCAATAATGATTACAAGAACATAGAAAGAATACAGGAACATTTGGTATAACAATGCTGTTCATGAATACATGGGAGTACATTAACACATACCACCAAAATATATTTGGCTCTGTATGTTAGGGGTTCCCCATACCATCTCACTATATATGTTTACTCCTTTAAAGATATATTGTGTAGCATATCTGTTATACATTAATTACTTCTGTATACAGATTTAAAGATATAATGCAACTATGCAAGTATAAATATACTTTAAACAAAGGTTAAAAAATAACTTCTTAGAAGACAACCCATTGAACTAATAAAATGCATAGAAGAATTGTAAGTTAATTTTTTTAAAGTTTTGAAATGAAATCAATATTTTGTTCTCTAATTCCTTAACCCTTCTTTGTTGAGAAAGTGTGTGTGTGTGTGTGTGTGTGTGTGTGTGTGTGGGGGGGGGGGGTATTTCTTTTAATATCTAAAATAAACCCTTGTAACCAAATAACATTTGCAGACTCTAGTACTTTGTATGATAAATGCAATGGTCCAGTGGACAGGTCATTGAACCCAGGATCAGACCGTTCAGACGAGCAAGGGTTTAAGTCCCAATTGTGACACTGACATTCTATGGCAGAAGCTAACAAAGATTAAAAGTCTTGATGACAATTTTTCGGAGGGTTTATGAAAGTAACATTGATCATTTACGAAATTCATCGGTCCAATGGATTTCTCCATTTAAAAAACATTTTCAGGGCATTTCCATATCTCAGTTCTCAGGACATATCAATGTTCTATATGCACGCAATGTAAATATTGAATTCCCATACCAAAATAAAACATATATACTATAAAAATTATTTCCAACTCCATTTCAAATTACACTGTTTGCTTCTGAGGAACCATTCATTGTCATGAGAGGGGAAGACTAGATTGTGAATGAAAGAACACCAAGTACCAGCCCCAGCATTTCTGATGCATCATAGAACCAAACGCCCAAACGCTGGATAAATCTGGAAAATGAAGACAGAAAAAAAAATTCACAGATGCTACATACATGTTTTATAGTACAGAATTAAACAAATTATAAGTGGAACATCAGAAGGATGGCTTTACTTTTTAATCCTTTAATAAAAGATTTGAATTTAAAGAGGTTTTTAAGACTGGTGGCATAAAATGTGACCCCCTCCCCCCTACCACATTGAGCTACTTTTTATGCATACAGCAGAGCTGCCAACCTTGTGCGACCAAAAAAAGGAGTCATGATGGCAAAAAAAAGGAATTCAAGCAAAAAAAAGGAATTCATAAAAATGAAACTTACGACCACGCGCGACACACTTCCAATGCAGAAATGTTCATTCATTCATACAAGCAGGATTTTTTTTGGGGTGGTTATTGTGTTATTATCGGCATTTCATTCTTTTTGAGAATATTGTTCTTTTCAAGTATGTTTTAAATTTAGTTTTCTATTGAATTTGTGATCAAATCACCATTTTAGGGCAGTTGTTTGACGTGCGGTATGTTCAACAAAAAAACAAAAACAAAGAAAGAAGAAATGTAATACCATAATTTGGAGGAAAAAACAGAGTAATTCCGGAAAAAAGGAAATGGTTGGCAGCTCTGATACAGCCCTTTACATCTTTTACTGAGCTCACAGTGTATTTTCAGACTCACCTATAAAGAAGAAGAAAAACATCGGTGACAGACAGGTCAACGGTCAAAGGTCAGATGTTGAACCCCAGAGACCTCATGCATTCTTTATGCGCTTCAATAAGGTCACCACACTCTGCTTCTCCATTCTCCATTATGCTATGACAATAAAGAAAAAGGACAGTATCATAATATAATTAGGGTTTACTTTTTGCCACGGTAAAATCACATTTTAGCCATAGTTGACGAGCACACACGTACAGGATCAAAGGTCAATTTATGGAGCTCTCATTTTAAATAGGGTTACATGTGGACGGAAGCGAGGAGAGTCACCTTACCAAAAAGTGGAAACATTCACTGGTGTTAAGAGCAAGAATTTGCAAGGCAAAATCTGGTGGAGTTTCGGCTGGCTTAAAAACGAAAAACACACTCCACAGTACTTTACTGTGGTGTTTTTTTTCTTGACTCACATCCTTGTAGGGTTAAAGGAAACCAAAATCTTCATACTAAGCTACTTTTATTGTAAAGGTCAAGATATCTGAAAAATATCAGTGAAAATTTGAACAAAATCGGGCAAGGAATAAGGAAGTAAGAGCTTTTTGAAATTACTAGTCACTAGAGGGCGGTATTCAATTTGATGACATCATCTGTGGACAACTCTCCATGCCTTTTGTACATCAAATGTCATGTTTTTCCTTCTTTCTTGTGATTGAGATAATGTACTCCCCTGAAAGCAAGATATAGAATGCAAAATGATATTCTACTCCACATGTTATGAAGTCGGATCTAGAACACAAATAAATACGAAGAAAACAACAAAATTGTGAAATTTTATGTACTGAAGGCATGGAGAGTTGTTCACAGATGATGTCATCAAATTAAATACCGCCCTCTAGTGACTAGTCATTTCAAAAAGCTCTAACTTTCTTATTCCTTGCCCGATTTTGTTCAAATTTTCACTGATTTTGTTCAAATCTTTTAAAATTTACAATAAAAGTAACTTAGTATGAAGGTTTTGGTTTCCTTTAATGGAATCATTCCTATGATACTATGTTAAATGGGACCACTCGAATGTGAGAAAAACAGACAATAGGGGCTTTTCGTTTGTGTGGACGAGGACGGCGTTCACGTCCTCTAACGATGCAAATTGACGTCAGACACCCGTCCTGTTCACTACCTTATAACCCTTTTCGTTTTAAGTTGACACACGTTCTCTACACGATGACGTAATGGCCCCGCATGCGCTTATTCATTTTCTCCTTCTTTCACTTCTTATTTTGTTCTTCGTTTATTATTCTATTATACTCTCTCTATTTTACTTATGATATTCTTTGTTTTTCCTTCTTCCATCTTCTCTTCTATCTTTCCATTGTCTATTCTTTATCATTTTCTCTTTCTGTCTTTCCTAATGTTATTGTTGTTGTTATCATTCTATCATTTTTCTTTCTATCTTTCCTCATATTATTCTTTGTTTCTTCCTTCTATCATCTTCTCTTAAGTTATTCTTTGTTTTTATCATTCTATCACTTTCTCTTTTTGTATTTCCTTACGTTATTCTTTGATTTTTCCTTCTTTCACCTTCTCTTTATGTCTTTCCTT